ACGATATATATAAATATATAAACTATGTTACATGCGTTATATGCGTCTCTAATTATTTTTCTCTAGCAAATTTCAATTGAACCTAAAGCCGCCACGTCAGTTTAATTGATATGCTAATTGATTGACAACTAAGCAAGGTTACTTTTTAATTAATACAAACTTGAGGTTACATCTTTTCAAATGTTTCTCAATTAATATATAGGGGATTTTAATTTGGGTTCTATTGAAATGCTTATTCTTTAAAATATTCTTCATTCCTTCACCGTATATGTTTGGCATCAGTCAAAAGGCAGTAGGTAGAAACGCTTGCATGAACCACCATGAGTCAATTATTTAAACATTTTCTCCTTATGATACTCTCTGATTTTAACTCTAATGTGTAACCATATACTTGACTTATATCAACAACTCAACTTCCAGCGTTTTATATGCCATGCAAGGCCATACTGGCTGCTGTCACGGATCTAACAAATCCTTTATATCTTGATTTCATTCGTCTTGTAATTAAGCATGTCTTCTTATATACAGAGCCGAGTCACTTAACGTTTGTAAAATTTTTTTTTTGTAAAACTAGAGAAGAAGCATGAAAGGAGACGTGAGCATGCATATTTCTCACCAACCACGTATTGATGTATATTTTTTAAATCTTGTTCATTGAATTCAGGTCAATTTTCAAGATCTCCCAATACCACGCGATTGCTTATCAGTTTACATACTTCGAACCAGGTACAATATACGATGGACTGGTTTTTCCAATTTCAATTAGTAAGTCATACAAGTTAGAAAAAATTACACTTACACATACTTTTCTTTTCTCTATTTACATTTTTACATACTTTGGGCTGGTGAGGTACTTTCTTTAGGTGGTTTACCTAAAACGCCCTTTTAACTAAACAAATCTAAAACCTAAAATTTGAGACCGCCACTAGACACTTTTTCTTTTTCTTCTTCACTGCTCTTCTTCTTCTTCTCTCTCTATCTTTTCCACTGTAATTCTCTAGACCATCCAAAATTTCTTCTTCTTATTCTCTTCCTATCTTTTCCCACCGCAATTCTCTATCCCGTCAACGATTTCATCGTCGCAAACAATGGTGATAGTGATGGTTCCCATTCTGACTCGTCAAGGAGCCTTAACCAACGAATGATGTATAGAACTCCCTTCCTTCCCACAACTATCCCAAAAACAATTTGTTTATTCTTAGCCCATCCATGACCACATCCACTTTAACTTGAGCCATGACCACAACCATCCCAATCCCATCCATAACCATACCTCTGTTTCCCACAACCACTACCTCGTAACCATGACCCCAACAATGACTTACTTGTGACCAAGATCTCCATCGAACCCAACTCAGATTGTAGATATCCAAACATCTATCATGCCTGACCAAAGATGTTTGACCACAAAACAAATGTGTTGGTCTGCTTAATTTACCGACAACCACATCTTCTAATTGATTACTAACTTGACCACATCAAATAAAGTTAAATCTGACCATAATTCTTACGCTAGAACTTCTGCTTTTATTCAAGGGTAAATTCGTCATATTAAACCAAAAAGATAAGTCCAAAGTACACCTCAAGCATAAAGTATGTTACAATGAAATAGTACAGGCTCAAAGTATGTTAAACTGTTAAGCTCTCTACAAGTTATACAATAACCCCACATATGTGGTCTATTGGCATGCCGATTTTAGAAGCTAAAGCGACTTGAGTTTAAAATAACCCTGAAATAACTTGTAATAGTTTCTGTGTGTCTTATTAGTATGGCAATCACCTGTTTATATACAACCATAAGAGAATCCTAATCCCCTAGGACTTAGGTAATTACATCAGTATCTCAATAATAGTAGGACTTATTGAAATAACCTAGTAGTTATCTTATTAAACCACACAACACTAAATATGTGTGGATATGCGGATATAAGATCATGTTTTGGACCTCAAACAACGTGCATCTGTGGACTGCAAATTCTCTTAAGAATTAGTTTGAATCATTTCACAAACCAAAAATACTTCTAAATTAATAGAAACAAAGATTTACACTATTTTACAGTCGATACATTTATTGATGACAATGGACCAAATCGGATGAAACATTGAGTTTAAGATCCTAGTTTTTTTAAAAAAAAATTATATATACATATATCTCTAAAGAAAATTTTTAGCTCCTCAAATTCGAAAAAAAATAATTGAAATCATTAAAAAAATAGTCTTAGCTTCATTCTTCAGTTTATTTATGGTGTTTTCACGCACCATCAATTGTTATGTCAAATGTCTTACTACATGTTACAAATTCCCTAGGTGAAAGAGAGATAACAAACAAAATGCATGACAGTCACAAGTCACAGAATATACCAATTTGGAAAGATATAGTATTAGTAAATTTAATCCACCAAAATATTAAATTTATAACAGGAATATTGTTACATATTTATTGGAAAGCCTTAAAATCGTATAGAAACGGATATTTTTTTTTCGAAACCATTTGCGCTAGGTGGAGCTAAACTCCGGTGGAAAAGCCCTACGTAAAGACAATTATTTTCCTTCAACGAGTACGTGTAATTGCAATATCTGTCCATGTCTAGTCGCCAGTGATTTGTTGGTTAGAATTGGAAATCAGTGACCAACTTTTTAGGTAATGATTGGTAATTTTCAGATAGGCAATTTAGAATTGAAATATCTAAGGAGATTAGTAGTTAGTTTGATTATGTGGTTGACTGAAAATGTTAAAATTAAAACATATGGTTGTTAATCAAACACTTCACACCGACATGTACAAAAAAATCAACCACTTCACAAATGACCCAAACTATAAATAATTGGTTCGTATACTTTATTTATTTAACCTTATTAATTCTTAACTTCTGTTGAATACAAATATTAAATTCCTCTACCAAACCCAAACATAGTAACACGAGGACTTTTTTTTTTTTCTTTTTTTTAACTGAACTGAACTAATTGGGTCATATAACTCATATCAGTATATAATGGGCCTTTTGTACCAAAGGGCCAAGGCATGCAGGGTCATAGAGTTAACTTTTGTTGTTACACGATTCGAGTGTGTATAGCAAATTGTAAAATTTGATTAAACGAAAAAGAATACGGAAATTATTTCATACTCTATCATTCGATTTACATAAAACATTACAAACAATAAAAATTAAACGATCAAATAGCGATTTACGAAAAAAAAAAATTCTCACATAACATCAAGGATTTGAAATAATTGGGGTAAGCTTTTTTAAAATAATGAAAACGCGACTCAAACCATAATAGCTGAGTACACAATAACGGTGAAAACGGTTCCAACCATGAAAGCTTTGTTGGAGAAAGCGACACTTGGTGCGGGCGCTTCATCTGAAGGCCCTGGAGCAAGTCCGTTTGGGCTCAAGGCAGGACCTTCCGGAGCTGGTGGAGAGGCGGCAGGAACATCAGATGGAGAAGGAGCTGCCGACGGCGGAGTAGTTGCTGGGGCTGGGGTTGCAGCCGGTGGTGGAGTGGTGGTTGGGGCAGGGGTTGCGGCGGGTGGTGGAGTGGCAACTGGTGGAGGAGTAGCTACGGGAGGGGGAGTTGCGGCGGGTGGAGGAGGAGTAGCGGTGGGAGTAGGAGCTGGAGCTTGAGCAAGTGTTGACGTGGCGAAGATAGCCATGATCAAGAAAACTAGGACAGTTTTGGAACCCATTTTTACTCTCTTTCTCTCTGAAAATGCGTTTTCTTTTGGTTTTAGAGTAAGAGAGTTGTGAAGGTGAGGAAAATGAGAGAGATGTATATAAAGAGAAAGATTAAGAATTGATTTTGATTATTTAAATGAGATTCTTAAAATCTTTTAATATTTTCAAATATAAATACTGCAGACTAACGTGCAAACGCATAATTGGAACATGGGGTTGCTTATCTATACACTCTCCCAAGCCGAAGCAATAATAATATTTTATTTTGCTTTTCTTTCAACAAAATTGAATATAGCTGGGCAATGAGTGATTTACATATGTTGATAATGGCTAGTGAATCTTATAAGGTAAACCGGTTTACATATGAAAGAAAATTCAAAATATTATTCGGGTGAAGTCTTTAACAACTTATTATATTGACTCTGCGTGGTATACAATCCACAAGCCATGGATTTATAACGTTACGTTAGAAGAAGTTAATACTGATTAGGTGAATAAACTTTGACTTAGCAAGCTGTGATTGGAGATTTCAAAGATCGTTACTGGACGACGTGGCAAATGTGGGGAGACAGCTAGCATGTTTAGTTCAAGAACCAACGAGTTGCAGCTTCGCATGTCTTCCTGTCTACTTGATCCACCCGTCATTTTAATTATGTCTTATATTTTTATATACAGTAACAACCCTTTTTATTTTATTTAATACTAGTAATATACATTATTTTGGCATAATATAAGTTATCTAGTAATGAAATATGAAAACCCGTTAAGTTACAAAAAATATATTTGAAAACCCGTAATAATCATTAAACCCTTGACAAAAGAAAATCATTAAACCCCATGTGCATGACCTGGTTTTGTGAATATTTTTGGTGTTGTTTACTGTTGGAAATTGCTGTCAGTGAATTTAAATATTATGATAAATATAAGGTAACAACCAGAAAAATAAATGTATCAAAAGTAGACGCTTGAATCTGATAGCCTGTAAAGGCTATTTTGACAGTGATTCTCTAAGGTAAGATGTCCTTTTTTATATATTTTTTTCAACTGAATGATTAATTTGCGAATCATACATAGTTGGCAAATTATTAATTGCAACTTGATGTGATAAACGAAACTAACTACCCTAATAATATAACTCAATTTATATGAATGGGCTCAACTGAGAGCCTATTAAACTATTATCATCGTTTCGATTGATCCAGCCAAAAACAGAAGAACAGAACAAACTTATATATTATCAAACTGGACTCAGATGCAAGCCCATTACGATGACCGTATAAAAGTCAATATTCGAGTATGGAGGAAGAGGTTTTTTCTTTTTTTTTGCAAAGCTTAAGCAGTGTCGCGAGAAGACATTTTTAAAGAACACAGTTTGAGAAGAGTTTTTAATAGAGTAGATAAAAATCACCAAGCTGTGCACATACTCAAATCATAAACACTTAAATATTGTTTTTCACAGTTCCGAGCAAAGGTTTTGGGGATTTTCACATGGCGCATAACACTCTCCCCCCATCCCTTAACACCCTCACGCCTCGTCCATCTGCTCCTGAAAAAAAAATGTTAATAAACTCAGTACACACAGTTTTTACGGTTATTTCAGTTTTAAAACTATTTGAGGTAAGTAGTATATATGTGATGTTTGGCGTGATCAAAAACCATATACACACACTAAGACGTGCTTTCTCATAGCAACAACTGATTTTAGATTACTTAGAAAACAGAAGGTGGGAAAGAGAAAAAAAGAGATGAGAAGAGGAGTAACCTGCATATCAGAAGTCCAAAGGGTAAGATTGTCCCTGAGCAACTGCATAATGAGAGTGCTGTCTTTGTATGATTCTTCTCCCAGTGTGTCAAGCTCAGCTATGGCTTCCTCAAAAGCCTACAAGGTCAAATCCATCATCCAAAAATTTACAATGTCCCTCTCAATGACAAACTCTGCTGTGTTAATAACTCAGTCCTAATATTGTCAAAGAAAGCTCACTCAAACTAATCCAAAATAAAAGATCAATTCTTTTTCCAAACAAACATGTAATAATAGTCAACCAGTGGTCAATCCCATTAGTCAAAACATCAATCAAGCCAAAAAAAAAAACCATTCCGACAAAAAAAAAACAGAACAACGAACCTGTTTGGCCATGTTACAAGCTTTGTCTGAAGAATTAAGAATCTCATAGTAAAACACAGAGAAATTCAACGCAAGACCAAGCCTAATAGGATGAGTAGGCGCCATCTCAACAGCTGCAATATCCTTAAAAAAAAACAAAACATAAACAAACAAATCAACATCAGTTCAGTAATAAAAAAAAAAAAACTTTTTTTTTTTCCACCTGAGCAGCCTTATAAGCCTCCATAGTATCTTCACCAGCAACTCTCCTCTCCTCACCAGACTTAAACTCCGCCATATACCTATGATAATCTCCCTTCATCTTCAAATAAAACACTTTCCCTTCACTCCCCGTCGCGGAAGGGATCAAATTCGAATCAAGAAGCTTTAGTATCCCTTCGCAGACGGAGGAAAGCTCTTTCTCGACTTTAGATCTGTAGTTTTTGACGAGCGTCACGTGCTCCTCGTTCTTACGAGACTCTTCCTTTTGCTCGATCGAGGAGACGATTCTCCACGCGGCGCGTAGAGATCCGATCACGTTTTTGTAAGCGACTGAGAGGAGGTTTCGCTCTTCGACGGTGAGTTCGGTGGATGGTGTGGAGGATGTGACGAGGGTGTCCATGAAGTTGACCATTTCCTCGTAACGCTCGGCTTGCTCGGCGAGTTTTGCCATGTAGAGGTATTGGTCTCTGCTGCCTAGTGTTGTCGCCGCCATTGGAGAGAGAAAGTGATGAGAGGTTTTAGTTTTTTTTTTTTTTTTTTGAGAAGGAAATGAGAAAAGAAAGGGAGAAGAGAGAATATAGGGAAAAGAGCGAATGAATGGGCCATAATTGGGCTTATTCTAGTCACTAGTTTCAGATTTGGGCTTTATTAGGCCTCATATGGGCCTTGTGAAGCTAAATACTACTCGGCTTACGGTCAACGGGTCAAGTATACACCATAACACCAACGGTTGTCAGCATTAGCTTATTTCACTGTTAGTTAAAAAGGGCCGAATACAAAAAAAAAAAAGATAAAATACGTCGCCTGAGAGATTCGAACTCTCGCGGGGAAACCCCATGTACTTAGCAGGCACACGCCTTAACCACTCGGCCAAAGCGACATGTTGAAAGCTTTTGGATTAACCATTTGGTGTGCGACTTTAGTAAATGCAAATGACATTTGAAGATCCAATTTTATACATGTTAACTGTCGTTGATATGTTTTAATGATACAAAACGATATTGAAACTTCCTTTTTTTGGTGAATATGTCATCAATTATACGATAGAAATGTAGTATTGATAAAAAAAATGCTAGTCTTCTTCATGATGTAGGGAGCAGAATGTCGTTTCTATTTAGTAGCAGGATGTAGTTTATTTTTCAGGTTCTAGATCTAAACGTTGTGGAGAATGTGGAAGAAGCTGACTTTCTTCTAGCGCACGGCACTAAAGTCTAATGACTTTCTGTGGAAGTAAACACTTGTTGCTGTGTGAATGAAAGCAAGATAGTACAAAGTAACGTTACATACTACACACAATGAATCTGGACCCAAAAGGTAGCATAAATGCGCCAGATTTGGCCAGCCAAATCCTCACAAAAAAATAATATAAATACACAAGAATAGTATCTCTATGCCGTTTCATGACTTTAGGTATCTTTCTCAAGATCAGCAACAACGTCCCTGAGAGAAGGAACTTTCATGGCCAGAGTTTTGTAGAGCCTAGAGTAGCGAGCTCTTGTGGCATCAGCTGTTTTAGCTAAAGCCAGCACACTTAGAGCTTCAGGTAACTGAGTAAACATTTGTTTCATTTCCTCTAAGCTCATGTTTACTAATACAGAAGGTCTTGGGACAACTCTGACAAGTTCACCTCCTTTAGGCTCTTGAACTCGTGCATCAGCCTTGATCACTAGCTCTGAGTTTGTGTTGCCTCCACATTTTATGATGAATGGGGATGAAGAACCTGTGTTGAACTGCAAAACGTTCCACTGCGAGACCTCGGTTTCAGCTGAGGAAATTGATTCAAATGAAGGTCTCCGTCCGTGTGAAGAATATTCCAGAAGAAGATTATTGTTCTCTTGTTCAGGGATTGTCTGTGGTTAGTAAGAAAACAAGTTAGTTCTTTGTCTATCTACGGTAGGTTCATGGAGGAACTGGTTAAACATCAAAAGTAGTAACGTACCTCGACTAACTGGCGTGCTGTAGCAATTTCTCGTTGTGCACATGGATGATCAATATCAAGAAGAGAAGGCATACGCTCAGTGAGTTCATCAAGGGCCTCAAGTAATGCTGTCTTCTTGCTTTTACTCAAAACATGGACAGATGCTTGTCTTGTAATATCCTACAAGATGCAAGTAAAGTCATTGGCAATAATTCTTGTTACAAATTAAACATAACCAAGATCAAGTATGAAGCAACATGGTCTCAAATACCTTGACTTGCTTCAATATGCCATCAAGAGAGATGAGAGAAGCTAATCTTGAGTCTTCAGCTGCTGTTGAAGGGTTTTGAATAGGAGAACTACCTTCTTCCAAGTTAAGCAAAGCTGCATCACTTCTCATTTGTTGTAAAATCTAATACACCAGAGCAAACAAAAGTCATGAGCACAAGAACATTTCTACAAAAACAACCTCAGAACTGTATCATTGTTACCTTTCTTCTTTTGTGGTCAACGGACTCAAGAGCTGATCGAAGCTTAGCCACCTGGCCAGCATCCTCTGCTTCCTCTGCCGCCAAGGTACCAGCAATATCCTTCATGTGCTGCATTTGAGAAGTATAGACACGTTTTGCATACTCGGAAAGAAGCTGCCCGAGAGCATCTGTGTGAGGTGGCACCGCGGCTCCTAGTCCAGCCATCCAACCATCCATAATCGCCGTGGAAAGAAGCTCAAGTTGGCCGGTGGTTCCTCCTGATACATCATCTGCGGTCACGGAAAGAAAATCAAAGTTCTCTGCTAGCCATAACCGAATCTGTCGCTGCAATTCACCAGCTGGAGTGTGAACAAACAATGCAGCTAAGGATTTGTTCCCAATAGCAAAGCTTTTGGCTTCATCTTGCATCTCCCGTAGTTTAACTCCAGTAACTTGCTGCCTCCCAGAATCCTAGACGGTTACAATCAATAGCATAAGTGTCTCTCAATGACATAGTACTATATTAGGTAACACCTTTACCTGTTCAAGTCCACGCATTCTTGAAACCACAGAGGCCAACTTGTTTTTCCTTTCTGGCTTTATATTTACTTTAAATCTATGAGTCTGCATATCAATGTATCGAACCGGGGATCTACCGGGGCTGCTACCTCTACTAGTGCTTTTGCTTCTACCAGTATTAGGCTTTTCAAGAAAGCCTTCCACAGGAGAGACCTAAAAAAAGAAAGACAGATTAATTTTACATAAAGAAAGGAAACAGTCAGCTACACTCGTATGCATGCCTATGCTCACCCTGATAGTCTGAAGCTCAGGTGAACGAGCCAGCAAAGACCTTATGTATAATATCCTGACTCGAGAAACAAGCATGGTATCCATTACTCTTCTTGATTCCATTTTTTGAATAAACGAAAAGACAGAATCTCTGATCTCAGCAAGTATTTCATGCTCTCTGGAAGCACCAGCCTTGATGACAGCTGCCAAAACCTGCAAGCCAAAGACATCACAAGCTTCTCTTCAAAATTATGATAGAAAGTAACAACGGTTCATTTCATATAAGTACACAACTTGAAATTCTAAAAGGATACTAAGAAAATAAGCTTTATTAACCACGTACCAGCATTAGTAGCTTGTTTGCGCCGTCAGCAATGGCAGCAAGACCTTCATAGTCTTCGGGGTCAAAGTCATTCAATGCAGCTGTCAGGTATTCTCCAGCTGGTGTGGTTTTCGCTATTTCGGAGCCAGTTTTTACTACAGTTATCGCTCCGTTATTCTTATTTGGTGTAGATGGTAACGCAACAGCTTCTGCCCTATTGTTTCTCCGAGATAAATAATATTACATATCAGTTGAAAGTTAGGGATAACTATAATGAAATTGACAGAATCAGAACTCAATCGTTTCAAACTGATCCTGGAATCACCTGTTAACACTGGCAGGCTGAATGTTTGGCGATGTTCTTGATGAAGGACTTGACACCTAAAATAAATAAAAATAGATAAGAATTAAGTAATAGTGTGATCCAGGTGCGTAGTGTTATATAAACTGTAGCAATTCATAAAGATCAGACGTTAATTAATTTTTCTCTCAGTGCTTAATGTAGCATAACTGTACAAGAGCAACGTATTACCTGGGTCGAAACAGCCATTGACTTTTCTGTTAATCTGTCAAACAACTTTTCGTTTTCTTCATGCAATCTCTGCAGAAAACATCCTTCTCGTCAGTTAAATGTACTAGTGCTAATATCAATGGTTCAGCCAGAGGGCATGAACACCTATGTAAATACAGTCAAGAGTAAGACAGAGACGAACCTCAATCAGTGCATCACGTTTTTTCAGTTCTTCCTCTAGCTTCTTGGTAACAGAAGAAGATTCAGTTGTGCTCTCCGCAGCTTTTGGTGTTGAAGAAGATATGTCCTGAGATTGCGAGGAATCTCGTGCTCTTGCTGTGTCAGATTCCAGTTCTGTTATTTTAGCCTGCATCACAATATAAAAGAGAAACATGAGAATTATATGACTATCATGTCATGTACTGAGAAGTCAACAATTTAAAAATAAATTGCCTTAACATTGATCTTATATTCATAGAGCACCAACCTGGAGATTTTGAATGGTGGAGTCTTGTTGTTGCATTTGCAGTTTTTGTTCCTGGTCCAACTGCAAAAGTTGAGCTATTTGATTTCTTAACTGAGAATTCTGCTCCTTCTCTAGTCTATGTTTTTCTACAAGCATAGTATTCTCTGACTGCATGAAATAAAAAAATGGATAATGCGCAACAAGTGAAAAAAATGTTATAACGAATTAGAGAAAAGCCAAACAAGAACTTAGGTGAAGCTGTATAATAACCTTTAAATCTGATTGCAGTGTAAATGAAACTTTCCAAGCCCTCTGCACTTCACTGTAGAGCAATACACACTGGTCATTTGCATCTTTAAGTGCTTGTTTTAAGCCCAAAACCTCCTGTTTCAGATTCTGATTTTCCCTCTCTTTGTCCAACAGCTCCTTCCGAGCATCACTTGCCTGCAGGACCATCAATCAAGTCAAATCCTGAACTAAAGCATGGATCTGTATTTTTCTTTTCATAAATTTTCTCTCTTTCTGTTCCACATTCACTTACCACATCTCTCCATTTCTTGATTGTATCTCGATTCCCAAGGCTTGGTACAGTATTCCTAGCTCTAGCAGCATAATTGAGACATGATATTGTCTCAGACAAGTTCTCCGCACTGGGACAAATGTTAACGATCATCAATGTTTTGGAGCTTCCCCCTACACATTACAAGAAATTGAATATCAGCTACAAAAAGCTTCAAGCAAAAGAAAAAACAATCTTGAAGGTGGAATGAAGAGGAAAGTATTCACCTAGTGAATCTGCAAGTATTCTGGTAAGAATTGAATTCTCGTAAGGAATTGAATCGTTTTCTGACGTCAAAGACGATAAAACATCTCCCAACCTAAAGAAGAAGTGATACATATAAAGTTATAAGTGCAGCTCGCTTGTAAGGGAGTAATGAACAATAATAGAAAGGAACAATTTAACATACGCTGAGAGCGAACTCATGACATGAAGCAGATCAGTGACGTGTTCTCCACCGTCATTATCAACGGTTAAACCTTCACTTCCAGCCAAATCAACCAGAGAAAGCTTGCTATACATATTCTCTCCAGTAATCGTGTTGCTATAGTATATGTGTATCGTGACAATCCTACAAAGAGAGAAGAAGCCATCCTTAAAGACATGAAACTAAGAGAGCCTTAGCAACCACATATAATTTAAAAAAGGAACTCTCTAAGCAGAAGATAAAACATACAGATGTGTCACATTAAATTTTGATTTATCATCTCCCCGGTTCTGGAATGCATATTTTAAGACTCTTAAGAACTCCAATGGATTCTCAGCTTTTTCTTGTTCCAATTCTACAATAGATTCATGTGATCCCATGTTGATCTTCGGCAAGTTGCTCTCAGTTTCCCAAAGTAAATCTCTGATCTGAAAATGAAAGTTGCTTAAATTAGAATTTTCAGATTCCATTACAAATCCATATAGGCAAAGAAAATGAAAGCCAAAACTATTAGTACCTGTTCATTATAGATCTCAAACACTGAAACAGAGAAACTGAACCGAGATGTGGAAGTTGCATCAGAATTCGCTAGGTCGAAAAGCTCCTCAAAACAACGAGCATATAAACCACGGTCGTGACTCAAACCTTCCTGGCAAAAACAACAGTCAAAGATTCAGCGGAGAGCCATGTGAAGATGAGGATACGTGACCTATTTGTAAACTTTGAGAGGAAAAGGAAAAGAATGGTAACCATGGTGTATGTCTTCCCTGCATTAGTTTCTCCGTAGGCAAATATGGAGACGTTAGATCCATCCAGTGCAGATTGAACAAAAGGTTGGACATCATTGAACAATGCCGCTGAGGAAAAAAAAATCACAGTATTAGCACAGAGGTGACAATAGGAGAGACTACATATTCCAAAGAACTGTGGTACTGACCTTGACCAACATGAGGTCCATAAACTCGGTCAAATTCAAAGTCCTTCTTGGGATTGGAGATAGTATCATCACTAGTGTTTACACATATGGTGCAATCCCCAGGGAATTCAATTATAGATGGGCCTTCATCCTCAAACAATGGTCTTGCACGGCAAAAAACCTTAATGTTCCCTGCAAATACAATACGACACTAATCATCAGGTCACAGAGAACTCTCAGAAGATCAATGAAACTATTCTCAAATATAGAAAGACAGATACTACTGGTACCTTTGGCCGTCAACAAGTCATTGAAAAGTTTTTTCTTCTCATTGATAAGTGGAGATATCCTTGCCTCAGTCTCAAGGACAGCTTGATCTGTGGTGGTTGAAGTAGATAAATGAATACAAACACGCTACCCAATTCTACCAGAAAATACAGTACAAAACAATGAAATGCCACCACAAGAAGTAGGTAGATGGATATTCAAGAAATTTCTAAAAACGGAAATACTTATGAAGGTTCCAACATATGAAAAGCGGCCAACTAACTCTTGTCTTATCAACATTTCTTCTTCAACAATGAAAAAATGTGCAAAATGAAATATGATTAATCAGTTTTGTTTTCTTAATACTTGGCGACATAACCACGTGGAAAAACAAAACTTACCCAATTTACGACTTTTGGCAGCAAGAACACCTAAATAACGAGTAACCCTCTCAAGCTTTGCATTAGAATACTCCTGAAGATCAGTAGCTTCCTGTCTCAACTCCAAATAATCTTCCTTCGCAAGCTGCTCAACCAAATCACATTATTTTTTCTTGAAACAAACTAAACTTCCCCATCAAATCTCTCAGTTACACAGCCTACCCTATCTACTCACAACTTCTACCGACTCAGCTCACACTTAGATAAGTAAAAAAATCAACCTTTTAAATAAATTCAACTCACAAGTCACAATCCAACTCAACTATGAACAAGAACTCGGTTATATAACTTGAAATGGTCAAAGATAATCACAAAGATTCAGTCTTTACATTCAAACTAGTAACGAGATGAGACACATAAGACTCAACGAAATGACTATGGACTGTAGAGTGAAGTGAAGTGAAAAAAGGAAGAGACTTTACACCTTAACTTTCTCCTTCAATCCAAAAACCTTGGAGGCAAGAGCTTGCTTGGGGAGCTCCGGTGGGTGAGGGGTGGAAATAGAGTAACGCCGCAGCAGACGGTGACTGGTCTCCTCAGAAGAAGACTTCCTCGGTTCGAATCCACTCACCTCCCAGTTCCATTTATTGGTTTTACGATCGGCCATTTATTTTTCTACACATCAAACAGATTCTACTTCTCTCTCTCTCTCTGCTGATTTTTCCCTCGGTGTTGTATACAAAATGAAAGGCGGAGATAGAAGCTTTTGATGGAGAATCAATACGGTGTCGTTTTGAATTTTCCGTTTTTTTAAATTCAAGAAGAATTAAATATGGGGACGACTTGTGAAGCCTTTTGAGTCACAGATACTTGTGTGCTCTGTGTTGGTTCACGACAGCCTTATCGTGTTTGGTTTATATGTCGATGATCCTTCTTCTTACAACGAACTACTACGTTGACTTTTCTCTCTTTTTCTTTACACCAACTACGTTGACCTTTAACTACGTTAAATTTTGCATCCATGATCTCACTGCTTCATTTTCCTAATTTAGATCTATGGTGTCAAATGTTTAAGATGGCAGTAAGAAGGAATACAATAGTTTTCATATTAATCTAGGCATTACGTTAGTCTTAAACAGTAACCTGCTTAAAGTTTACACGATCGCTGAGGAAGTAAAGAAAAGGCGAAAGACTCGAAGAGTCTAACAAAGAGAAGTACATGAAAGATTAAACTAGAAAAGAGAAGAGAAGCAGTTGATGAGCTGAGGCTTTTGGTCTCCTCCTCCTCCTCTCTATAAGCTTTTTTTTTTATTCCCTCTTGGATTTGGAGAGAGCTCTCTTACGCTGACCAAGCATGTACCTATACATGTGTGGACTGCCTGGGACATAGATTGCAAGCACGAGTATCGTTGCGTAGAAGAAGTCGAATGAGAAGTTCAATGTGTTTGGCATCCTAACGCTGTACATCTCAGATGTCTGCGGAAGAAAAAAAAAACAAATGGACCATTCAGGAATCAACAATGTGGTATTGTAAGAATGTGAATGAGAGAATTGTGATACCTTGATGTGTGGTAACGCAAGGTAGATAAGACCTACTTCACTGGTGATACCGGTTGGATATAGCACTAAAAAGCTGCTGTATCTGAATAAATTTAAACCAAAGTAAAAAAATAAATAAAATGAGATCAGGTTTATCAATTTATCAGTTATCAAGAAAGGCGCAAATGAATTGTATACCGGAGCCACAAGTGCCATGAAGGTGCAAAGCCTAGAGCTTCCTTAAGACCAAAGAAAGAGTAGCGAATGATCTGCAATAACAAGCTTTCAGACCAAGGTGTAACACAACCAAACATATTAACTACAGCACATGAAGACTTCACCAATAATTTTGAGTAAAGAGCAATAAATTATACATGTGCAGATTTAGTTTCAAGAAGTAAAAATCTAAACAGCTAGGTATAGCAAACATAGAATATCTTCCTCTGTACTCTAACAGTACATGTGACAAGAACCTTCCAAAGCATCCGAAAGACAAGCAAAGTATAGACATTTCAGATCTCATCAAAAGGTAGATTAGATTATAATAATCACCTCGGTGATAGACCAGCTTATGACCAGCGACGCAACAAGAAAATGTGACTGGACCTGAAATCAAACAAAACATAATTCAAAAGATCAAATGATGAAAAAAAAACAGCAACGGTATTAAATAGAAATAATGAAACTCGTAATGTTTCTAAGTAACCTCTGGGAAACTGTATAAGATGCCCCAAGTGAGAAACAGCCTTGAACCAATCTGCGGCAGAGTAGCAGAAACAGGAGATCTGACCAAACCTAGTCGAGTGTAGATAGACACACAACAGAACACAAAACCAGTCAATGAGTTCCATCTCAGTCAAGTGTAATGAATCAGATCACTCTCACCTACTAATCCATGAAGAATCTGCTCGAAGCAAAAAGAGATTTAATCAGTTTCTACAAATGTTCGTACCCTTTAATTACCAGAGAAATGCAAGAGCAAACGACATACCTCGAGGACGGCGGCAGTCTGAGCAAGCTGGAGAGGCTTCTCAACGGCGTCATAGACATTTTCATGTCCCGTTTCCTTCAAAGTCTTTACCGAAAAGTACAAAACTTGAGCCCTATGAACCAAAATTCAGAATCAAATCCCGAGAGGAAACAAAGAAGAAGAATAGTAAAGATGGTAGGACTTGGACTTGCCATCCAGCAAAGACGATCCAGTTGTAGAGAGTGAGGTACACGCGACGGATGAAGGAGACAGACCCTGTCATGGGAAAGGAAGGTGGAGCCAGCGACTAAGCTTAGAGAGAAAAGATTCTTTCGGACAAATCTCGAAGTGGCAAAAGAGTAGACTTTATGGCGGAGAGATCGAAAGTGCAAATTTAAAGCATTTATGACATAGAGAGAGAGAGAGGTGAGCTGTTTCTCAACTGAATATTTATTATATAGCCCCAAACTTCCATCCAACTTTCTGAAAACCACCTCTATAATAAATAAATCATCATTATTACCCCCAACTTCAAGAATTGTGGAGGGTGGTAAAATCAGTTAATTTCAATAGCAGCATTACAACAGAAAGAATAATATTAAATATTTAAAATCAATTGGAGTTGGAACATCAGTATACAAATGATAAGCATATATCATCAGTTTCCAAATTGATAAACCAGCAGCTCATGAATTATCAAGAACTAACTCTACACCCTCCCACGTGTACTCTCTCTAATCTTCTCATTACATGATCAAAACCCACAAGTCAGTCAAAACAAGCTGCGTGTGTTTCTTCAAAGACAGCTGCTGTTTAATATATACTCCCTCCGTTTCAAATTATATGTTATTCTAAAGTAAAATTTTCATTTTAAAATAAGTGTCGTTTTATAGTTTTAATGCAAAATTTATTGATTTTAAATGTTATTCTATTTTTTCATTGGTTGAAAAATGGTTAGGTGTATAAATAATTGTGTTTTTATTTTGAAAATATGTAAAATAAATTGTTTTCGTAATCTGTGTGCAAAACTCTAGAATGACATATAATTTGAAACAGAGGGAGTATTAAGTTTTGGTCACAAAAAATAAACTTAAGGAAGTATACATTCCAATAAATAACAAGAGGCGTTCGTTCGTTCCGTTGATTCAATCATCAGAGAGTAATAGAGAGAACCTTCTCAACCTGAGAATATATATCGACTTTAAGCAGTTCATCGAACCAATCAACTTTCCCCCAAATTTCACTAGTGTCAGGCCTCCTTTCAAGAGCAATCTCTGCACACCAAATCTTCATGTAGTAAGGCCACAAAGTAGTACCCCAAGAAACCACCATCTTTCCACCATAATCACCCAATCTAATAGTCCCTCTAACATCATCACCAGTGATGATCTTAGGTAGTCCTACCAAACCCAGCAAATCTCTCCACCTTCTTTTCTCACTATCATACCATCTAATAACTGCCTCAGAGGCAGAGTACAAAACATTCCCTATCACGCAATAATCATCTGAAGACACACACCAACCCATCCTTCCCTTGACCATGTCCCATTTACCTTGCTTTGGATCGTAAGCAATTAACTCCTCTTCATCAGTCACCACATGGAACTTTCCATCAATAGAAACAGTTTTTTCCTTATAAAACCTCCCGTCAACGCTGCTGGTGGACAGGGAATCCCAAACCCCGGTTTCTGTATCGAACACCACTAAAGAGTTCTTCTTCAAACGGTGATCGAAGCCTGCTATATCTTGTGATCAACGACGCTGGCGGAACATGAATGGAGCTCAACCGGTAAACTTGGAGTTGCCTCGATCCACCCACTATGAGACTTGCAATCCATTATCGAGACTCCGTGGGGAAAGGCAATGTTGTAGATATTAGAACCAACTGCCACCACACTACCAAAGCGCGTGGGAGCAGGGACTCTAGCCAAAGCGTAACCACTTAATCCGGTTTTGGTTTTTTTAAGAGTTTTATTAATATTATGATTAGGTTTCAGGCAGAGGGTGTACCAGTCAGTGGTAACACCAAGAGTTTGTAAGCACACATAGATACAACTCTCTGTAAATCCAAAGAGTGACCTCGTCTTGTAAAGCTCCGGTGATGATACCAGAGATCGGAACCTCTTCGAGACGAGGGAGAGAGTCGGGTAGTATAACCTTGAGACTCGTGCCACGCAGAGTAATACCAAATCATACGGAAGCGACGGAATCGGAGACGAAGATTGAAACGTCGGCTTCGATTCAGGCGACGGCTCCCTCTTCCTCCTTTTCTCCCGGGACGACATGGACAAAGAAATCGAGTTCTGTTTTGTTTGTGTGTACCGACACGACAACAACAAGTTAAAAGTAGTTCGACTTTAAAAAAAGTAAATGGGCTGGGCCCTTACAAAATTTGAAGACTCTTGTAAATAAATAATGTTTTCATGTTTTCCTTCCTCGTGGTTCTGTGTCATACATACATGTTTTTTTTTTTTGGTCAAAATCATACATACATGTTTAATGTTTTTTTTTAGTTCGAAATTTAATGGGTCTTTTTTGGTCAAAAATGTTTAATGTTTGATATGAACCGAGTTAAACTGAGCTGGCCTTCTTCTTTCTTTTTTTTTGTTAAAAACATTAAGCGTTATAATCATGTTACGAATATTTATTGAAAACAAAGTATTCAACTCTCAAGAATAAAAGAAATCTGTGTCCTAATCCAAATTTTGTGAGGTTTCATGAAGTCTGGTGAAACTGTGTCCTAACCCAAATCATGTAAGATCTTGTGAATAATGCTTCATGTTAATATTGTCTCTCAATTGACCATAAGAATGAGCCAAGCTTGGGAGCAATGAAGTATTCAGCATCAGTATTATTCTTTTTCCATCTCAGAGTTCACTTGATGAGGTTGTTTGAGACTGGCCATCCTTTTGTTCTTTATATCTCCGAGCAGCACCGGTGAGTTCTTTAGCATCTGTTTCCTTGGGAGAAGATTGCATCTCTTCATCTATTGGAAGTGTTCTCTTCGAGCCCTCTAGCGCAACACCCAACACTATATTCTCTTCCATAGCTGATCTAGACACTGATGACCTTGAACCATCTGATTCCTTCTTTGGTGACTTTGTTTTGCTACCACTTCTCTTGGTCTTTGGTTTCTCAGCTCCTCCTGACACTTCTGATGTATCCTTTACCGGTTTAGAGACCGGTTTAGTTCCTGTTGGGTCTGAAGAAGGCGTCTCTCTGGACATTGGACTGGAAACCTTGTCTTCTTCCTCTGCACTTGGTTTTGATGCGCGTTTTTGAGATTTTGATTTTTCTTCTCCATATATTTTGTAAGAGGGCTCGATAACCACCAAAGAACGCTTAGAAGCACCACCTCCAGGACCGTACATTGACTCTCCAAACGGTGCGTTTTCCATGTCAGCGGCTGTGTGCATCTTACGGATAGTACGAATCGGAGTAGCTAAACGTGCTCGGTGATGGCTTATGACTCTAAGAAGGTCCAACAATATAGCTTCCTGTATTCATTCACCAACAGTGTGGAAAAAAAAACTTAAAAGCCAATCCAAGAAAATTACTGCAGTGTAAAAATAACTTTTGACTTTACCTTTACAGATAAGTATTCTTCTCGATGGGACGTCTTCACAAAACAAGAGATAAGTATCTGTAGAAACCAAAAAATCAGATGTTAGTACCAGAAATCAAATTCAACTTGAGGGTTAGACTAACCATAAGGGCTTGATTTTCTGGATTGACATCCTCTAAGAATATCCTTCTATGCAGCTTCTGCTGCTCAACTTGAGGGTTCTTGGCCAGTACTTTCCGCATGTCAGCTACAATATTCTGTTTTGGACAAGTACATAGCAAGGGAATCAGCTAAAAAAACATTACATGATTGGCACTTATAAGAGTTAGGGAAACGCACATTTATTTTGTTAACGTCCAAGTAACTGATAGCTAGGTGAGTTTTGATACGCCAATGAGTTTTCTGAGTAATATTTCTCACGACATTGACTGTGAACTTATGGTTTGGGATGTGGATTGCTTCACGGTGGTCACCTCTTATGATCGTTGGTGACCACCAACCAACATGCTGAAAAAATGCGTTGCAACAACAACCATGTTAGAACCTAGGAAAAAACTCACAATATTCTAAGCTCGAAGATTATGATTACTAACCTCCACAGTACCAGAGACTTCATAACCTTCAATCTTTATTTGAATCCGCTCGTTCCGAACAAATGGCCGTGTTGCGTGAATCATAATACTTGAAAGAAAGTTTGTCAAAATCTGAAACAGCAAAAACTCAGGTTTAATCAAATATAGAAGGAAAAAGAAACTAATGATGAAAATGAGAGTGAGGTCTCTCACCTCTCGGCCAGCAAGAGTAATCAAAACTGTGCCAAGACCTCCAGCAGTGAGCCATTTGTGTGTAGAGAAACCAAGCAACTCCATGAATAGTGAAACAGCAGCAACCCACACAGCAGAATACACTGCTTTCCCAGCAAATTGAAATCCCATCTGTTCCATTTTTAAAAATTAGCAAACCATACTTGAGAAACCCATTTAGATTTCTGATCTTGGAATCAAAAACTTTCAATAACATTACATACATTTCTTGCATCATTTGGGTCACTTGTTTCAGAGAAGAGCTTCTGTGTTTGTTGGATAAGACTGCATGGACACATCTAACAAAATTCAGAACATAACAATTTCACGTGAAACAAACCACTAACAAATAGAAACATAAGATGAAAAGACAACACGCTTTACCTGGATATGCAATAGGCAAATGCAAGTACTGTTGACAACGACCTCACAAAATTCAAAAGCCGATCTTTTACAATTTTGCTAGCTTCAGTTGGAAGAACAACAGGATCTAATGCCCTTTATAACGAATTTTCACCAAAATTAGAACCCTCTATCAATTATCTCAAAGTAAGTATTATCACCAAAGTATTTGAACAATAAAGATATATACCTGCAGATAAACAGGGCTCCTAACCATAACAGCAAGGGTTGAACATACGAGGTCATAACATGGTATGTACCACTCTTTTTCCATCCGTTATCGTTTTTCTTCTGCAAGATTTGTATGGCTAAGTTTAAGACCATTAATTTGAACCGAGACAGCACAGAAAAGAAAGCATGAAACAAAACAAAAAAAAGTTAAAATGGCAACATTTACATTGAGTAATAGGTTTCTTCCTTGGCGAACAAGAGGCACTAAACCCCACACTGAGAAAATGAGAACAGAAACAGCTGGAACCAACTTAGATACGAGAGGGAATTGTTGTAGCATTCCGTGTGACCTGCAAATATTTACAGAGTGCATTAGAAAGGAACAAGAGAATTTAACAGAAATACAAACGCACTCCCTCAAAATCCCCACCAAGAACTACATTCTCTAAGGGGAACCATGGCAATAACAAAGCATACTCAACTACTTTCGAATATTTTAGAATAAAAACATTTATGCCACCCCTTAGATCCACAAAGTTTCACACTCTTCCAAATGGTCATTATGCAAGTAAAGGATTAAAAAAAAGAAAGTCGTCTTACTTTGTTAGCACCACAGTGGCAACTTTAACAGCAGGTTCAAAGACATTGCCTCCTCCACCTAAACAATGACACCTAATAGCGGTGGTTCTACATGGAACTGAAAAAATAGGCCTACGAAGATAATCCGAGAGTAAAATATTGCTGAAACCATTCTGCCCCAACTGTATACAGAAAAAAAAAAGTTACTAAATATCAGCAAACCATGTTGAAATGACTAAATGCAAGCTGTTTTCTTTTTTAAATTTACCAGAACACTTAATGAGAGATGACCCGTTGGTATACGCAGCCTCCTCCTTATATCACTCTGAGAACAAGGATTATATAAACCTTGGTTTCTGCAAAGACTCATGCCAATGCCATGGTACAATTGCAATGAACCATAGAGCGCCATCTTTTGACAAAGTTTAATGTGCTAAGGTAGCAGCTTTAGTAGCAAGCACCAATCATAAGCCTCAGAGCCTGAGGGAAAAGAGACCAAAGAGTGCCAACACAATCTCTACAAAATAGTAATAAAAACAGCACACCATTTAAAACCTAATTGTATGATACAGATGTAGCAAGCAGCAGTGCAACCGAAAGTAAGTCTTAAAGGCATGTTTAATAGGGGAATCTTAGGGTGAGGTTTTTAGCAGAATATAAGAACCAGTCACTTAACTTTTAACTAAAAAAAATTAAAAGTTAAGAGAGGGATTCTTATATTCTTCTTATATTTCGCTAAGAACACTAAAAAAACTCCATTAAACATGCTCTAAGAGTTTGTATTTGTTCTTTTTAACAGAGAATGAGAAAACGTAAAGCAAGGTATAACCTATGATGTATGATCCTTAAGACTATTAACAATCTTAGAGCGAACTAGAGCCTGCAAATCTAAATTATTTGAAAACTAAGGATCACAAATATAATTAATTTACATAAACCTAATCTCATGTAGAGGAAGCAATACAAACATACAGAGCCTAAAATAAGTTAAAACAAAAATACGAATCCAAAAATCAAAGTTACAATCGGTGGACTCGGTACAGAAACATCAACCTATCCTATAGAAAAGGAAAGACTTACCTCAGAATCAAAAATCAAAGGATAATGACGATTCTTTTAGGGTTTCAAGCTTCTTTTTTCGAAGAGATGGTTCTAGGAAGAGAGAAAGAAATCGAGGATTCGCGGAGACAGACACAAAACGGTGTCGTTTCGGAATGAACAATGTTCGGGCACGTGTTTCGTCGACACGTTAGACTCGTGTATTAAATTATTTCACTTGTGGACAAAAAAAAGACATCACTTTCCATTTTTGCTTTGTCTTTGACAAATACTTTTCATTTTTGTTAGACCCAAAAAACAAGTTTTCCATTTAAAACTTACAGTATACAACGATACCTCTCAAAATGTATCAACGCCCATTGGGCTTAATCAATGAAATACAAGTTGACAAAAAAAACATACAACGATACCTCTTATCATTATGCAAAATATCTATATAGTTTTTGGGAAAAATACCCTAGAGAGAGATCTTGTCATTATGCTGCTCAAGGAAGAGATCAAATCAAAAGGTGGAAAGTGACATACAAATGAGATAACATAAGCTCTTAGAACAAGATTCTGAAGACTTTGAGATGAAGTTTACGATCTATACCAAGGAGCTAAACTTGGTGGAGGTGAAGTTTCAAACATGAAACAAGAGAACAATAGGATTGCAGAAGAGCTAAACTGCAGTAAGAAGCTAATAATTAAATCACTTGAGGAGCTGAGTGAGGAGTTTTCATTTTCAGAGTACAAGAGAACCGTTCTAATACGTAGTCTTCGCTTGATATGAAAGCTATCATGTCGCACTTAGGTCATTCATCTTCGTTTTTCTTCATATACTACTACATCACCTTCCTTGCATGAGAGTCTTATTGGATATACTTAAACTGAAGCAACTTCTCTGATGAATGTCTGGATAACATGTACAAGAATGTAATCCACATGGCTGGTGATGGGTCTCTTTCTACTCTCTATAGTGAAAGACAGTTTCAGTTTGTTCCACTTAGTTATGGTGTAGTCCTGTAGATTAGGCTTCTTTGTAAGTTTTCTACAGTTGTTAAATAGTATGATTTCAAACCAAAGTAGTTATAATAATATTGTGAAACTTGTGAATTACTTTACATTTCTACTTTTTATATATGTTGTTTAATAAGACATGTAATAACTTTTTTTTTACTATCCTAACTTTAAAAGAAAGACAAAAAGGTCACTTGGCCATCTATCCACAGCTAGCAGAATCGCGTTAGTCTAAGCTTTCACGGCTGTTTTGTTTGACTAATGGACGATTCATCATTCATACATCTTCTTCGAGATCTTTGCTATAAAAGAAAGAAATTACACACAAAAAATTATCAGGTTTTGTCTCTTTTACCTAACCTATTAAACTACTCAATCCATTGTTAACATCTATTAGTTGTATGTTAGTAATACTTTAACTAGCGATTGTACCAAAATTTACTCGTTAATCTATGTACACAATAATAATATTTAAGAGGTCTGTAAAGTGCAAGCATCATTACCCAAGTGTGTAAATTACCCACTAAACACGGAGTTACTGTCAGAAAAATATAATGCTTGTTCTTTTCTTATTTTATAATTTAGTGATATATATGTTTTAAATCATTGGTGAACATTTTATCAGAAAATATATTTTTCTCCATTGAAAACTCTATCTTTTGTTAGTCTATTGGAAAGGTAAATATTATCCATCATGTTTTAAATTTTATTTTTCATTAGTTTAAAAGTAAAAAATTCCATTTTTATACATCTACAAAACTAAATTTGCTATAAAATCTTCATGTTTATAAATAAATCACTTTGTTTTCCAATATTGGTTCAGGTGGTCTATTCAAACTTTAATACTGATCAATGAATATATTAATCGATTGCTTGAATACCAAAAAAACATTAACAAATCGTACGATCGAAACTCCACCATTTTAAATATAATACACTACAGATTGTTTCACTGCTAATCTGGGTCTTTGCCCCTACACATTTGCCTAATACAACCAAAACATCCTAATATTTTAGAAGACAATGCTTAAAGTGAACATATTGTAACAAGTAATATTTTTGGGGGGAACAAAAAGAATTAAAGAGAGGTTTAGTCAAGGAGATTACGACAAAAGATGTGAGATTAAGATAATCGTATGGAGGACAGGGTCGCACGTGCGACACCGAAATCTTCGACCAGAAACGGGAAGATGCTGCGCACGTGCCTCCTCGGTCAAAGGTCAAAAGCAACTACAATACAATTAAACAACATTAATTTAGATAATCATGCATTAACTTATGAGAATGCAGGGTATCCTAGATACGGATGATGATTAGGAGAGTGTGTTGGCAAAGACTCTGAGCTAGTTAGGAACTTCGAATGTGTATATGTGTTAGGTGTTGCGATAAGAATTTTAAATATACATACATGTGTGTTGTATATACGAACTTCGAGCTTTTACCATCAGACATCAATGGTAATTAAACATTGGATACAAAAGAGGCAGGTGTGTGTGGCCATCTCCGCGTGTGATATCACATGCAATTAGGAGTTTTTGAAGCTAGGTCTTCCACAGAGACAGATAGTTAGAGAAATAACTTTTACAAATCGATCAATGGTGTCAAGATGTCATAAAAGGACAACAATAACCGAATGCATCAGTATCGCCATGTTTTAATTTGATTCATAGAAATATGGATATCCGATTTTTCGGATATCCAAATAATTGTATATATTTATGAATATTTACAATATCTTATATATTTTGTTTAATACTATTAAATCAAGAAAATATATCTGTTTTCTAAAATGTATTTCTTACATAATATTAAAGCAAAAAGTAAAAAAATGGAACTATAAGTTTGATAATTTTTATAATTAAACAAATTTGTAAAACACATAAATTTCAGGAAAATTGTAGTTTGTACAAAGATTTTCTGTTTATTTTTAATTTAATATTGTACATGTATTTTATAAGTAATAAAATTACATGTTAAATTAATATACAATTATACATTTAAACACTATATTTAATTTAAATATATATCTATTTATATAAAACTGTAACAAATTGAATTTACACCATTTCACCTCTAGATTTTTAATATTTTTGATTTATTGTAAGTTTAATATAAATTAATTTTTGATATTTATTTTGTTTCGAAAAATTACAACTAGATTTTTTAGATCGAATGAATAATAAATTGAATCAAAATTTAATGGATAAAAATATAGTTCTAGTTACCAAAGCCTTTAATGATTATAAATAATGTCACGTTACCCTGGCCAGGACCCAAACGAGAGGCCACGTCCGCATGCATATTTAAACAAAAACACCCATGCCATATCGAATAATTTTAACGTATTCTCTTTCTTTTTCTTTTTTTTTAAAAAAAAATTCTTTGTGGTCATGACTTCTACAATTTTACGTCTGAGTATGAACGAAAACCTCTGGTGACGGTTTAACTATCTTATTATAGTTTACACGATATTACTAAAATTCGTGATGGACAACCAATATTTTGTCAAAAAGCTAACGGAGCAACACAATTTTTAGCATGTAATAAATTATATGGTATTTCTGTGTTGTGATAAAAATGGATATATTGTGATAAAAAGGGAAGATTTAAATATTTCGATTGCATGTATAATGTATTATCATTTTATATGTATGATTAGTGTTCAGAAAACGTTGGACGGTATTAGTGTCTCAGAGCATCAACATCGGTCGTATTCAGGGGGTTTCTTATAATTAAAAGAAAATCAAAAACACAATTAATGGGAAGAGGCGTATATTATTTGGGGTTTACAAGGGACGGGTTTTTAGTACACGTGTAGGGTAAATGAGAGGAGAGAGGAGGAGCGTGTGTTTTGGTTTCGTGTTTGGTCGTGGTGTCTATTCTCTCGTCGTATCGGATCTCATAGAAGGTGATTCTCTCCGTGTCGCGTCGATGGAACGGCTTCAATCAACGGAGGAGGCAGAAGAACTCTTCCGGCAATTAACGGAACTCTGGATTTTCTGATTCCGTCGACGTGAGCGATTATCAGTTTCCGTTAAAGCAAGCTGTGACTGCCGGCGCTCTCACTTTCACCGGTGACACCATTGCTCAATTATGTGGGAGGTGGAAGAAGAAGAGAGCCGCCGCTCAACTATCTCACGTATGCTTTCTTTCTTTCTTGTGTTTGGACCATAGTTTTTCTAGTAAAATTCAAGAATTTTCAGATGGAAGGTGTATTGATGAAAGTGTTTTATAAAGCTAAAAACCCATAGTTAAAGAGACTTGCAATAAACCACCTAAATGTTCAAATTTCTTTATAGGTTTCTTATTTCATTTTTACACTTTAAAAACTATTAAAAATTAATTAAGAGACCCTTTAAGGGGTTTAGGGATAAAGATGCTCTCAATACCGTTCAAACTGTTTCATTTTGCATATGATATGTTTCGCCGTCTTATTGGACGTTTTTGACATCTTTAAACCAAATATTAATTATAACACTTTTTATCACTTGTATTTTGTCAGTGGCATTGTGAAACGAAAAATAAAGAACGGCAGTGATTCACGAAAACATGATAATTATGTAAACAATATATGGCAAATATAACGTTTTGAAGAATTGCATGTCGATTTGTCCATCAACACATTCGTGAAGTGAGCAGACCAAATCTATTCAGTGTGCGACAATCCATATTCTGGTCAACGGAAACAATACTTTCAATTGTCGCGTCCGCTAGTCACATCGACTAATCTTTTGTGTTACCGTAGCGATGGACGCTCACGTCCATGTATTTGAAATAGAAATTAACATATTATTGTATTCCATTATTACACTAATTAATGGCAACCAAGCGTATCAACGTTCATTCTCATGTATTTGCTTTTGATCTCATTTAGACCTATCAAGAAAATATATGTTCTTTACATCGACGTAGTGCGTTCGTTCCATCTAGTTGCCTAAAAGACATTTCTTTACGACTTGTGTTGATTCAAACATATGAAGTGAAAATATTGACTGCCTACTATATATTTGTTTTAAAAGTAGTAAAGGATGGCATATATTTATTTTTTGGCAGATACTACGTCCATTTCAAAATAATTTGAAATGTATAATATAGAATTTTCACACTTATTAAAAAAATACGTAAAATTTTGTAATAAATATAATATTTTTTGTATTTAGCTATTTCCTATGATTTTTAACCAATCAAAATTTAGTAAATATAATTAATATTTTTGAAATTGATAATTTACCAGTATTATCTACATTGAAAATATAAAATATAAATTTTTTAGAAACAACTTTTTTTTTTTTAAACATACATCATTTTGAAAGGGAGAGGATATGTTTTAGATACTAAAATTAGTTTTCTAGTTTCTTGGAGATACAAACTACATATTAAAAATTGAATGTTGAAAATGTTCGTGGTTCGATAAAGTAGAAGTGTAGGATACGAAATGCTGTAGATTATTAAACAATACGACATTAAACCCTAATCACGTGCCTTAATTGCTGGGCCTTCGTTTTCTCATTATTAATTTGCTTCGTTTTTACAGAGGAAACCCGCCACCTCATCTGGCGAGTTGTCGCCCACAAGCTTTTCTCTTTTTGCTTCTCGATCTCTCAAATTCTTCAGAATTAATATTTTTATAATCTCGAATAGTAATTATGCATATATGCATGAACATGTATTTTAACCGGCCCTATACAAGTTTACCCGGGATTTGACTGTTCTTTTGACCCAAAAGGTATATCTAGTATTTTTGGGTCTATCTTAGTATATGTTCCTTTTTAATACTCATTTGGCATCCTACTCTACTAAACTTCAATGTCCTTCATATATAAAAACAATCTGCTCTTTTATAATGTTTTAGATAGCATAGCAAGAAAGTTCACAAATGTAACCTAAGTTTGTTTGTACAAAAGAACTATATTTGTTTTTTTTCTTCTTCATTTTATACAATATCTTAACTTAAATTTTGTTTTCATTTTTGTGATAGTATAGGACTCTCTGTATAAATCCATCCCAAAACTAATAAGTATGTTGGATGTAAATGATTGTATCTTGTACAAAAATAAGAGAACCCAAATATGAAATACTAGTTAAAAGAGGGGTTAGACTGTAAATAAAAAAAAGTTGCCGAGTTAAGAAAAAGCTAAGGAAATCCGATCCGAAAGAGTAAAAAAATCCGGTTGGGTGGGTAAAAAAAGAGTGGGGGCATGGCCGAATGAGAGAAGAAAGAGTGGAGACAATGCATGCACGACAAGTGGAGACAGCTAGTGTTTTTGATTTACTTTGGTTTGGAGTTCAAGTGGTAATTTGGTAATTAAATTATCACCTCCCAAATCTTTAACCTTTGTTTAATAGTAATTAAATTATCCTTATAACAAACGCCTATTATGAAATTCCGACTGGAGTGTCCATCCTAGGTTTGATTCGCGTTGGTCAGTAGAAAATTTACATTTGGATTTTCTATGGCATCTGAGACTAAAGACCGCTATTCGACCATGATTCACTTTCGGATGTATGTCCGCATCACTGAAGGATTTGATCTCTAGTCTAAACCACTATGGTGAGATCAGAACACTCGATTAAAAAAAAAAAAAAAATTATCGTTACAATAAAAAGCTAAAGCTAGAATATATCTCTCTCTATCTCTAGTGTTTCAAAAGAAAAAAAAAATAGCCGAGCGACACAGAAGAAACCGGTCTACTTTTTTTTCCAACTCTCTCTCCTATCTAGTCTATACATGCACATTCTCTCTCTCTCTCTGCTGCAAGTGCATTATTATTTTTTTCTGATTAAAGAAAACAATCTTCTCCTCCCCTTCCTCACATTTTCTTTATAAGTAGACGTCTCAGACGTTTCTTAAAGAGCTTCTGCTTCCATCTTCTCTTCTCTTCATTCAATATCTCAAACAACTGCTTACAAGCCTTTGCTCACTGTGTCTCAAAGCTTCATTTCGTCAAACAGACATGCAATAGATAGATCCTCCGACAAAAAAAAAAAAAAGAAGAGATCACAGTGGTTAGTGTAACGCTTGAGATCAGGTTTGTATTTTTTTTTTTTAAAGACAACCTTTCTCTTGGTTTAGTCTTAAATCTTTTTTTTTGTCTTTTTCTACAGAATCATAATTTTTTTTGACTAATATAACCAATTTCTTATCAGATTTTACCGAAGAAACACAACAACAACAAACAAGAGAGAGAGAAAGCAAAAAAGGAAACTAAATGGCTTCTATGACGAACTGGTTAACGTTTTCTTTGTCACCAATGGAGATGCTGAGGTCATCTGATCAATCTCAGTTCGTGTCCTATGACGCTTCTTCCACCTCCGCCTCTTCTCCTTATCTCCTCGATAATTTCTATGGTAACAAAATAAATAAAATTACTATGTTTTTTCAACTAAACACGAATGATTGTAGTGTTACACATCTAAGTATAGACTCTAGTAACCGACTAGGTTAGCTTTATTCCTATAAAACCGAGTTCTGCTGAACTCAGCTTCTGACTATCTTTGTCTGTTTCCGACAAAAAAAATAGTGACTTCTCGTGATCTTTGTTGTTTAATATCTTCTCCTATGTTAGGTTGGACGAATCAAAAGCCTCAAGAAGAAGATATATCAGCTTCAATGGCGGATTCAACAATCTTATCAACATTTGTAGACCAACAAACTCAATCTCATAATCACATCCCAAAACTCGAAGATTTTCTCGGTGACTTTCGTTATTCAGACAACAGTCAAACCGATACACAAGACTCTTCTTCCCTCACTCATCATATCTACGGTCACCAAAACCAAACCGGGTTTTACTCTGATCATAACCACGATTTCAAATCCATGACCGGTTTTCAAACCGCTTTTTCCACAAACTCCGGTTCTGAAGTTGATGACTCAGGTTCTATCGGTCGGGCAGCTCATATAGCGGGAGAGTATTTGGGACACGTGGTGGAGTCTTCTGGTCACGGGGGAGCTTTGTCACTTGCGGTTAACGTTAACAACAGTAATAATCATAGGACTAGTAATGATGATAATCAGATCACTGAGCATCATTACAGAGTTAATAACAACAATAATAATAACGAGAAGACAAAGACGGATTGTGAGAAGGAGAAGAGTGTTGTGGCTGTGGAAACATCAGATTGTTCTAACAAGAAGGTTGCTGATACGTTTGGACAAAGGACTTCCATTTACAGAGGAGTTACTAGGTGAGTTTGAAAATTAAGAAGAGTCAAAGGAGTTGTGTTTGTCATTAGTCAAAGTCATTTACTAAACTTTTGATTTTTTTTTTGTTTATTATTGTTTAATTTTGATTTGATGCAGACATAGATGGACGGGAAGATATGAAGCTCATCTATGGGATAATAGCTGTAGAAGAGAAGGTCAAGCCAGGAAAGGACGTCAAGGTAATTTTTTTTTTACTTTCAGCCTATTTGATTTCATCACTGTTAACAATATTTCTTGACGTCGAGAAGTTTAATCCGTGTGGTTATTTTGGTTTTACATTTATGTCGTTTAGGCAAATGATATCTTGCTTGTGAGTATTTGTTCCCATGTACCTAAGTGAGATTTATAAAGATTAAAAATAAAAGATAAGAGTTTTGTCAAAGAAACTGAATGCAAGATTCAAAAGAAGCTTTACCTTTTTTCCTTTATTTTATTGATCTGTCTATATCTTTACTATGATGATTGATAGAAATTAAGGGTAGCCAAAGTTTTTAACTTTCACAATACTTTTGAGTCAGAACTCAGGGAAAGAAAGAAGGGTAATATGTATATTGTATAGTTATTGTTTGTTGAATTTTTCATATATTTAGCCGAAGGGTGCCGCCATTTTGTTCCTTTGTCTTTATTACATTTCAAAATTCTTTCATTTCATCCTAAAAGCCTAAAGGTATCATAAGATGGGTCCCAATGGCATTGCCTATATGATGCAACATCTGTTTCTTTGATTGACAGCTTTAAGGTCCCACTTTGACCTTATGATCCCACATTTCTCTTCACCTACATATTGTTAAGCATATACTACATGATTTGATGTTATGTAGTAGGCATGTGATGTGAGACCATTGACCTCTTTCTTCAGTTTTTAGCTTCATAGGGGTTTAAGTGAAGTGTACTTGGGTTGATTTTTTTTTTTTTTTTTTTTTTTTTTATTTCTTAAATATAAAACATGATAGTACTTATTTACAATGAAGTGATCAATTTTTTTAAAAAAATTAAATGAAATTTTCCAAAGAGTGTAGTGTTTCTGCTGTCCATAAGGTGTCAGATTGATTTATGTGTAGTGTTCACATCAACAAAGCAAAGTCTGAATATTCTCAGTAGCTTTTGCTTTATTTTTATATATGTTCTTGCTTTGGGCTACCACCACCACAAGAGTGGGGATCTAGGGTTTTGACCACATTCAAAACTTCCATTCTCTGTCTTTTTTGTTTGTTTGTTTTTAAATTCTCTCACTTTTGCATTCTGAGTATGATGACATAGTATGATGGTTGATAACTGATTTTACTTACACAGTCTGCATTATTCTATTGCACAACAAAACCAGTGCTAGACTATTAGACTTTCTTTTAGTAATATTTGTTACATATCCTTTAAGCATTATGATCATTTCGTTGGCTAAGTAATTTCCTCTTTTGTCCGCATGTAACTTGGTATGGGTTGCGCCATTGATGGATGTTGGCTTTTCCTTAAATCAACAGTATACTTGGGTAAGAAGAATATCTCAACTAGTCAGTTATTACAAGAACAATAATGGACATGCCTTTAATAAAACTGTTTATGTTGTGAATGATTCAGGTGGATATGACAAAGAAGATAAGGCAGCTCGAGCTTACGATCTAGCAGCTCTTAAGTACTGGAATGCTGCTGCTACCACCAATTTTCCTGTAAACAACTTCTTTCTCTTTTTCTGATTTGTTCCGTTAGTGTTTTTTTTTTTAAAGCTTGGTCACTATATACTAATCAATTCTAATCATTTTTAGATTACTATTTACTCAAAAGAATTAGAGGAAATGAAGCACATGACCAAACAAGAGTTCATTGCTTCCCTTAGGAGGTAAGATCCATAAACAAGACCATTTATATATATATACATTGTGTGTTTTTCGAAAATAACACTGAGGTGAAATGATATAATTACAGGAAGAGTAGTGGATTCTCTAGAGGAGCTTCCATGTACCGAGGTGTAACAAGGCATCATCAACAAGGACGTTGGCAAGCAAGGATTGGCCGTGTTGCTGGAAACAAAGATCTTTACCTCGGAACCTTTGGTAAGTCGATAAATAAAATTCAGGAAGATATTAATATTCATCAAAAGGTTCTGACATTTTTTGTGTGTGTGATTATGTTGTAGCAACGGAAGAGGAAGCAGCTGAGGCATACGACATAGCAGCGATCAAATTCAGAGGAATCAACGCTGTAACAAACTTTGAGATGAACCGTTACGACGTTGAAGCCATCATGAAGAGTTCACTTCCCATTGGTAGTGCAGCAAAACGTCTTAAACTCTCTTTAGAATCTGAGCAGAAACCTATCATCGGTCATCATCAACTCCACCATTTTCAGCAACAACAACAGCTTCAGATTCAGTCTTCTCCTAATGACAGTAACATTAACTTCTCAGCTGTTCAGTCTCAGATGATTCCATGTGGAATCCCTTTTGAAGCAGCTTCTCTTTACCACCATCAACAGCAACAACAACAACAGCAACAAAACTTTTTCCAGCATTTTCCGGTGAATGCAGCTTCTGATTCAACGGACTCTGATAATAACTCCAACGTTCAAGGGTCAATGGGACTTTTGGCGCCAAATGCAGCTGAGTTCTTCCTCTGGCCTAATCAGTCTTACTAGAGTCTTATTTTGGGGTTTAAGTTCTTAATCTTGTTTAAGGGGTACGGTTTCACAACTTCTTGACTATGGCTAACCCATAAACCTGACTAGAAGGATATGGAAATCTCACTTGAGTCTGTCTTTCTTTTGGTTTCATTAAATGTTGTTTTAGGCAGGAGTAGATTGGGGGTGAAAAGGGGAAGAACTGAAAAGAGTTGGGGTTACTATTGTATCAAATTATAAACTCGGTGGTGACAACGGTTGGTTTTGGGAATTAGGAGTGGTTTCTTTATCAATTTATGAAATATTTATTTTGAAAAAGTTGTATAATATATGATGAGACCAGTGTTACTTTTGAGGCTTCATTTAAAACTATAATGGGTATTCTTATTCACAAAGGCAATCTACATTGCATTAGCCAGGCAATAGTTATAGCTCCCACAATGTCATGACCGGTTTTGATTGGCTGTAATCTCTGTGTTTATTTGTGTCAGTTGGTGAACTAACACCATCCACAACAAAGGGTCCTAAATAGAGTTTTTAGTGAAATATTAATTTTATAATCAGTAGGTTCCATGAAAAATTAAAGATTCTATCTTTAAAAATCTTATTTAAAGATGATCCTTATACTATTCGCGAACTCCACTGTCCACGTGGCAACCCGTAAATGGTCAATTTATTTTTTAAAGAAAATTTTTAAAATATCTTTATATAATCCAAAATACTTCATTTTTTCTCTAAGGATTCTCCCTAATGATTTCTTGTTTTGGATGCCCTAAGCCTGTTAATATCAAACCATTCCTCTTCATTTTTTTTTTACAATAACAAAGATATATAGCTCTCCAAAAGCTCAATCATATGGCCACCAAACTCACTAATGTGAAGAATTTCAGTTGCTGAAGTTTATATGATATGATATTTACGTTAGGTTTGAATTATTATTGTGATCGTCTACAAACAAGTAGCGCCTGTAGCTCAGTGGATAGAGCGTCCGTTTCCTAAGCGGAAGGCCGTAGGTTCGACCCCTACCTGGCGCGCCAAACTTTTTGATTTATTTTGTCATCTCTTCCTCTTACAAAAGCCTTCTTAAAGTGTATCGTTTTATGTTCTATGAAGTTTGTGTATAAGTTGGCGACTGAAATAGTAATTAGTGTCTTTAATTGGAGAAACTTGTTTCACAAGCAAGAGTAACATAAACAGTAAACATCAAATTACACTGAGACACAAGGATACAATGCAAACACACACATCCACACAGAGAAAGACACAGAGAGTATAAATAGCAACAGAGATCTGCTCAACGACCAAGTTGAACACTCGAAAACGTCGCAGTCCCAGCTCCACCATAGCTAACCGATGTTCCATCACTCGAAGACGTCACATTATAACTAGCAACAGGCATTTTGCTCGTAAGATGAGGCAACGGCGCTTCAAAACTCAAAACCTGAATCGCTTGTTTTATAGAAGGCCTCGAGTTTCTATCAGGATGAGCACACCACAACCCTACAACCATAAGACACTCTGCTTGCTTCTCATCAAAACCATCAACCCCAAGCTTCTCATCAACAACTTTAATAACTTCTCCTTTCCCATACATATCCCACACTTTCTCCACAAGGCTTGTCTCAGGCTCAACTCTTCCTTGTCTCGGATCAACAGACTTTCTCCCTGTCACAATCTCCAACGTCACAACACCAAAGCTATAAACATCAGACTCTTTACTCGCTCTTCCCGTGCTTATATACTCAGGTGCCATGTAACCAAACGTCCCTGCTAACCCTGTAGTCTGCGGCCCCAGCTCGTGATCCATCAACCTAGCCAACCCGAAATCACCAAGCTTGGCGTTGAAGTTAGAGTCCAGCATCACGTTACTCGCCTTGATGTCTCTGTGGATAACACACTGCTCCCACTCCTCGTGTAGATAAAGCAACGCAGAGGCTATACCTAGAGTTACCTTGCACCTCAAGGCCCAAGCGAGATGCGGTTTTTTACCAAATAAGTGAGCGTCTAAGCTACCGTTTGGCATGAACTCGTATACCATTAGAAACTCATCTTTCTCATGACACCAACCAATGAGTTGCACTAAGTTTCGATGTCTTAAGCTGCTGATTATCTTTACTTCTGTTATGAACTCTCTTTTCCCTTGCTTAGACCCGCCTGCAAACTTCTTTACCGCAACCATCATGTCTAAGCCGTTTAAGTAGCCTTTATACACCGCTCCAAAACCTCCTTCACCTAGCTTTCTATCACTTGAGAAACTGTTAGCAGCTGTTGCGAGATCTTTATAAGTAAACTTCCTTGGTCCTGCTCCTCTTTCGAGATCTTCGTTTATAGATGTTAAGTTTGTTCTCTCCTCTGCTCTCTTCTTCTTCTGCTTCCGTTTCAAGAAGACGATGAACGAGACAATGAGAAAAGTCAGCAAGACAAAACCAGAAGCTGAAACACCAATGATCAACCCTTTCCTGTCTTTTTGAACTTTCTTGTCATCTCTTAGCTCAAGGCTTGAACTGTACTCCCATGACATGAGTCTATTCCCTTCAGTGGACCCACCAGATGAAGCAGAGAACCCAATAGTGACTTCTGATGGCAGCACCTTCGAAAGATCAATGATGTAAGAAAGGCTCGAGTTCTCCTTAGGATCGGATGTTGTGTCGTAAGTCCAAGAGACGCTCAAGTTTCTTGTACCGGAATCATAAACGATCAGCACACGGCCTATGTCTCGGCTGTGTGTGGAAGCGTTCCATGAAGTAAAGTTAGCAGACGCAAGAGAGTTGTTGTTGATTCCCACATGAGAAACGGGAGGATCCCAGTCCTGATTAGCATACGTGTCGAACTCGACGTGGACGAGTGGGTAAGAAGAAGATAGGACGTTGGTTTCGTTGAACAGACCCAAGAAACCACCAGCTGAGTTTGGAGGCATTTCGATTCCGGCTGGAGCTAGGAAGAAAGCGAAGCCATGACCATAGTTACTGAACGCAACACCCCTTGTGTCGATTCTGAAGGAGAAGCGGGTGGTGAAATCCGAAGGCTGACCGATCGCAGGATCCCATAGAGGAATCTTCTTACCATAAGTAACCCAACCGGAACGGCAAGTCCAGTCAATGTTGGTGAGCTCAACAGCGCCGTTTGCTCTTGCATCTCCTTGGTAGACTACTTGAGAGTTATCTGAGCCGAAACGAGAGATGTTAAAGTGAACTGAACAGACAAAAGGGAGAAACCAAACAAAGGAGAAGAAGAGGATTGAGTTGGTCATTTTGCAGGAAGAAACGGCGTTTAGCACAAGAGACAAAGATGGTGTTATTGATTGATGATATGTATACTTCACAGCAAGTCAACGACTAAACCGCAAGAAGAAGAATGATTGCTACTATCATAGGGAAAAACAAAGTTATAAACAATCATTTAAGTCACAAGAAAAGTTGACCTTAGGAGTAAACAAAACAAATCCAAATTATATATTTTCTAATGAATACGACATGAAAGGATTATTAAAATGTGGAAGACATGTTGAGTGCTCATCCTAGATTGTGGCTTAAGATAATCACAAGGCATATCAAAGAGATAACATCAATTTTTTTCAGGCAGAATGAGTTCAAAAACAACGTTTTCAAGCAGAGCGACACGGCAATGAAAAGAGGAACATTAAACACTGACCTTTTCAACAGAACTAGGTCATGCACAGCACAACCACCACGATAAGTTATAGAGGACTGGTCACCAACAACACATGCGGTTCATTTGTAAACCTAGGAACATGTCAATGCACATAGAAAAAGTACGTGGAAAGGAAATAGTCTAAACACTTTGAGAATAAACTAAACTGTACGGAAGAATATTTGTGAAGAACAAATGATTTGAAAACAACTTCCATCAAGTCAATGACAAAACCTAGGATTAGAAAAATAAGCTCATCTGAGCTAGGTTGCATGGAAACTCCGTTTCCCGTTTCGGAAACGTTTTGAAATCGGAATCTCTTGGAAACTCTTTGGAAACACGTTTCTTGAAATTTTCATTTTGGAAACACGATGGAAACTTGTGTTTCTGATTTGGAAACTCACGATTCTAATTTGGAAACTCACGATTCTAATTAGAAACGTAAAAACAACTATTTGGCATTTGATGTTAGTGATTACATGTTTATTATTTTATATTTTAATATCATCTTTGATTTTTGTTATCATTTTAGTATAATGATATGATTTGAAATGAAGTCGCTTCATAGTTTTATCGAATGATAAAATGTGTTACTTTTCTAGTTATTGATTACAATTTTAATAAAACATACAAAAAATATTTATATTATTTAATTTTTTCTCTTAGATAAAAAAATATAAGCTTACATGTTGATTAATCATATATATATATATATATATATATATATATATATATATATATATTAGACGTTTCTAAAACGTTTCCATTTTTATTTTCCACGTATCTGTTTCCGATTCCATGCAACCTAGCATCTGAGATTCTGAGGAGCCAGCTCAACCTCAACATAAAACTACTTCTACCATCGATGGTTTTTCCTTTATTTTGTCAACTTAAGTCTATCTGTTACCACTAAAAAGAATGTAATAAAGAATTGTATAAGAAAGCAAAAGAATTGACCTCAAGAGCAAACAAATGATTATCATAAGTCTTCTCCTACGTGCAAGAATCAACCAACCAATACACCAAAAAAACATTATCTTTGAAAGTGATGTAATCATGTGAAATTTTAATAGAAAGTAGAAAAGTGTTTGTAACCATGGATCATGGCATCATGCAGTTCAGAAAACAACTTATCACTTATATCGGTTATCGCCAAAAGTATCATTTCGTCGAACACTTGATCGGTACGTTCGTAAAAAATATCAGAACGATAATTATTACTCCCTCCGTTTCGAATTAGATGTCAAGGAAAATTTTGGTTTCAAGGAAAAATTTGGTTTCGAATTAGATGTCAAGGAAAAATTTGGTTTCAAAATTTTAGAGTTCCGAGACAAAATTTATTAGGTTTATATGATATTCTATTTTTCTATTGGTTAAAAAGTGCTTAGGTATATTGGTAATTGTGCATTTTATATTGAAAATATGTAAAATTAAATGTTTGTGTAAAAACCTAGAATGATAATTAAACTGAAACGGGAGTACTTTTTACCATTACAAATCTCTTCAACTTAAACCCAAGCTTTTGTTATTCTCATTTTAGTCCCTCAACTTTCTCTAAATCATACACTTGCCCCTTAAGCTTAACTTCCTTTAACATTCTGTCCTCTCCCAGATCCAACCTCCACACTGCCTCAAACTTTCATTCGTCTCTTCCAATGGCTTCTGAAGATTCCCTCTCCTCGAATCCTCTGTTACAGAACTTCGAGTTTCCTCCGTTCGACGTCGTCGATGCTCACCATGTCAGACCAGGGATCCGTGCTCTGTTACACCAGCTCGTAACGATTCTCTATCCCCTGTTTAAATCATCGTGTTGAGCTTTTCGAGTGTCTATATTAGTCGTTACAGATGTTAGATCGCCTAATTGTTCTACGATCACGATTGTTGATGTTTTGATTTACGTTTTGGTGTTTTTTTTTTTTGCCAGGAAGCTGAATTGGAGCAGTTAGAGAAAACCGTGGAGCCTTCATGGCCTAAACTAGTGGAGCCGTTAGAGAGGATTATTGATAGGTTAACTGTTGTTTGGGGAATGATCAATCACCTTAAGGCTGTTAAGGATACTCCCGAGCTTCGTGCTGCCATTGAAGAAGTTCAGGTTGATTACTATTCTCTTCTCTTTCTCATGAGTGGTTTGATTTAGATTATGTACTTCTTGTGTGAAGCTCTTATGAATTAATGTCTACGTTTGCTCGATTGCCGCTAAACCTTTTCATCAATGCTAAAATGATATTCTTGCAGTTAAAAACCTGTGCAGGGCTAAGTTCGTTTCCTAGAGTGTGATATATTTCTTTTTAGTAGATTTTTGGATTCAGGGAAGGGAGATCTAAGTTTTTGTTAGTAGAAATGATATTCGTGGAGTGTATTATATTTTTTTATTTGGTAAATTATATGGCTTCAGACAAGAGGCAGTGTTGAGTTTTTGTTTGTTTGTTCAGTGGATTAGGTTTCATTTTTTTTTTTGGTTTTCTAATCATATGCTTTCATCTACAGCCGGAGAAAGTGAAGTTCCAGCTCAGGTTGGGGCAGAGCAAACCGATTTATAATGCATTTAAGTCTATTCGAGAATCTCCAGACTGGAATACACTGATTGAAGCTCGTCAGCGATTAGTAGAAGGTAAATAACTACAAATGGGGGCATAAAATAAATAAATGAAATCTTATTATAATTTTCAGTGTTTTGAGATATGTGCCAACTATGGTGTCCGTGTGTTTTCAGCACAAATAAAGGAGGCGGTTCTCAGTGGTATTGCTCTTGAAGATGACAAGAGAGAAGAATTTAACAAAATTGAACAGGTTTGTCTATAAATCTTGATGCATAAATGTCAGCTTGTTTAGTTAATGTATTTAGGCTTTTCACCTTCTGTGTGATTTGTAATATCATCTGCGTATTTGAACTCTTGCTTTCCATTACAGGAACTCGAGAAACTTTCCCATAAGTTTTCTGAGAATGTTTTGGACGCTACAAAGAAGTTTGAAAAGTTGATAACAGACAAGAAAGAGATCGAAGGGTTGCCACCATCTGCACTTGGGTTATTCGCACAAGCAGCTGTTTCCAAGGTATGGACTAACCGAAATATAAAGTTCCATTTGCGTTTTACATTGGTTTTTTCAGTTGCTTATGCGTCTTGGTATATGACACTAAGGGCCATGAAAATGCAACTGCTGACGTTGGACCATGGCTCATTACACTGGATGGTCCAAGTTATCTCCCCGTCATGCAACATGCCAAAAATCGTGCTCTGCGTGAGGAGGTTTATCGTGCTTACTTATCTCGTGCCTCTTCAGGTGATTTAGATAATACTGCTATTATCGACCAAATCTTGAAGCTCCGATTGGAAAAGGCTAAGCTTCTTGGTTTCAACAATTACGCTGAGGTATAGTCATCTCACTAAGTCAAGCTTTCTCTCTTTTATTTGTGGGCTTAATTTTAATATGACTCCTATTCTACAGGTAAGCATGGCTACGAAAATGGCTACTGTGGAGAAAGCAGATGAGCTATTAGAAAAGCTTCGCAGTGCTTCTTGGGCTCCGGCTGTTCAAGGTAACTTCTAGTGAAGTAGGCTTCTGCTGCATTTATCTGTCCAGTAAAGTATGTAGTGGTGGCCGTCAAAGCGTTTTTGCATCGGCCTATCAAGACAAACCTAATTAATCTTTCATGCGTTGTGAACTTAGACATAGAAGACCTTAAGAGTTTTGCAAAGAACCAAGGTGCTGCAGAAGCTGACAGTTTGACTCACTGGGACATCACTTTCTGGAGTGAGAGGCTCCGTGAATCCAAATACGATATTAATGAGGTTCTAGTCCTTATTCTTTAGCTTGCGATACATTATATTATTTCGAAACTCTTGTTCGCTTATCAGTCACTACTTGTATTTTTTTGTAGGAAGAACTGCGACCCTACTTCTCACTGCCAAAGGTTATGGATGGGCTTTTTGGTCTAGCAAAGACGCTTTTTGGAATTGATGTGGCGCCGGCTGATGGTGTAGCTCCGGTAAAATCTGGAGCCTAATCTGTTGTGCTTCTCCTTATGTCCATCATGTTCTAATCTTTGTTAACATGTTATATATCATTGCCTTGAAGGTCTGGAACAGCGACGTTAGGTTCTACTGCATCAAAGATTCTTCTGGAAATCCAACTGCTTATTTCTACTTTGATCCATACTCTCGTCCGTCAGAAAAGAGAGACGGAGCTTGGATGGATGAAGTTTTTTCACGTAGCCGAGTCATGGCCCAGAAGGGTTCCTCCGTTCGGCTACCTGTTGCGCAGATGGTCTGCAACCAAACACCACCGGTTGGTGACAAGCCAAGCCTTATGACATTCCGAGAGGTAAAAAAAATCAGTTGGTACAGCGTATATGGAAAGAGTTCACACTATCAACTATGACGTTAATACTTAGTATGGTTTGGTAGTTGGTAACACACAGTGACTAACCATGCTATTAGTTTGTCATGAAGTAAAAGGTTATACTGGTACATGACAAGACTTACTCATGTGTAATTTAAAGTTTATTTGACTATTGTGAAATGGTATTTACTCACGAAACTTTTCATATTGATGACATAAAGGCCATGCTGTGTAGTTTTCCATTAATGTAGGAGCATGGCATGAATCTTGATAATCTTACTCTTATACGCATGGTCAAAGACTCACGATCGTCATTCTAACTCTGATTTACAGGTAGAGACTGTCTTCCATGAATTTGGCCATGCTCTCCAGCATATGCTTACGAAAGAGGATGAGGGACTAGTTGCTGGTATCAGAAATATCGAATGGGATGCAGTTGAATTACCTTCACAGTTTATGGAGAACTGGTGCTACCACAGGTACTTTGTTTAACTGCCTTGTCGATTTTAATTTACAAACTGTGCTTTTGCTCTCTGTACAATACTTTTCAGTGTTGCGTAGAGGCATTTTTTACTATTATATTTATAATGAACATAATACGGTTGTGGTTACAGGGATACCTTAATGAGCATTGCCAAGCATTATCAAACAGGAGAAACTCTGCCGGAGAATGTATACAAGAAGCTCCTAGCTGCAAGAACATTCCGTGCAGGGTCCCTTAGTCTTCGTCAGGTCAGTACATCATATCAAATTGCTTATGTTCAAATGATACATTTGACTAAATATAGCTCTTGTTTTGTTCCAGTTGAAGTTCGCTACAGTTGATCTGGAGCTGCACACAAAATATGTGCCAGGTGGGACAGAGTCTATATACGATGTTGATCAAAGGGTGTCCATGAAGACACAAGTCATCCCTCCCCTTCCTGAGGACAGATTCCTCTGCAGCTTCAGCCATATATTTGCAGGTAAAAACTTGTATAATTACCATTAAACGGCATCCATACACAAGTCGTTCTGTAGTTTCTTACACTTGTTCACGTTTTCATGTTTTGCCAGGCGGTTATGCAGCTGGATATTACAGTTACAAGGTATTATATTTATACTGCTGCATTTATATAATTCAATAGTACAGCAGTTCTCTTTAGCTAATTGTAATCAACATTCTAACCACACTTTTTGTGGAAAACGTGCAGTGGGCGGAAGTTTTGTCTGCGGATGCATTTTCAGCATTTGAAGATGCTGGGTTGGATGACATCAAGGTATATACGCTTATATCAAAACAATTCATATTAACTTTCAATTCGTTTTTCCAGATTTGTTTACATCTCTGTGTGTTGCAAACACAGGCCGTTAAAGAGACGGGACAGCGATTCAGAAACACCATACTTGCTCTGGGAGGAGGAAAAGCGCCTCTACAAGTAAAATCTCCTCACTGCTTTTTGGTTCTACTTGCGTATATACATACAAACAAAACCGTTTGCTCAAACTTTGTGTTGCCTGTTATTATATTGAACAGGTGTTTGTGGAGTTCAGAGGACGGGAACCTTCCCCAGAGCCTCTTCTCAGACACAACGGACTCCTGGTTGCTTCTGCTTGAAAACTTCTATGTATTCTCTTTGAAACTGATCTTGTCTCGTTTTTATTGAATAGTCATCGTCGTACCTTGCTTTTAGGATCATTAATGTCATCCAATAAAATTAAATTTTTTACTTGCTTGTTCACTGAGTATGTCTTGCGTAGACTCATCAATAAAGATCCAGAGATGTGAGAGTGATAATACAAGTTAATGCTTCTATAAAGAAAACTAACAGAGATTCCTTCTTCATTCTTTGTACAAACGCTCAAACAAAAGAGACAAATAGGAACAAACCCACCACCAAGTGATCCTCTTCATCTTTGCTTTAGGTCACTCTCAACCTCTGTTCATCTTGTCACAAATAATCTAAAAAGAACTAAAGAACCTTAATTTTTGAAAGAGTAAAAAGGAAACTATTCCACTTCATCTTCATCCTAGGAATCTAAAACCTCTTCCACTTCATTCGGTCCAAACACTTATCACTGGCCTTCTTTTGCTTCCACAAAGGGTGATTGCACACTATCAGCATCTGAATCACTTCCAGATGAACTCCCTGAATCTACAAAAAGAGATGACAGTTAGATCACATTTAACACTAACAGAAGAACATAAGAAAGGGAATCATCATTACCACTAGAAGAAGAGCCACCACTAGAACTGGAGCTGCCAGAAGAACTAGACCCACCACTTGCAGCAGCAGTGGCGGCTGTACCATCCCTTTCAATCTCCACTGATGGATAATCTTCAATTGGTATATCTTCCCCAATGTCTACATCCTCTTCTCCTCCATCCCCTCCTTTCCTCACTCTCTTCTCAGCACTTCCCATTTCCATCACCGGAGGCTGTGATGATAAACACAAATAAAGATCATTACTAACTAAACAGAAAACAATGTCTGAACTCTGATACAATTGATCATTAACTAGCTTTACCATATTTCTTGTCGGAGTTGACAGATTCTGAATGAACCCTTGTCGCTTAATCTTGCTTGCCATCTTCTTGTAGTTAGTGACAAAACGATCAAGCTCCCAGAGAGTCTCATTATCCAACTCTTCAATATCTAACTCAATCTCGTCTCCATCTTGAGGTAGATTAGTAGTTCTCTTCTTAAGAATCTGAATCAACTGTCCAAGCTTCTCAGGAGGCAACTCCTGTAGATTCACACCAAGCTTTGCCTTTTCTTCCATAGTCATCTCTCTCTTGTTAGGATCCTTAGCTTTCGGCTTTGGTAACTTCCCTTTCCTCCCCTTAGTCGCTTCTCCCACCTCAAGAGATGCTTCCACTTGGTTAACCGGTTGGGGAGGTTGAGGCGGTGTTTCAGCTTTGCTAACAACCGGCTGAGGAGGTGGTGATGGTGGCTTAGCCGGTGACAGAGGAGGAGTCAAGACACGTGGCAGCTCAACAACTGGAGGATGCAATGTAGGTAACGGCTTCAAAGAATCAAGCTTCTTAGCTATCGAAATCTGTTCAGGTCCTTTCCTTACATTCTCCAACACTCTCTGGCTAAATTCAGACACAACAGGAGGAGGAGGAGGAGGGCGAGAAGACGAACCCTGTTGAGCTTCAAACTTCTTCAACGTAGGAAGAAACCAAACATCAAACTGACTCAACAGCTTCTCAGCCATTTTATAAACATCTTGCCCCTTAGGATTATACGCCAAGGCATTAGTGAAAGTCAACCTAACATCAGAAGCAAAATCAACCGGAGATCTATAAAAGCCCTTTTCAAGATTCGTCTTCACAGTGCCAAGATCCATAGGCTTCTTAACTATCAAATGATAGTCGTGAAGCCCTAACCCTAAAACATCAACAGGCGTGTTGAACACCCAAGACCACTTGTGCTTCATCAGCTTCGTCAAGATCTGACCGCACGTCCTCAACGCCTTCTCCGCCTCCAGATCCAACCGTCCATGGCCCGTCTTCTTCTTCTTGTTCGCCTTCTTAACTCCAATCTCGTCGTTGTTCAAGCTAGTTGTGAAAGCGCCTGATTCGATCCGTTCCTTGAGGAACCGAACTTGCTCCAACTCCAAATTGAGACGCTTCTTGAGCTCCCTGAGCTGATTCGAGGAGTAGGAGTCGAGATCGAAGGAAACGTAGTCTCCATCGGGGAAGAGCTGTTTGGTAGAATTAGGGTTAGGGTTGGTGAAATCGTCGGAGAGGTTAGTGTGTTTCCTCATAAAAACGGCGCCGCATTGTCTCTGAAACAAGGGTTCGTTTAGGTTAGCCAAAACCGCTGGTGCCATACATAGGGCACCAAGATCATTTCACGGGGAATCGCTTGAAGATCAAAAGGTCTGACCTTTTTTTTTAGAGATTTATTAAAGAGAGGGGGAGAGTGAGAAGTTTTAACGTCACCGGAGAAAATTTTCCGGCGATTGGGAAAAAAAAAACAGGAAGATTAATAAAAGAGTTTGTGTTTTTTCTTTTGTCTTGAGAGAGCAGAACGAGGAACAAGAAGGTGAGGAACCATCTCTTCTTAAAGGAGATTGATGTCTGCCCGACAAAAGCTTAGTGCTTCTCAAAGCCGTTGATTTGTGATCTGACGGTTGAGATCTGTTTAATGTCGATGCCCGATCTAGCTGCCCGAGTAATCTGACATAGACGGTTCAGATTGTGTAATAATCAGAGCGACAGTTTCGTAGCCGTTGATTCATGAGTCGGTCTTTTTATTTTTTTGCAATAACGAAAGGAATGGGCGATTTGGTAATTTCGAAATCTGAACGGCCTGACATGGGCCACATTGATATTTTTTATTTTTATTTTAGAGACTTTGGGTTTCACTTTGGCCAGGTCAGCGGTGTGATGAACACTCTGTCTATTTGTTTAGACTAATCATTCCCATCTCCATCATGATTGCATCAAAATACTGATTGCATCAAAAACTGATAGGACACTTTGTTTACAAATGTGAAGCAGAATTAATATGATCGACGGTGAAGCTCGCCGGAACAGAAGGGGCAGGGACAAGAAGAAACACACGAAAGACGAAAATATCCCTTTAAATAAATCTCCTTGACATCTATGTTTTCTTTCAAACTAGGGTTTGAAATCTTGAGTTTTTCAGAAAAAAAATGATAGTAGCAAAGAAACCCAGATTTCTCAAGATCTCTATAAAAATCTTGGATATTTTGAACAAGAATTTGTAAGGACAAGAGATGAGAGAGGGACTAGATCCAAGTTGTAAGAAAAAAAGAGAAAGAAAGAAAGGAGAGTGGCTCAATAATTGAGTGAATAAGTTACAATCTGAATATTTATATTGACGAAGGTTGGTTAAATCTGGACCGTCAGATCCTTATTTGAAAAAAACTATTATTTTCGAATAAGCTTAAGTGATTACATGAATATTTAAATAGTGTGGAAAAGGAGGTCATACCCGTAAATAAGTGAGGCTTCGAATGGTAAAAGCAGATCAAGCGGTGCAGATCAAGCGGTTCATGCAGATCAAGCAGGACAAGTGCAGATAAAGCAGGATAAGTGCAGATCAAGCGGATCAAGCAGGAGAGATGCAGATCAAACAATTTATCATAAATTATGAATGACAAAATAAGTTCAAAACTATAGATCATATATTAAAAGAATAAAATTATACCAAATATCTATATAAATATTTAAATGTTGTAGGATCAGCCTAAATGTTTATTGGATTTTGCATAAGATGCTTGTAGTGTTTTAGTTGATCAAAATTATTTTTGAATAACAGACATCTTAATATTTAATTCTTTGTTAATATTTATATATAAAAATGGAGATAAAACAGATTAAATAATTTATTATAAATTATAAATGACAAAATATGTTCACATTATATATCATATATTAAAATAATAAAAATTACACCAAATATCAAAACAAAATATTTCAGATGNTCAAAATTATTTTTGAATAACAGACATCTTAATATTTAATTCTTTGTTAATATTTATATATAAAAATGGAGATAAAACAGATTAAATAATTTATTATAAATTATAAATGACAAAATATGTTCACATTATATATCATATATTAAAATAATAAAAATTACACCAAATATCAAAACAAAATATTTCAGATGTTGTATGTTCAACCAAAATGTCTGTAAAAATTTTATTAGATGCTTATACTTCTTCTATTTATTAATTATTTTAAAATATAAAATAATTATTTTTTTTATGACACTTATGTAGAAAAATTTATATTTTTCGTGGAAAAATATTGTGTTTTTTAGCGATTAGACATCATGCTTATAACTTTAAAATGATACAAATAATATTAATGTGAACTATATAGTTTGAGTTAATATATTTTAAAGTTAAGTGTTTGTAATAAAACTATTTATTAGTAAAAGGAAAAAAAAGGCAGATCAACAGCACCAAATGTTAGCGGATGGGATCTGCATGCAGATCTCCTGCATTTTCTACTAAAAGACAAAAAATATTGAACTGCATGCAGATCTCCCGCTTGAACTGCTTTTACAAACAGAAAATGGTGAATGGTAAATATAAGGCAGGAGAACTGCCTATTGCGGAAGAACTGCTTGATCTGCCTTTGTCCTGCCCCTCCCATTCATAACCTGAGTCGCTGGATGTTTATATATGTGAAGAGTTGCGTCTTTCCCCAAACACAACCGATGTGTGGACCATATCTCAGAGAAATGTGGGATCCACGACAGCTCACCCTCCTCCGTAGCATAATCTCTCCACGACCACACGCGTTACAACGCTACGTGCGTCTCACATGCCTGCATTAGCTGACATGAATTTTCTCAATTTTCTACTATTATTTGGTTATAAATTTGTCTCTTTCTATAACAAATTACACTTTTATTGCATTTCCAGGATCACAAGTTTCTTAAAACAGCAAATGATGTAACCAAGCCCATTAACCCATTAGATAAGTTTGTCTTGATCCTACTCAAATGATCATATCTAAATCTCCCAAGAACAAGACATGGATCTCCACTCTCTTTCCCACCTCATTGTCAACTCTAAGTTTTTTGTCTTGCTTGCAATTTATTTACATCACTCCTAAGAATCACCATTTCAGCTACCATAATATCACAAAACATATACAAAGTTTAACAAGTGAGATACCAACTTGAATCTCAAAATTGTAGGAAGACAACCAAGCATTGTATTGCGGTCTCTGACCTTATTCATTTGGAGCCAACGACCAAAAAAAATTAAAGTTTAAGGCCCAAAAGGCCCAACAAGTTTGAGATTAAAAGCCTATCTCCAAGTTAAAATGTTTCGGAAACCATTAAAAATAAGGTGAAAGCCCAAAGTAAGCCCACACAGCTTTTAACCTAATGATCTCCTTCCTTGTGTTCTTTAAATAGCTGCGTCCAACTTTGATACCGTATTCATGTTCTAAACGTATCTGCTTTGTAGTTTAGAGTAACCATTCCATTCAATCTTTGTTTCAATAGTTTTGTTGTGTCTTCTGTATTTTTTCTGTGTGATATATGTCTTCTTGTTTTTGTTACTGTTGGTTTGGTTTTGAACTGGGACTGGAGTTTGACTCTTTAGCTTTATAACGATGCTTTAGAGATGAATGCAGCGCCCTAAATAAAATAGACCACAATCGGAGATCCGTCTCAGTTTCTGTCCTGTAATCGTCTATTGATATTGGGCGATGAGATGGATCTCACATAGTTTTATCATGTTTTTTCTTTGTGTTTGATTTGATTATATATGTGATTATGATAATGATATGGAGCGGTGATTCAGGCAGCCTACTTGTTAAAGAAAACAATGACATGAGAGGTGTTTAACTGCTCCTAGAAAAAACTATGCTTCTGCTCTTCAGACTTACTGAGATTTTATCGTCTTTGAAGCTGGTCTAGTAGTCTTAAGCACACTCTTTCAATAAATGTTTATAGGGTTGGATTCGATATGGTCTCGTTATCTCCATGATTTATTACAACTTATGCTCATAATTTTTCAGATTCAACAATAGGACTTGTCTTCTCTTCGAGATGATTAATTTGCCTCTCAATCTTCCCTGAAATAAACTCGCGAACTGTTTCGTTTGTTCTTTTCGGCCCATTTACGTAATCCTTTTTGGTAATGGGCCTTCTTGACTAGTAAATTGTGTTTTTGGGTCGATGAATGTATTTTTGACGATTATTATTAAACACTCTCGAGAATTATCGAATATTAATATTAGAAATGTCTATGTAGTAACATTTTGAGCATTGCTTAGAGATCACTAATTTAAAAGAACGAAACATGAATAGTTCTGAAGAGCTTTTCATAAACAAAGGTATAGAGAAGAAATTTCGATATTGTCCCCAAGTGATTCTAAGACATTATACGAGAAAACCAATATTATGGTTTTTGAACAACACGGGCTCATCTGATATGGGTCTGATGGAATAATTTGTTGACGTATTGCACTCTTCTACATAACAATCAGGCGAATTCTGTGGTTGAATACGAACGCAAGCAAAGAAAAAGAAAAAGAATTTCCGTTTGAATTTTTAAAATTGGTAGGTTATATAAAAACTTTGGAATAAAATCTCCTTCAAAGAGTTCGCCCTAGTGACCTTTTCTCTCTGACACACAAACCAAGACGCCGTCGTCTCCATCCGATCTCCATGGATTCACACTGCAAGGTCTTCCCCGCCGCCGTCTCCGTCCAAAACTCCCTTTAAAAAGTTATGCTTCTCCTCATTCTGTACTTCACCAGGGATGACCCGACGCATTTCCCAGAGAGGTGAAGAACTTTTGAAAGCTCAAAGGTCGAGTCTTTCACTTGCCTCTGCCTCTCCCACGCCTAACTCGTTGTCTTCAGTGAGATCTCGCCGTTTCAATGTCTCAGAGCCTGTTTCGTTTCAGTGACGAAGAACTCTCATGTAATACCCTCGAAGCCAGAACCTCCAGATCTGTGTCCGGTGAAACAGATAAAGTTGTTGCTTAAAATCTTCTCTCCGCCAGATCTGCCGTTTAAAGCTCCCTCTCCATCAGAACCATCCGACCCTCCTCTTAAAGCTCTTTCTTCGATTTGCCCTCCAGAACCTCCAGACCCTGCAGACGTAGTTGTATCTCTCATCGATTTTCTGCGTTTCTTCGACACCTCCTCCAAACCATCTCCTCAAACTTTTCTCCAGATTTCATCTCTAAAGCCTCCATTTAGGATAGCTACGAAGAGTGCAGGTGGTGGTGGTGGTGCTCCTGTGTCCGCAAATGACACTCTCTTTGCCTACGAGCTTTTATCTCATGTGGTATACATGTCTCCATTTGGATGTGTCGACTGGCCGTTTTTCAGTTCTTATTTCGACCTTCCTATCACTCCTCCTTGTCAGGTTCTTCATCTACATCTTAGCTCTTTCTTTTCCACTTATTCCGCTACCGTAGAATGGTTTAGACAGCTAGTTGTGTGGATGCCGTTGGAATTGAGGTTCATGACTTTAGCCGGTGATATACCGATGGTTTTAGTTTCATTTGGTTCTACTGTTGCGATCTCTAGTAGTATTTTTATCGCCTTGGCGCAATCGGCTGCAGTATGCAGTTCTCTTACAAGATATATTTCGGGTGTGGATATTATGTTTGTGGATCTCTCTTCTTGGTGGCAGGTAGTAGAGAAATTCATCTTCATCTTTAGCTTGATGAATATGGATGTGGCGGGTTATGATTTCTCGTTTGTCCCTCGTTTGTCCCTCGTTTGAATCAGTCATTTTTTCTAATATTTCCTTCTATATGGAGTGAATTGGATGAACTAGTTTCGTTGGTATTGCAAGAATTTTCTTCCCATCGAATACTTTTCTCTGCGTATGGTGCAGTGTGTGTGGTCCTACGGGTTACACTAGATGAGATCTTTGAAGTAGCTTATGACGTTGTGATACAATTTCATATGGTTTCTTTTTGTGTTTTGTATCACCATTCTATTTTTTATATTTATGTTGTTGTTTGTTTGGCTGTCCATAGCCTCTTTGTATCCTCCTTCATTGGAGTGTAAACTTTTTTAATACTAGTGCAAGTATTGTTTGATAAATAAAAAAATGGGTAGGTTAGAGCAGACATTTGTGCATATAAATTTGGTCCAAAGGTGGTTCTCACATTTTAATCTGCCGACGAGAGCTTCCTTAGTTGTGATATCTAAGATCGGTTGAGCTGTTTAATAAGTTTATCAATCACCAATTAAAGAAAAACATATATGTGAGTGCATTCTTTTCCTCTATCTCTAAACTCTAATTTATCGTTAGGCAGTGGGTCGCACGCAACCATCCACTTTATCTTATTTGTCCCAAACAAAACAAGATTTTAAAATATTCCTTTGAAGCCGTGGATACTTATTGGATTTTTGAGTGAATAGTTAATGGGTACATAAACTATAAATAAGCAAAGAAGTTTGTCCAACAGCAGTGATTTTAATCATGTTGACTGTATTTTTGTTTTTTGGCAACATATTGTTTCAGCCTATATACTCCTCCAGATAACTCTTTTCCACATAGCTTGCATTTTACTTTGTCCAATTTGTTGGGATTAATCAACACTTCAAACTCCCAACCAACATCATTTGATTTTCTCTGCAAATATGATCTCTCCTTCACTTTTCCAAATTTGACGCCATTATCTAAACAATTGAAAGCATGCCGTACGTGGTAGAGGAATTGATCCCAACTTCCCATGAGTAACTTAGAAAGTTTACACAATCTAAGGACTAAGATAAACTATATATCAACTAGAAACCACGTATTGTTGTGTTATTTACTTCTTTCTTTATCAAATAAGAAGGCACAAAAAACAAACAAACAAACAAAAAGTAAAACAACCTACGGTTCATGAATTGCAGTGGAACCAATGAAAACTATCTAAATTGTAGCAACAAAGAGAAATATAAGACTAAACACATCAATAATTAAGAGATTTGGCGCTTCTTATTTATGACAGAATAACGATAAACTAAAAGATGAAGAATCAAGATAATATAATGAATTGTGTTGTATAGTGCTTAGTGGGTAATCTAATCTCAAGCTCATAAAATCTAGTTTTTTATTATATTTGTTTCAAAAAGCAAAACTGTGTGTCGTTTGTTTTATTCATCTAAAGCCATTCAAAAAATTTAGAAGAAATTAAAACGCCTATTCCACCTAATTCTGCCTAATTAATGTTTAGCCCGCCAAAATTAGAAATCTGCCCAACACCAACGATTATATGAAAGTCTAACCGGTTTAGGTCTGCCCAATGTTTAGTCACTGCCTAGACAGCCACCTAGGTCTCTTTCTTGAACACTGGCAATGATATGTATATATACAAAGTTTCTGGATCAAAGCCATATAATTTGCAATATGCAATAGCTCTTGGTCTAGTGGTAATGGAACTTCAGCTGGAATGTCCGTTCTGGGTTCGAGTCGCCTTGGTCACCTTCCCACCTATAACCGTGCGTGCCCGAATGAAAGGTCTCGTGGGGATTAATCTAGGCTTACTGCATGGGATTCCCCACGGTTATCAAAAAAAAAAAAATGCAAGGATAATTAACGATTTTTTGAATACTTAGGTTCAGGGCCGAAACACATAATTTCTCTAGACACGAAACTATAACATGTAAATATTCGAAGTATGGCCTTCTGCCATAATGACCAGGCTCTTTTCTAATCGAGCTTATAATGATCTCTAATGAAAATTAACTTTTAATTTTGAGTGATGCAACTTTTTAGATTTGGGATAGACTTTTGAAACCAAAAATAAAAGAAGTCTTCTGGATTGTGGATTGTGGATTGTGGATTGTAGAAGGTTGGTGACGTGGTGATAAGTTAGGTTATAGATTTGGGATAGACTTTTGAAACCAAATATAAAAGAAGTCCTCTGGATTGTGGACCGTAGAAGGTTAGTGACTTGGTGATAAGTTAGGTTATGCTGTGTAAAATGTGTATATAGATCTCAACATTAATAGTAATACCAAAAAAATCATAGCATCCTATATATTTAATATACCCTCATGTCCTCGTGACTTATATCTATAGATAGAGAGCCACCACATACAATCTCCCTCACAAACATACACCAAAGCAATCACTCCCTTACTACTCTCTCTCTCTCTCTATATATACTTAACAAAGGTCTTAAATTAATTTTGTGAGAACATGTCAGGCCCAAACCCGGTTTTGGTTTACTTGCCGACAGGTGAAGTAGTCTCTTCTACCTCATCACTGCAAGGGAGTCTAAAGAACAGTGGGTGGGAGATGGGCAACGGTGGAGAGCCAGATCGAGTCCTGTACATTAAACCCCCCTCTGGCCCCTCCGACCTATTCGAAGAACGCATCTCCATACCATTAGCCTTCTCCAAGTTAACCTCTGTCGACATGTACGACATCGTCTTGAAGAACCCTAATTCCTTCGCCGTCCGTTTCAACTGAATAATCCAGGGAATCATTTTCTACCAATAAGTCTGTCTACTTTGTGTTTGTTTAATATGTTCCAACCAAAAAAAAAAAAAGAATTGTTCCAACAATAAATTCCAGACAGGACCGACCATCTGCAGTAATCACCACTTCGTTTTTTTCTTCTCCAATTTGCATCATCATTTTGTTTTTCTTCTCCAAGTTTGTTGCATGCGTGTGCTTGCTTCTAATTTCATCATCTTTGTGAGGCTTGTGTCGCCCTTTGTTTATATGCTTTCTGTGCCTTTTGTAGTTGTGTTGATTGATGTAATAAAGGTGTGTTTCTTTTGGTTTTATTGTAAACAAAAGAACATCCTCAATTGACCATATTTTTTTAGAATGGTAAATCCTTATAAATACTAGTTGCATATTCTCCGCGCAAGCGCGGGGCCGGAATCATTATGTTTGTGTGTATTTTTTTCGATTGTTGGTTTAGTGGATTCTTCTAATGAAACCAATTAATAATGAAATGGAAAATTTCATGTTTTTATATCGTATGTCAAAACTTGATATAATCTATATTTATAGTATTTATATTTGTATTAAACGATTTATCAATATGAAAATAACCTTAGTTAAGTTAATATTCGTTGTTTAAGTTTCATTAGATAGGTTTTTATATATGGTTTTTTGTAAGTTTGGGTTTTATTCATAAATGATGTGGCATTTTTATCTACGGAGTCATCGACTGCGGGAATTCATTCGCCGAAGTCTGGAGTCGGTGGTGATAAATGTTTTCAATGAAATTATAGTAGTTATTAAAATGTAAGAGAAATTACATATTCATTTAATAAATAACTTACTTAAATTTTGTTGTTTATTTTATTTTATTTCACATACAATTTTTNTAAATGATTTAAGAATTTGAAAATAATCTTAATTAAGTTAATATTCGTTGTTTAAGTTTCATTAGATAGGCTTTTATATATGATTTTTTGTAAGTTTGAGTTTTGTTCATAAATGATGTGGCATTTTTATCTACGGCGTCATCGACTGTGGGAATCCATTCGCCGGAGTCTGAAATCGGTGGTGAGGAATGTTTTTAAGAAAATTATAGTAGTTATTAAAATGTAAGAGAAATTATATATTCATTTAATAAATAACGAAAATAATTAATTTTTGTTGTTTTATTTTATTTTATCTCACATACAAATTTTTAAAAATATATATTAGGAAATATGTGCAATGATTTAACTTTTTGAGCTCCTAATCTATATTATTCAACCCTCATTAAGCCATCCACGTATGCACCCGCGTGGAATTCACTTTTTTGTTTTTTGTTTTTTTTTGGTCTGTTCGTTTTTGGATTTATTTTTTATTATTTTTGGGTTGAGCTATATTATAATATGATAGTTTTAAGGTTCTTTAAGCCATCCGCGTAGGCAACCACGTGAGACTTGTTTTTTTGTTTTTTTTTATTGTTTGTTTTGGATTCATTTTTAACTATTTTGGGTTTGAACTTGTTAAGGTTTAGGGTTTATACAACTATTTTGATCTTTAAAACAATAAGCCAAACAAAAAAACATAAGAACCTTATAAACAAAAAGCCCATATGATAATAACCTAAATAAAAAAATCAAAAATACATGATAGCTGCGTGGTTTGAACCCACAATTATGCATACTTAATTAAACACCTTATACCACTTGACTAAAATGTATTTCATTGTTTGTGACCATCTTACCAAGACTATGTCTGTTTAAAAAATATCTATGCATGAGAGCAGTGGGATTTGAACCCATGCCCTTGCAGACCAAACATGGGACCTTAGACCACTTGGCTAAACTCATATTCTTTGTTTGTAGCCATTTTAAAAAAAACTATCTATTTTAATATAAAAATGTAGGACCCACAATCTGCCTATGTGGACACCTTAAGGAGCCTTTAAAGTGTATCATTATAATATAGATTTATGAGTGGAATGAAAAAAACAATTATAAATATTTAACTGAGATCCATTTTAGAATCTTATCATGCTTGTGAGGGACATTGTCCATTATCTAAGTCTTGATCAACACTTTGATCTAGAAAAATGGACAGTCGAAAAAAAAAGAAAAATTCTTCCACAAAGCATCACGTATCAAAGAAAACGCACTGACAATTAGAAACCATATTATATGCACGATTCAACGTTAAACTTTTCTTCTCACCATTTTCAATTATTATCAACACATTCTAAAGTTTTATAATTCCCATCGAAAATCAATATGCGTGATACTTTTTGTATATAAAAAACTAATTAAAGATTTGGAGATCGGGAATATATACAAAATAACACGCATATTGATTTTCTATGCGAATTATACAAAAACACAGCATATTGATTTTGGTCTTGTCCAAAACGCTCAGCCCCACATACGTGCAAATACTCACCCCCACCCATCTTCTCTATTAAAAGAGAAATACCATTTACATCTACTACAAAATAGTCATGTTGGACCATTTCATTAATATGATATATTTGATTATTTATATTAATCAATCAAATATATATAACTGGAAGAATATTTTAATAATTAATAAGATATTAGTAATAAATTTGTTGAGAAAATATCTAACAAGATCTTACTAAGAAGTTTAAATATTTTTATAAAATATACATTATTTAATTTCGTGATTAATATATATAAATATCTATATTAATTTTAATTAAGAATAAAAATTGTTATATTTTATAATTTAGTTATATTCTATATTATATTAAAATAAAATGCTATGTGAAATGAATATAAAATATATTAAATTGGTAAAAGGAAAATATTTTGTTTTAAAAATTTTCTTTTATTCAAATAAATAAATAAATATCACTCCCTTTTAAAACATATTAAAATTTTTAAATCATATATTTTTGTAACTCACAACAAATACATTATATAATAAATTATATATTAATATTGTTTTTATTTTAAAACTTAAAACAATATATTATATCAAAATAATTAAAATTATAAAATTATACAATTATACAATATATAACAATAGAATAAAAATCATATATATTTGAAGAGTTTTGTTATATTTTAATAAAATGAAAAAATACCCGCACGGATGTGCGGGTTCAAAATCTAGTATGGCTATAAATAAAGAGCCCCCACATACAATCTCACTCACACACTACACCAAAGCAATCCATCCCTTATATACTACTATCTCTCTATATATATATACTTGATAAAAACTAAAAATTTCTTTTGTGAGACCATGTCAGGTGTATGGGTGTTCAAGGGCGGAGACATACGTCTAGTGGAGAAACAAGACCAGTCCAGCAGCAGCCAGAAGAAGGTTTTGGTTTACTTGCCGACCGGTAAAGTAGTCTCTTCTTACTCATCACTCGAAATGATCCTAATGAGCCTTGGGTGGGAGAGATACTTCGGTGAAGAGGCAGATCATCAACTCCAGTACTACAAAGCCTCCGCCGGCCTCTTCATCTCCTTACCAAAAGACTTCTCCAAGTTAAACTCCATTCACATGAATGACATCGTCAAAAACACCAGTGATTCCTTCGCCGTCCGTGATTCAACTGAATAATTCCAAGGATTCATTTTTGACCAATAGGTCCAGTTTATGTTTGTTTTATTTGTTTCAACAAATAAATTCCAGACAGGACTTTCTGCAGTAGTCATGACTTTTTGTTTTTCTTTCTAATTTGCATCATCACTTTTTTTTTTCTCCAAGTTTGTTGCACGTGATTGCTTCCATCTTCGGCACCTTTGTGAGGCTTGTGTCGCCGTCGTTTATTAGCTATTTGTGCCTTTTGTAATTATGTTTATCGATGTATTAAAGGTGTGTTTCTTTTGGGTCTAAGCAATATATGTTCAAAGAAAAATGTAAACAAAAAAATATATCAACTGAAAATATTTTTTTTTAGAAAGCTATATATATACCCTTATCAATAATTATCAGTGAAAATACAATTTTATAACTATTTTATAAAATGACATGAATAATATATTATATTATTTTTAATTGTTCATATAGTATTTTATGTCATCATGTTAGAGCAACCTTATTAGTTGCGGATATTAATTTGAAGATCTAACTAATAAGACATGTGGCAAATACTTTTTTTTTTGTAAACAAGTTGATGAATGATAAAAGACATGTGGCAAATTACATTGCGAGTGACTTCTTGGAGGGTCTATGCAGAGGAGAACTCTCTTATTTTGTTTTTCACTGTTATTTTCTTTTTAAGTGAGATACTTATTTTAAAATCACCAATGGAATATTTTTTTAGGCATGTAGAAATTTCCAAAATAGCTTTGAGAAAATAAAATAAGTTAAGAAGGATATGAATCATGTGAACACCTTGGATCCATATAAATTAAGAAGGATAACAACCATCTGAGCACGTTAGTAAAAATAAAATAAAACAACTTTACTTATTACTTTCGTTTCATTTAGTTGTCATTTTAGGTTTTTATACATAGATTAAAAAATATTTAATTTTACATATTTTAAAGATAAAACACAATTATCTATATACCTAACTATTTTTCAACCAATAAAAATATAATATTATATAAAACTAATAAATTTTGTCTCGAAACTATAAAACGATACTTAGTTTGTGACAAAAATTAAATCTACAATTAAATCTATGTAGTTTTAATAATATGTTAAGGGGTAATCACTACATTTACAAGTATATATTTATGATACTTGTAAATGATACTGGGTCAATTCAACACAGTAACAACAATTCAAACTATGTTTTCACCATTACTTTGTTACCTCCAACAGCACAAATTGTCTTCCTTTTTATATAAAACAAAATTGTATTATGTACCACCACAAACAAACAAAAAAAGCCTTGCAAATGAACTTCTTTCCAAACACCCACAGTTAACAAAATCTCTGGAGTCTGGTCAAATTAATTCATATCACATGGACATTCAAAAAATATTTTGTATAAGAACACCCTTAACAAAAATGAACGACGCTTCCACAACGATCGAGAATATACCTCTACAACAAAATCAGGATCGATCCTATAAATTAATATGACACCACAGAATATAACATCTCATGCGAAGTGTGAACCGATTACCAGTATATATATCTTCCACGACGAAGCATCACGTATCAAAGAAAACGCACTGAGAAACTATGTTTTATGCAAGATTCAACGTTAAACTTTTCTAGTCACCATTTAATTATTCCCAATAATGCATCCCCACCCGACCAGATCTATTATTTATAGTTTAGTGATGTTCTCGTTTTCATACAAAACATTTTAAAGCTTTACAATTTGCATATAAAATCAATATGCGTGTTATTTTTGTATATAAACAACTAATTAAAGATTTGGAGATCGGGAAAACGCACTGAGAAACCATTTTATATGCAAGATGCCAAGATTCAACGTTAACTTTTTCTAGTCACCATTAGTTATTCCCAATAATGTTATCCCCAGCGGATCAGTTAGTTATAGTTTAGTGATGCTCATGTTTCCATCCAAAACATTTTAAAGCTTTATAATTCGCATGGAAATCAATATCTCCGTTCTTTTCGTATATATTCCCAAGTCCCAAATCTATATTCCCAATCTCCAAAGCTTTAATTAGCTGTCGTTATGTAATAAACAACTAACGGCATCTCCACCCTCATTTGCCCTCCCATTCATCTTTAGCTTTTGAAATTAATATATTTATATATATACATATACATATATATATATATACATATATATCTCTATAATATTATTTGAGAAGTCAGTTTCTTATGTGGTGCTTTCACGTTGATTCTTACACTGGTTGATTACTATGGTACCCTTGATGAATATATTTAAATAGTATATTTAAATAATATTATTAATTTTATGTTTAGTTTCCTTTTTAAAACATTCCAAATAACTTTTATCAATAACAAAAATATATGTTTATATAATATGATTTAATTAAAAAGGAAAGTTCACAAAATAGTAATATACTATCAAAATAGTAAAATAGTATTATTAATTTTGTATTTAGTTTCCTTTTTAAAAATTTCCAAGTATTTATAATAGAAAAAATCTATAAAATTTAAAAGGAAAAATTTAAAACGAAAATATATGTTTATATAATATGATTTCATTAAAAGGGAAAATTAAAAAAAAAAATAGTAACATCCATTAAAAATATTTTAAATAACATAAAATGTACTTTTTAATTAATAAAATACTTTCTTTATATCTGTATTTTCTTATATGAAAATATATATTTTTATATAATGTGATTTCATAACAAAAAATTCACACATATAATTTTAATATTTGAAAAAAATTTACTTTTAAACATAATTTTAAGTAACATAAACAAGTATATGTTTTTATTAACTAAAATAGTTTTTAATTAAAATTATTGAATATTTCATTTTTTCATATATTTAGTTGACTATAGTATCTTTCAACTAAAGCAAAAAAAAAAATCTATAAATTAAATTTTACTTATATAATATGATTTCTCAAATACAACCACAATTTTTACTGCTTATTTTTAAGAGAAATTAAAATATTTTTTAACAATAAACATCTTTTAATCAAATAATTACAAAATATTTTAAAATATCATACCACTATATACTTTAATGACATAGATATGTTATATTCTATCATTATTTAAATTATATGTTNTTTACTTATATAATATGATTTCTCAAATACAACCACAATTTTTACTGCTTATTTTTAAGAGAAATTAAAATATTTTTTAACAATAAACATCTTTTAATCAAATAATTACAAAATATTTTAAAATATCATACCACTATATACTTTAATGACATAGATATGTTATATTCTATCATTATTTAAATTATATGTTTCTTAATTTAAATATTTTTTAAAAAAATTTATGTTTGTGTAACTTAATATAACCATAATAAAAATACCAAAGCAAATCCGAATTCTCATTTTTAAGATTATTTAAAATAATTTCAGTTTATCATTCAATAAATCTAAGATATAAAATTATTTAGAATTTATAAAATATTTTAGTTATTGTAAATACTAGTTGCATATCCCCCGCACAAGCGCGGAGTTGGGGATCATTGATGTTTGTCTGTGTTTTTTTTTTTGGTTGTTGATTTAGTGGGTTATTCTAATAATATTAAATAATGATGAAATAAAAAGAATGTAGCAAGAGTATAAAGTGAAAATATTATATATAATGTGTTAAATGTTATTTATATGTGAAGTAAGGTTTAGAGGAATAACGAAATTATAATATAGTTTCTAGTGTATAACAATAGGTGTCTATCTTGTTTTTTATTTTTTTTTTATGTTGGAAATAGTTTTTATATCAGAGGTCAAAACTTGATATAATTATTTATTTATAGTATTTATATTTGTACTAAACGATTTATCAGTTTGAAAATAACTTTAATTTAAGCTAATATTTGTTGTTTGGGTTTCAATAGAGGGGTTTGGATATGTTTTTCTGTAAGTTTGAATTTTGTTCATGAATAATGTGGCATTTTTATTTACGGCGTCATCGACTGTGGAAATCCATTTGTTGAAGTCTGATAAAAATGAAATTATAGTAACTATTAAAATTGAAAAGAATTTACATAGTTATTTTATAAATAAAAAATACTTAAATTTTGTTGTTTTATTTGATTTCACATACATAATTTTTTGAAAATATATATTAGAAATATGTTCTAACAGAAAATATATATTAGGATATGATAGTGCCACGTGGGACTTATTTTGTTTTTTGTTTTATGGACTATTCGTTTTTTGGACTATTTGTTTTTTAATCGTTTTAATTGTTTTGGGTTTGAGTTCGTCAAACTTTAGGATTTTTCCCACTATTTTTCGTTTTAAACAATAAGTTCAGAGGGAAAAAAAACATAAAAACATTAGAACTAAAATACCATATGATAATAATTCAAACAAAAAATTACATAACAGCTACGCGGTTTGAACCCACACACTGGGTTAAAGTATATTCATTGTTCATACTCATTTTAAACGAACTCTAAGCTTTTAAAATTTAAATGCACGGGACTCATAAACTTGTTGACGTAGACAGCTTTAGAAACCTTAGAAGTGAACTATTATAATATAGATTGATATGTGTTCATGAATCTCCAAAAATATATGAGTTACTTAAGTATGTAACTTCCTACTGATTATTGCTTTATTTTCTACTATATTTTAAAGAAACATATAACTTGATAAATATTATGAAAATACGTGCACATTTAAATGATAAATAATATTACTTTAATTTGATTTATTTTGTGAAGTTTATATATATGCATGGACGTGTTATTTACTTCTTTCTTTATCAAATAAGAAGGCACAAAAACAAATAAACAAAAAAAAAGTAAACAACGCGCGGTTCATGAATTGCAGTGGAACCAATGAAAACTATCTAAATTTGTAGCAACAAAGAGAAATATAAGACTAAACACATCAATAATTAAGAGATTTGAAGCCCTTTTCCAAAAAAAAATAATAATAATTAAGATATTTGGCGCTACTTATCTATGACAGAATAACGATAAACTAAAAGATGAAGAATCAAGATAATATAATGAATTGTGTTGTATAGTGCTTAGTGGGTAATCTAATCTCAAGCTCTCATAAAATCTAGTTTTTTTATTATATTTGTTTCAAAAAGCAAAACTGTGTGTCGTTTGTTTTGTTCATCTAAAGCCATTCAAAAAATTTAGACGAAATTAAAATGCCTATTCCACCTAATTCTGCCTAATTAATGTTAAGCCCGTCAAAATTAGAAATCTGCCCAACACCAACGATTATATGAAAGTCTAACCGGTTTAGGTCTGCCCAATGTTTAGGCCCTGCCTAGACAGCCACCTAGGTCTCTTTCTTGAACACTGGTAATGATATATATATACAAAGTTTCTGGATCAGAACCATATAATTTGCAATATGCAAGGATAATTAACGATTTTTTGAATACTTAGAGATTCCGGGACGAAACACGTAATTCCTCTAGACATGAACTATAACATGAACTCGAACTATGGGCTTCTGCCATACTGACCAGGCTCTTTTCTAGTTGAGCTAATATGATCTCTAATGAAATTTAACTTTTAATTTTGAGTGATGCAACTTTTTAGATTTGGGATAGACTTTCGAAACCAAAAATAAAAGAAGTCTTCTGGATTGTGGATTGTAGAAGGTTGGTGACGTGGTGATAAGTTAGGTTATAGATTTGGGATAGACTTTTGAAACCAAATATAAAAGAAGTCCTCTGGATTGTGGACCGTAGAAGGTTAGTGACTTGGTGATAAGTTAGGTTATGCTGTGTAAAATGTGTATATAGATCTCAACATTAATAGTAATACCAAAAAAATCATAGCATCCTATATATTTAATATACCCTCATGTCCTCGTGACTTATATCTATAGATAGAGAGCCACCACATACAATCTCCCTCACAAACATACACCAAAGCAATCGTTCCCTCACTACTCTCTCTCTCTCTATATATACTTAACGAAGGTCTTAAATTTATTTTGTGAGACCATGTCAGGCCCAAACCCGGTTTTGGTTTACTTGCCGACAGGTGAAGTAGTCTCTTCTACCTCATCACTGCAAGGGAGTCTAAAGAACAGTGGGTGGGAGATGGGCAACGGTGGAGAGCCAGATCGAGTCCTGTACATTAAACCCCCCTCTGGCCCCTCCGACCTATTCGAAGAACGCATCTCCATACCATTAGCCTTCTCCAAGTTAACCTCTGTCGACATGTACGACATCGTCTTGAAGAACCCTAATTCCTTCACCGTCCGTTTTAACTGAATAATCCACGGATTCATTTTCTACCAATAAGTCTCTCTAGTTTGTGTCTGTTTAATTTGTTCCAACCAAAAAAAAAAGAATTGTTCCAACAATAAATTCCAGACAGGACCATCTGCAGTAATCATCACTTCGTTTTTTTCCCCAATTTGCATAATCACTTTGTTTTTCTTCTCCAAGATTGTTGCATGCATGTGCTTGCTTCTATTTTCATCATCTTTGTGAGGCTTGTGTCGCCCTTCGTTTATTTGCTTTTTGTGCCTTTTGTAGTTGTGTTGATCGATGTAATAAAGGTGTTTCTTTTGGGTTTGAGCAATATATGACATTTTATTGTAAACAAGAGAACATCAACTGAACATATTTTCTTAGAATGGTATATTATACTCTAAATCATTATCAATATTTATGAGGGGGAATGAAAAAAGTTATAAATATTTAACTGAGTTCCATTTTACTATCCCTGTTCGTTTCCGTAACGCAGACCCTCAAGAAAATATAGATCAGCAAAAAATTTAAAAGGTGAGGTCAAAGATGATACAATTTGAAGCTAGCGTCAGTCAAATCAACGCTATTGTAGGAGTCGCTACTATTTACTGCAGCCATGAAAACACGGAAACTATCGGTAGCAACAGTCGCCGGCAACTTAAATAAGCGACTTTACGCCATGTCCCTTGCCATGTCTCTTAGAGCATGTCCAATGCTGATATTCTCTGCTCGATTATCCAGATGTTTTTTTATATTATTTTTTTCTAGTTTTGTAGAAAAAAAAAGTTCAGTTGTGGGATTCCACGTGACGGTGGATCCCGTACACAGTAACATACTTAAGCGTTAATTGATCCTTACAGACAGATTTGAAGAGTATTTGTTGGTTCCAAAACCAAGAAAAATAGGATCTATATCTTTTTTAAATAATTTCCCACACGTGAGTGCACAACTAAGGGTTCTGTAAATACCTGCGTTGGACATGTTCTTAGCGTTTTTAATTTAAAAATAATAAATTTTATGCTAAGATATTCAATTTAAAGATCACCAATAATAATACCCTAAGTCTTGTCTCATATACATGCACGTACGTACGGGCCGGCACATATACAATATGTGTGCGAATGTATAGGTAATGAAAGACAAAATTCAGAGAGAGGATTCTGACCCTCGTTTTATTTTATTAATGGAGGTATTTGGGTGTTCAAAAAATAAACCTTGAAAGCATGGCCAAATGTTTTAGACTGTATGCGTTGAATCACCGTATGCTTAACACTTTTAAATACTGTTATGTAAATAAATATCATTGTTAATAGTTATTATTAAAGTATCTAAACAATAGAAAAAAGAGTGAGAAATTTATTATTTTTCTAAACACAAGATGGTGGTCTAGTGATAGGCGAATTTTGGGATTTACTAAACAATTCGGGTTTGAAGATAACCCACTACATCTTACTTTGTGGTCATAGGATATGAATCTATTTTACGGTCCATTTGAATACGCGGAGTGAAAGTCCATCCGTGGACTACACTAATCATTTGGAGAATAGTCTAGACCTCTCTATGGGTCTGAGATACCCCAGGGTTAAAAAGAAAATTATTGTTTGAGATACTCATATCATATTGGCTATTTGGTGATTGGTTTGATTTATTTTCAAAAATTAAATACTTAGTTAAATTATATTAAAAAAATTAATAGTATATGCATAAAACACTTTTTGATATAGTAGGCAATGGTTGCACAAAAAAAAAGATATAGTAAGCAATGAGAATGCTCTCATAAGTTAAAAAATAAATTTAAAGGGGAAAAAAACATGAACATTTAAGTTCATATGAAAATGGGAAAACATCAAAAGGTCATTGTGCTCCTTGCAATATTAATGGGCAAACTGTGGAACAGTTAGCATTAGATTTTCACTATATATGGATGCAGGCAAGAACCACAAAAAGCAAACCAAGATTCTAACTTTTGAAGACAAAAGAGAAGAAGATAAAATAATAGAAAGATAGCAAATAATAGTATTTAGATGCAGTTCTTGTTCCATGGTGCTTTACTTAATTATGATGTTTTATTACCAAATCTATATCTGGTATAAGATTCGAACCAAACCTTTCTCTACCATCGTCGGTACTAATTCTCGTGAAGGTATAATTAGTACTCAAAAACTATTTATCAATTTATACTATAGTTAACAATATATGAATGTGTTGTTCAGGACAACGAGCACAAGGATATCTCAGCGGTACAAACACTCCGAAACACGATCTTGGGAGCTACTAAGACCAGCTGCAACGGAGGATTATAGGAATCCTTGACACATAATCCTAAGCTAAAGTGAATACAATAATAATATAAAACCAAAATAAGCTAAGGATTTGGTAAGGAGTAATCCTTAGCTAAGGATTAAAATCACTCGGTCCTTGTTGACGTGGCGTCTTGTTTTTCTTCTTTCTTCGGTTTCTAGCTCGTTGTTAGATTTTCGCGGATCAGATACCGGATTTTGTAAATGTTTCTGGCTTGATTGCTCGAAATTTAGTTCAATTGGATTTGAAAGTATCAATTTTTTAAATGTTTCTAGCTTGATTGCTCGAAGATTTGTTTAATTGGATTTAAAGGTTTGATTTTTTTCTGAAAACTGCTTGCCTTTCTCCTTCCATTGTCTCTAACAGGTCTCTCTCTACAAATTCTCTTGACTAATCCAATCCAAGAAAGGTTTTTTCGTGATGAACCTCGTATCTCCCTTCATGGGTTTGACTTTTGTATCTGGTTCTATTTTGCTTGATTGCTCACAACCTGCTCGACGAAATTCATGAATAGAAACACTAATCTTTTTTTCTTCTCTTTCCGACGAATTTTTCTATAGATTTTTTTCAGTTATTTATGTGTATTTTGTTGGTTTGTCATCTGATATTTGAGCATTTATTCAGTAGAAATCTTTGAGGGATTCCAATGGTAGAAGTGAGTCTAGGTATGTTTATAAACATTGTGGATGAGGAGTGGATTAGAGACACTTTCCCTTATGGTTGGTGTTTAGCTTGCTAGATCGAGAAGCTCCATTTTTGATGCATAGTTGTTGTGTCTCTTTCCTGTTTTGAGAGGGAGATTTGTTTGTTGTTAGGTTCTTGTTGGTCATCCTGATTATATCACTGGAGAATCTAACAAAGTTCTCTGCCTTTTAATCTCATGATAGGAATCATTACAAAGATTGTTACATAAACAAGATGGAACCAGAGCTGAGTGGGAATATCCTTTCCTGGTCGTTGGCATCAATATCTCTTTCATGCTGGCACAAATATAAGTGAAAAGAAGAAGAAGACTAGGTAAGATGGTCTCTGATCCATCACAAAATCTTTGATCAAAAAAATGTTTCACTTATCTTTCAATCCCTGCATGAATTTCCCAATATTTGTATAAGCTAAGGTTTATGTTTAATAAAAAAAAAAATTCTAAGGATTCCTAAAATGGAATCCACCATTGGATTACTTATTTTGCCAAGAATCCTTAACTATTCAATAAAAAAAAACAATACTAAAATACTCCTTAAGGACTCCACAATGGAATCCACCATTGTGGATGCTCTAATGGCCACAACTTGTATCCTCCTCTTTTAAGCAGTACTTATAGTATCTAGAAGCCTCTAAACGTTGACGTATTTGGAGCTCATGGTGACTTCACTGTGGCACTCAAGTACTTAACCATCTGCACAATATTCTCTTCGCCTTCTTTAATTTATTCGTTTCATCAACTATCAAGTCAATATCATTATTAAGATCTCCTCAAGAACCTTCCTCCGATTATTTCGGTGGGATTGGAAGCTTAGTGACTCTCGAGTATGTGTTTGAGTTACTCGAGAAAGCTTTCTTGCTCAACACGATAGGTAATATTACATGGGCTTGCCTTTGATGTTATGGTTCGAGATATGCTAGTGTTCTTGAGCTCTGCATTAATGGTTCTTTACAACTTTGACTTAGTGTTTTTGGTGAGCCATGAGAATAAGGTGGATTGCCGTAGAGGTTTGATAACCATTGCTCTCCTTGATTATATATGCTGAATATATATGATTAGTAATAAATTTACTATTGATTAATCATAATTGTCTTTCAAATTAATTGTTGCTAAATATTTTTTTTTGAAAACCGGGCCTTAAGTTAACAAATATATAAGTGGGCCTTAAGTTAATATAGTTTATTTTTGTCACACATGACACGAGCCGAAATTATCAAATTTCGAGTATATATTTCCTCCACGAAGCATCACGTATTAAAGAAAACGCACTCAGAAACCATATTATTTGCAAGATTCAGCGTTAAACTTTTCTAGTCAGTAGTCACCATTTAGTTATTCCCAATAATGCATCCCCAGCCCCACCAGATCAATTATTTATAGTTTAGTAATGTTCTTGTTTCCATCCAACACATTCTAAAGCTTTATAATTCGCATAAAAAATCAATATGCGTGTTAGTTTTGTATATAAACAACTAATTAAAGATTTCGAGATCGGGAATATATACAAAATAATTCGCATATTGATTCTCTATGCGTATTATACAAGAAACACGCCTATTGATCTCCAAATATTTAATCGAGTCTTACTAATTCAACAAATACAGAGCCCCCCACATACAAATACTCGCCCCCCATGTTCGTGTGCTCATGGCTATAAATAGAGAGCCCGTATACCATCTCTCTCACAAACTTACACGAAAGCAATCGCTCCCTTACTTCTTCTTCTCTCTCTCTATATATATACTTAACAAAAATTAAAGAATTTATTTTCTGAGACCATGTCAGGTGTTTGGGTGTTCAAAAACGGAGTCACGCGTCTAGTGGAGAACCCAGGCCAATCCAGCAAAAAGAAGGTTTTGGTTTACTTGCCGACTGGTGAAGTAGTCTCTTCTTACTCATCACTTGAAGAGAACCTATTGAGCCTTGGGTGGAAGAAATACGACGATGGAGAAGCAGATCAACTCAAGTACTACAAACCCGGTTCCATCGAACTCATCTCCTTACCGAAAGAGTTCTCCAAGTTCAGATCCGTTAACATGTACGACATCGTCATCAAGAACCGTGATTCCTTCAGCGTCCGTGATTCAACTGAATAATTCCACGTATTCATTTGGGTCTAGTTTGTATGTTGTTTAATTTGTTCCAACCAATAAATTCCAGACAGGAATATCTACAATAATCATGACTTCGTTTTTTTCATCACTTTTTTTGTCTCCAAGTTTGTTGCATGTGCTTGCTTCTGTCTTCGTCATCTTTGTGTGGATTGTGTCGCCGTCGTTTGTTTGCTTTTTTTACCTTTGTAATTATGTTGATCGATGTAATAAAGGTGTGTTTCTTTGGGGACATTTGTTCTTAGTCCAAAACTGTGGGTTAACGTCAACAAAACACATCAACTGAAAATATTTTCTTAGGATGTTATATTATACTCTAAATCATTATCAGTATTTATCAGTGAAATAACACTTTTAAATATATTTAATTGAGTTTCCTAATTTTATTTATTTGAATAATGAAATGGATCATATATTGTATCAATTTTTGTTTGTTCATATAATATTTATGTCATCATGATGTAGAAACTTCCAAAACCGTTTTGGTAAAATAAAATAAATTAAGAACCATATAAATTAAGAAACATGTGAACACGTTGGGCACTGATGGGATGTCAAGGCCATCTCCAACAAGGCGGCAAGGTAGAAGACGTTGGGTGCACGTGCACCATTAATTCGTTAAAAAAATGAAAATAAATTATTAGAAATTACACTCATTCATCCATTTGTGCCCCAGTAAAATCTTCAACCTGAATTCTGTGAGCATCAACATTGGTTGACATAGATAAAGGCGTACCTCTTAATTTTAATAATGATAACTAACACTAAATTAATTAAAAACAATTTCAACAAAATAAATGAGTAACATTAGTAATAACATGCCAATTGAACAACTTTTTCTCTTGAATAGTCTCTTTAAGAAAGTGAATTCTTCTCATTTTTTTTGCTCTTTTTGTGCTTCTCTCTCCTTTTGTTTTTATTATTATTTTATTTAGCTAGATATCTAATAAAAATTACAGGTTATTTTAAGCATCTGAATTTTTTAATAAGACTCTCAAAATTATAATAATTAATAATGGAAAAAAAGGAAAATATTTGAAAGATATCTCTACATAGAGAGGTTAACATAAAATGTAAGAGACTCATTGATTAGATGTCATTTTCTACTGATTACATATCTTTAAAACTAAATTAATAACAAAATTAAATATATGATCATTAAATATATGATCATTATATATATGAGATTCTTTATGGAGAAATCCGATGAAGATGCTCTAAAAAGCAATCTAAGAGCCATTACATGGCATGATATCTAACATGGGGTTCTGAATAAATAATACTCATATTCAAATGTAATTTAATTATTGAATTGCATTTTTTTGTTTTCAGATAAATTGAACCATTTAAAAAGATACATATGGTATGAACGTTTTTGATAGATATCCAAAAACATCTGATTTGAGATATTTTTGTCTCTCTTTCCTGTTTTTTTTTTTAAAATTTTATTTCTTTTATTTTCAGATATTACATAAAGTTTTTTTGTTGGAAATATTTCTGTAAGTTAACACTATCTCAGACAAAAATATCAATGAAGAACACCTTCAACAATAAGTTGTAGGAAGAATTCTCACAATTAAAAGAGAATAGAAATTATTAAAAACATGAAGAAGTGTACAAAAGTTCTCAAAGCTGATTTTTAGAATCCACAATAACAGATGTCATCAACTGTTCTTTTTCAATTGGTTTTAAAGATTAAAAAGTTAATCATTCAGTTATAATATTTATATTTGTTTTCTTAGAATCCAAAAGATTTCTTACTGATAATTTGCTCTAATGGAGCTGACTTTTTGGAAAAATAATTTAAATTCATCACTATCCCAAAATGTGTATCGGAAATACAAATCACGTCGGTGGCTAAAAAACGTTAGAGCTGCGAATGTATAGGTTACACAAACTTCACCGCTAATCTTAAAAATCGAAACCAATTTTGAGAGGATCATGAGTAGTGATGAAAGAGTGGCTATCTCAGTTCTCAAAAAAAGAAGTGTCTATCTTTAGTACTTGAAAAGTTTAACGACGATAGCATTATCTGTTGCACTCGAAGCCTCCATGTGGGATTGACACCAAGGACGATCCCATCGTTTAACGAATAACAAATATATAAATAATATATAAGTGATTATATAAGTTAATATTGTTTATTTTTGTCACACATGACACGAGCCAAAATATCAAATTAGAATATATATTTCTTCCACGAAGCATCACGTATCAAAGAAAACGCACTGAGAAACCATATTATATACAAGATTCAACGTTAAACTTTTCTAGCACCATTTAACAATTCCCAATAATGCATCCCCAGCGGACCAGATCAATTATTTATAGTTTAGTGATGTTCACGTTTCCATCCAAAACATTTTAAAGCTTTATAATTTGCATATAAAATCAATACGCGTGTTCTTTTCGTATATATTCCCAATCTCCAAATCTGTAATTAGTTGTCATTATGTAGTAAACAACTAATGGCATCTCCACCCTCATTTGCACTCCCATTCATCTTTAGCTTTTGGAATTAATATTATATCATATCAGTATTTGAACCTGATATTAATAAAGTTCTACGCGGCGTCCGAATATTTTATAAGATGATTAAATTTTACGGAAACAACTTTGTATGTAACTAAAAGCACATTATTAAAGTATACTATCTGATTAATTCAACAAATTAAATTACAGAGGCCCACATACAAATAATCACCCCCATATCCGTGTAACATTATGGCTATAAATAGAGAGCCCCACATACAATCTCCCTCACAAACTAACACCAAAGCAATCGACTACTCTCTCTAAATATATATACGTAACAGAAATTAAAAACATCTTTGGTGAGACCATGTCAGGTGTTTGGACGTTCAAAAACAACGGAGTGATGAGTTTAGTGGAAAACCCAAACCAGACCGATGGAGATGCCACCCAGACGCACGGAGAGAAGAAAGTTTTGGTTTACCTGCCGACCGGTCAAGTAGTCTCTTCTTACTCGTCTCTTGACGAGATTCTGAAGAGCCTTGGGTGGGAAAGATACTACGAAGGAGACGCAGATCTAATCCAGTACCGAAAACCCTCCTCCATTGACCTCATCTCATTACCAACAGACTTCTCCAAGTTCAAGTCCGTTCACATGTACGACATCGTCGTCAAGAACCTTAATTCATTCCAAGTCCGTGTATCAACTGAATAATTCCACGGATTCATTTCCGACCAATAGGTCTAGTTTAATTTGTTTCAACCAATAAATTCCAGACAGAACTATCTGGAGTAATAATGATCACTTCGTTTTTTTCTTTTACAATTTGCATCATCACCTTCTTTTTGTTTCTCAAGTTTGGTTGCATGCATGTGCTTGCCTGTATCTTCATCATCTTTGTGAGGCTTGTCATTTTTTTGCTTATTGTTGTAATTGTGTTAATCGATAAGTTGTGTTTCTTTCGGGGTTAAGCTATATATAGCATTTGTTTTAGTCCAAAACCGTGGGTTAATGTAAGGAAAACATAAGCTGATGACGAATTTCTGTAGAATGTCATACTCTGATCAATGTTTATTAGAGAAAATGCAATTATATAAATATCTAAATGAGCTTCAATTTTTTAAAATTTTGGTGAAATGAAATGGATAATATTATATTAATTTTCCTTAATGTAATCATATAGTATCAGTTTATTTATGTCATATTGCTAGGCATGTAGAAACTTCCAAAACAGTTTTAATAAAATAAATAAATTAGGAAGGAAAAGAAACGTTGTGAACACGTTGGATCCATTTAAATTTTAAAAAACTAATAAGGATAAGAACGATCCGAGCACGGTAGTAAAGTTAAATAAATAATTGATTTATACTATTTTGTTCATGTAAAAAGAAAACATTTTTTTGTCAGACTTTGTGTCTCGTTGACTAATGTGGAATTGTGGATGTTATACCTTCGATAAAAGTAGTGATTTTGCTATCTCCAGTTGTTTGGTTATAGCATAATCAAAGAAATCACTGGTATACATGATTTATTTTGAGAATCTCAGGTTATTCTAGTGATATTAAAGTTTTAGGTCCAGTCTAATAAGGATTTCCATTTTTTTTTTTTTTTTTGCTTTTTCCTTATTTCAGAAGTATTCTGTTTCTACTTAAAATTCCTAGTTGGATTTGGTGTTTTATCTTTTCTTATAAATTGGGATTAATAACGACTGTGACAATCATTCAAGATTTTATAGGGAAGAGCAAGTTATTCTCTTTGGGAGCTCTAATTTGCTTTTCTGTTTTCTTCTAGTTGATTTTCCATCGGTGGTTTTTAACTCTTAACAGCAAGCATGAAGCAGAAAGAGAGGCAAGACATGTCAGAACATAATCTTTTAAAGAAACAAAGAGATAGATCAGAAACTAGCTCTCAATGTAGACACGCTAATGTTGGCCGTGTTGGTGGCATTAAATCCGGAGATATGTCTAATGAGACAAATTCTTCGTCAAACGATATAGAGGCGTCAGAGAGTCTTACTAGTACCATGAACAAGATGTCTTTGACTAGGGAAACAGAGATCTCTAGAGATATTAAAACTAGAAGCGCAAGATCAAAATCAAACCATAAGCCAGAGGAGTGGATGCTTCTTGATAAAGAATCAAACACACTAACTCAACTTAATCTTGCCATTGTAAGTTTCTTGACTAATTACTGTTTTTTTTTCCTATGTGGATTACTGATATTTGCAATCTGATTGTAGGTTGGACATGTTGATTCCGGTAAATCAACACTTTCAGGTAGATTACTGCATCTATTGGGAAGAATATCTCAAAAGCAAATGCACAAGTTTGAGAGAGAAGCAAAGTTGCAGGTAACCAACCTCTTGTTATTATTTTTGTATATTAGAGCATGTTTAATGAGTGGTTCTTAGCATGGGGTTTTTAACGGGATATAATTAAGAACCCGTCTCTTAACTTTTTTAATTAAAAGTTAAGAGACGGGTTCTTATATCCTGTTAAGAAAACCCTGCTAAGAACAACCCATTAAACATGTTCTTAGAGGCTCTGTTGGTTTGACATTCTGTTTTTGATCTGATTAGGGCAAAGGCTCCTTTGCATATGCATGGGCATTAGATGAGAGTGGTGAAGAGAGGGAAAGAGGAATAACAATGTCCGTGGCTATTGCTTATTTCAATACCAAAAGACATCATGTTGTTTTGCTAGACTCTCCTGGACACAAAGATTTTGTTCCCAACATGATAGCAGGTGCAACACAAGCAGACGCTGCGATTCTCGTCGTAGATGCATCTATTGGTGCTTTTGAAGCTGGTTTTGATAATTTGAAAGGTCAGACAAGGGAGCATGCACGTGTTCTTAGAGGCTTTGGAGTGGAGCAAGTCATAGTCGCAGTCAACAAAATGGATATTGTTGGGTATTCCAAGGATAGGTTTGATTTGATTAAGCACCATGTTGGATCTTTTCTGCAGTCATGTCGCTTTAAAGAATCGTCTCTGACATGGATTCCTTTAAGTGTCATGGAAAACCAAAACTTGGTTTCTGCTCCCTCTGAAAGCCTCCTAACATCATGGTACGTTGTTTCCCTTTCTTGATACATAAACTAGCAAATCTGAAACAGGCCATGACATGGTTGGTTAATTTTCTGAAATTAATATAGGTACCAAGGTCCATGTTTGTTGGATGCAATTGACTCTATCAACTCTCCTGATAGAGACGTCTCAAAGCCTCTGCTCATGCCTATATGTGACGTTGTAAGATCAAATTCACAAGGGCAGGTATCTGCATGTGGCAAACTTGAAGCTGGAGCTGTTCGGCTTGGATCCAAGGTACACAACTACTACTTTGTATACAAGTTATACATTTGGGTGTTTTTGAACGTTTCTCAGAACATGATTAACACCGGGTTCTTAAGGCGGGATTCTTAGTGGAAGTTAAAAAAACTGTTTCTTAACTTTTAATTAAAAACGCTAAGAACCGGTTCTTAATTATTGGATGTGCTTTAGCATTTTGTTTTAAGAAAACTAATGAAACTTTCTGCTAGATAATGGTAATGCCATCGGGAGAGCAAGGAACCGTGAGGTCTCTAGAGCGTGACTCTCAGGGTTGCACCATTGCAAGAGCTGGAGATAATGTAGCAATAGCTTTGCAAGGGATTGATGCAAATCAAGTGATGGCAGGAGGTGTGCTGTGTCATCCTGATTATCCGGTTTCAGTAGCAACTCATTTGGAGTTGACTGTGGTTGTCTTGGAAGGTGCAACACCGATCTTACTCGGTTCTCAGGTAAGAAAAGAAGACCCTCTCTCTCTCTCTCTCTCTCTCTCTCTCTCTCTCATGCTCAGTCTTTTATTTTCTTCTAAAGTTTTCTGATCCCTTGCAATCTCTTTTGTAGTTGGAGTTTCATGTCCACCATGCAAAGGAAGTAGCAACAGTTGTGAAACTTGTGGCAATGCTTGATCCCAAAACAGGGGAGGCGACAAAGAAGTCTCCTCGTTGTCTAACTGCTAAACAAAGTGCAATGCTTGAGGTTTGTAATCTCTCGCTTTGACTTTATTTTATGTGTAACATTTACAAAAGCTGCTTTGATATGAAAAGGTTTTGTTGTAAATAATCTGCAGGTGAGTCTTCAATATCCAGTTTGTGTGGAGACATTTTCTGAAAGTAGAGCTCTTGGAAGAGTGTTTCTTAGATCATCAGGAAGAACAGTTGCAATGGGCAAAGTTACTCGGATCATCCAAGACTATTAAAAATCTTCTGCTGTTGTAAAATTTCGTTTGTTTCATTAGAAATTGAGAGTCATCTCATCTTTTGTCTCCAACACCAGGAAATATATATTCCTAATATTTGTTTAATTTATTTAATTAAATTTTAATGTGTAATTTTATTATCATGAAACTTCCTAAATTCGGTTTAATTTTGTTCATATTAAAAGACCAAGCTGCCTGCTAATTACCTCATATGTAAGCTCTTGGTCATGTTCAATTATTTCCAGGGCCAACAGTATCTAACACATTTTCAAGATAGTGTTATCAAAAATACACAGGAACATGCCAACAAAGCTGCTAATGAAATCAGACAACAAAGTGACAGGAACTACCTCTCCAATTCCAATCAGGTTGTAGTGACTTAAACCATCCCGGTTCACCAAAGACCGTGAAGGGTCAGCTTCTGAGAAGCTACCAGGCATCATGCTACGTAAGCGGCGGTTACTACTACTTGAAACAACACTACTATCCCTGATAGTTGGTACTATACGATTCCTTCTGTTACCAGAAAGTGTGATGCCGTTTCCATGAGAAGAACTTTGATTCATTCCCTTTTAGCAATGACACGCTACTCTTATTGCCTTTGCTAGAGGAGCGAACAAACAAACATATATCACATTTGTGTAATTTGAGTATACTATACTATAAGACTTATAAAGTTAGGAGCCCCACCATTGACAAGATCTGTGATTTAATATTTCACTAATCACTGAATATGTGTAACGTTTTTTAAATTACTTTACATTTTGTACAATGCTAAATAGTTTATACGTTAACCAATATACATATAGTCATAATTTTCATCAAAACAAACAAATCTAATATGTGACACCGATTAGTTACTTTGTACCCGAAAAAGAAGATATAGCTTATATTTATATTAAATAAAATTGATAATTTAGTACCCAATGTGTCATTTTATCATCAATAAGAAACAAATAAATACATTGAATTATTATTTATTGCTAAATTAGGAAATATATATTTCCCTATCGAGCATTAAATCCAAAGGAAAGAAACTACTTCACAAGGAAACAAATAAATGATAAATAGATTTAGATATGCATGGTCATCTAATTAATCACAATTACGTGGAAAAGATAATCCAGCTCAAACAAAAGTCTACTACGGTTTCCCAAAACGGTCGAAATCGTTATAACGGGGTCTTATTTTGTTAAGGTGAAAAAATATAAAAGGACGATCCATGGTCTCCACCATCTCCACCACCAAAGATATGCGGAATTTAAGCTCCGTTTACAAAAAAACAGAGTTCTAAAAATAAATAAGAACCCTAATTTTCCACCACAAATCTTTGGAGGTTAGTTTGCTTGATATACACGTCTCTTCTCTTTTGTTCAAATGCTTTTATTCATCTCCTTTCACCTCAAGGTATATCTTTTCTTTTCATAACAATTAATGTCTTAAGCATTGCTGCTACCTATGTGATTATGTTTTGAGATATTGCATTTTCTCAGGTCATTAGTTGATTTCTGAATAATGGCAACGAGCTCTAATACAACGAAAACGAAACCAGACAACCCAAACCTAACCAGATCAAGATCTCTAGGCAGAAAGCCAAAGCCTGTAGCATCATCAGACGCAGATGGATCCGACAGGAAGACAGTTGAGAAGCCTGTCCCCAATTACCTCAAACCCACAATCAGCTCCAGACCAGACCCGGTCAAGTTCTTGAAGAAGAACAGCGCTGCTGACGACAAGCTTCTTCGTAGACGTTCCTTTGATCGTCCTCCTTCGTCTTTGACTTCATCAACTTCTTCGTCCCATAAGTCTCTCAACACCTCTCCTGCACGCCCACGTGACAGACCCGTGGTTCCGAGAGAGAAGCCTGTCACTGGTCTGCGTTCTTCATCTTTCCATGGAACCAGCAGAGGCGGTCTCAGAGGAGGGAGTACGGTGAAATCGGGTCCTGTGGGGTCGAGAGGTTCTCCAGGGGTGAAGAAGAGCGGTTTGAGTGGTGGTAGTTCTTCCAAGAGCAAAAAGGAAGGTTCTGGGAATGTTACAAAGAAAGGTAAAGAGATTAGCTCTGAATCTTCTTCTCCTGTTGCGCCTGCTCAGAAGGATGAAGAGGAGATTGTCAAGGTTGAGACCGATGTACAAGTCTCTGACCACATAGAAGAAGATAAGGATCATGTTGCACAACCTGAGGAGTCCAGTGAGGAGAAGGAGACTGGTCTAGTGGATGCTTCCAAAGAAGAGGTTGTACAGCCTGATGAGTCCAGTGAAGAGAAGGAGGCTGATCCAGTGGATGCCTCCAAAGAAGAAGAGAAAGAAGAGCTGATCAATGATGATAAAACAGAAGAGCAAACAGAGGAGCAGAAAGAACAAGAGAACACAGAAGAAGACAACAACAAAGACAAGGAAGAAGTAGATGATAAGGAGGAGAGTACCGAGACAGTTGTTACTCCAGATACGAAAGAAGCTGAGAATGTCGAAGAAAGCAAGGAAGATCCAGACACAGAAGCTAAAGCAGAGGAAGAGAGCGAAAGCAGCAAAGTTGAAGAAGCACCAACAGAAACAAAGGATGAAGTAGAAGAATCACCAGAGGAAGGAACAAAGAAGGAAGTGGTACAAGCGAAAAAGGAATCTCCATCAGCTTACAACGATGTAATAGCAAGTAAAGTGCAAGAGAGCTCGAGGAAGAACAAGGTCTTGGCTCTTGCTGGAGCCTTTCAGACAGTTATCGACTACGAAACTGCTGCCTCTAAGTGATATGCATCACATAAACAACTGCGTCTTCTTATTAGCTATTCCTGTTTCAATGTTTTTTTTATTGTTTTAATTTTTAATTTTGTGCTCAGCATCAACATGAACTAGTAATGTGCTTCATTTCTTTACCCTATATGCAAAAAAAATCTTAAAAATTCAAAAGAGATTAACTCATTCAGACAAATAAGCGATATTACTTACACCTCCGACAAGATATCCCTGTTCTGTCTTTTTATAAATATTTTTTCTTTTTTTGGATAAATTGGAGAAGAATTATCATCACTTGCAAAGCTTGAGCTTCTTGAAGAAAGGAGAGACTTGAGATTTAAGATAAGGCTTTGTGGCGATACAAGTGGGAATATTCTCCGGCTGCTCCATCCATAACTTATGAGAGATTCCTCCTGATTTCAACTTCTCTGATAAATTCATCATCTGAGTTTCTCCTTTAACTTCCAACGTGACCTGATTAATTAAAAAAAAAACGAGTTTAATTATCCACCGTTGATTCACATAGTTATTCGATAACCGCTTAGTACCTTGTGCATAGAGTCAATATGTTGCGGATCACAGTACTGAAGCGTTACTGGATCGTCTTTGAACGACCAGATCGCAGCGACTGACGCGTGGCATCCCTGAGTTACTACGCTTCCTAGTGGCCACGAATCGATCAGATCTCGTCGAAGCACCACGTACTGCACGACGACGTCGTCTGGTTTCTCCGCCGTGTTGGAGGCATCGATTTCGTTAGTCTGTTGGCTCATGGAGGAAGCTGTTGTGATCCGACGGAGATGACGAATGCAGATCGTGGAATGTTGGAACGTGATTCGCGGCGACGAGCTGGAGGAGAAGCGGCGGGTAGCGAACGGGAGACGAAACGCAGCGGAGACGACGGCGGGAGCCATATGAAAGGAGGACGCACGTGGATAAGATTTTATTAATGGGCTTTTAAGAGGCCCAGTTTAGTAATGAGCTTATATTCGATTGACTAAACGACGTAGTTTTGAGTAATTGGGTTTCCACTCTTAACCGGTATAACTAAACCGCTTAAATTTATAATACATTGGTTATTATTATATTACTCGTGAATCCAACCTCCCGTCGCTGGTCTCAAGTCTCGGTTCCTCCGCCTATCATTACCGGCGCTTGCGACGGCTCTCCTCAAATTGGACCTTTTTTCATCTCATTCGTCGGCGTCGGTAAGCTATTTTTCTTTATTTTAGGTTTCTCTTCCGCTGCGCCATGTTAACCACTGATCCCTGAAACAAGCTATACGTAGACATGCTCTTGTTTATTTGATCGTGTTAGGGCTTTGCTTCTAACTGACTTTCTTTTCATGTTGTTAATTGTAAATTGTTTGAACCCTGGGACGATAATCTTTCCTGCGTTGAGAATGTGATTTTAGGTTTTGATGTATTTGTTTACTGCTTTAGATGTGATGTATGCAAATTGAATATATGGTGTTCAAATTGATGATCAACTGTTTCTGAGTTTTGGCAGGAGCTGCTTGGTCAAATAGAGAGCTCTCTGGAAAGAAAAAGATGGGAGAGATGGTACATGACACCCCTTTTTCAGTTTTATTATCTTCAATTGTAACCTTGAAGAGGCAGATTCTTTAACATTTGCTTTTTTTTTGTAACTAGATTGTTTCGCTGGATGATGACATTCCACTGGATTCAACACGAGCACGATGTGAGTAACAGAGTTTTTGTAATTCAGATATTTTTTTTGGGTCTAAGAGTACTCAAAGTTATTTTTTATGCTCTTTTTATAGTTACGAATCTTCTCAAGAGGCATCAGCAATTGACAGACCGTCTTACTAGGTAAGAAAACGTTTCTGAAGTGTGTAGTTTTACTTCTTTTTTTTTTTTATCGTCTTGAAGTTTTAACTTTGTAGTTGGTGATTGGTGATCAATTTTGCTAGGGATTCTGATAAGATGATATTTGATCGGTTAAGCAAAGAATTTGAAGCTGCACGGGCATCCCAAAGTCAGGGTGAGTATAGATAGCTGAATTGCAGAATTGTTCATCAGCATTATTTAAACGATGTGCTTGTACTCTCTATGGCTATATTTTTACTTTATAAGTATATATGCTCACCCGTGTGTTCTCTCCTCTTCTCTGCAGAACTATGCTTAGATGGGGAAGAGTGGAATGATGGCTTGTTGGCTACACTAAGGGAACGGGTATGCTCATCCTTCCTTATGTACCTCATAAATAGGTGTTCCTAGTCTTGGTATCTGGTTGAGGGCTTAGTAGACACTTTCTCGATTAGTTATGTTGTTCTGACATAATAAAATAGAAAGGGTTTTGCCAATTTTTTTTTCTTTTCAGCTGTTGATTTTGCTGACTTTTACTTGAACTTGACCATGAACTGTGTAGGTGCATATGGAGGCTGACAGAAAGGATAGCGGTAATGCAGGTTTTGCACCAGTTTCTCATCCTGAAGAACGAATTGCTTACAGAGTGGGAAATAAGGTAACTCTTAGGTCTTAATTTCTTACAAGATTCTTCTGCGGAGGTCTTAAAGTCTAGATAGCACATATTTACCATGGTCCCTTGTGATTTCACAGTCTTAACTGATGCTGGGGTAGTCTTAAGTTTGGAATGACTTCTCACCTTGAATTGAAACCAGGTCGTTTTAGCTTATATATTGGATATTATTAAACAGGTGATCTATTGCTTAGAGGGAGCGAGAATTGGAATACAGTATGAAACATCTTTCGCAGGTATTTTGAATTATAAATGGCAATTATACTAAAACATAACGAGTTTCTCGCCAGAGGTTTCTTACCTTCCTTGTGGCGGAAGACATTGTGCTTATTCCTGACCATTCCTCTCCCAGTGTGACGATTTATTTCTTTTATATGTAGGAGAAACTTACGAGATTTACCACTGTGTGCTTGAGAGCAAGTCGTTTTTGGAGAAGATGAATGTACTTGAGCACACCATTCCATTCTTTTTGCCACTACGCGACTTGGAAAACGATCTTCTTTCGTCGAATGCTAAGGTGAGCATGGTTTCTGGATATATTGCCGAGATTCAACTTACTTTGACGTTGTTCTATGGTACCTTAATCTTCAGTTCATATTTTTATTTTACTTTTCTTAAATTTGTTTTTTAAATCTGTTTTTTGGTCTATAACTTGTGTTGACGCCAGAAATTCATCGATAATGTTGGGGATCTCCTGCACGCATATGTTGACAGGAGGGAGCAGGTTTGGCAACAATCTTGATCACGAGTGGTTGATCAAAATTTGATTGTGTTTGTCGGCTTGGCCTTTCACATTGTTCTTTTGGGTCATGACTTGTTTCTCCTAATTCTATTGTAGGTCCGGCTTATCAAAGAGCTCTATGGAAATCAGATCAGGGAGCTTTACCACAGTCTTCCTTACCACATGATTGAATTTGCCATAGATGATTGTGACTGGTTAGCAATTTAACAAATCTGTAAATACGATGCTGGTTCTACACTAGATATATTGATGTCACCTTGTTGCCACTTGAGTGAGAATTCCAGTTTTTTATTAGCTTCTTAAAACTCAAATAATGTCTTTGCATTGAAGCAAGGTGATGGTGAGCCTGAGGTATGGGAATCTTATGTGTGAACTTCCGACAAAAGTGAGGGTTCTAGCATGGCCAATGCATCAGTTGAAGAGACAGTGTACAAGCCCTAGATTAAGTAAACTTGCAAGTCAAGCAATCCCTGTACGGTTATCCTTTGCTGAGGATGCCTTAAGGATCCAATCACTACCTGAAGGTATTTATAGATTAAATTCCGAAATCTGTTAATTGCTGTTTTTATAGTTTTTTTTTTTTTAACTTTGTTCATTGCAGCATACGCAGAGATTGTAGTAAACATGCCACAAGAAATTGAGCAAATATTTCTGTAGAGGAGTTGGAGCTAAGATCTGAAGCTTTCACCAACTCTTCTATATCTCTCCCTACTTTGTATGATATTTGATGTTAATCCTTCTTCTAGCAATGTTAAAATTGTGCCACAGAATTGATTTTGTTCTGCTTTGCTGTTACTATTTTTCACTCATATTCTTCATGAATTTATGTATTTGTAACTTGGTAGTCAGAGTGGCTGTAAAGGTTACGAATTAAACAAAAACTAATCTACAGTAGGTTCGATTCAGTTACGAGGAGACATGTGATCGATGTTGTTCAGTTTTCTTCAACTTCTTTACACAATTCTTCTACTTTACATTTATGAAGGAAGCTGAAGGAGACGTCCCGTGGGACGGTCCGTGAAGACTTATAAATTATACGGTATGGGATTCGGTAGCTATTCGGAAGACCACAGTCCGCATGGAACAGACCCGCCGTGACTCGCTCCACGGACGATGACGGAACGGGACGGAAAAGTCCAGTTGCCATTTCTAAGTATGACAGTTGTTGGGTAGTAACTTCTAAGGCTTTCAAGTTCATTAGGAAACACCCCTAGACTAATCTGCCTCATCTAGCACAAAAGTCACTATTAAATGAATTCACCGTCACCGATTTCCTCTAGAAATTGAGAATTGGATTATCTGTTTGGTTCCATTGCCGGTTCATTCAATAAAATGATACAACTTTTGGGTTTAGACTATGAACGTTTGTTGGGTTGAGACTCAGTTTCTCACGTAAAATCCAGATTAAAAGAATTATTGGCATAGAAGATTCATAGATACTATGAGTAAGATAAAACAACACTCTATCGGAAGCCTTTGGTCTGATCAAAGTCTACAAAAACATTCTCATTACGTATTATGAGAACAAACATAAATTGTATTTCGTGGAAACATGCTTTCACTTTTCACCCAACTCCTAAACCCTAAACCTAATCTAGTAAGCACCAACTACTAAACTAAAAAGCAGTAAAAGTCCTCACTCGCACCGCTTTGAACCCCTTCAACAAGCAATCTCAGGACTCAATCTTCTCAAGTTGAGGAAACCGAACAAGACTTGAGTATATACCCTTTTCTCACACTCCTGAGGAGTGACTCCTCTAACAATGGTGGGTCACAGAGCGTACTTTGTACTTATCTGACGATGGTATTTCCTTTTAATTTCCTATTCAAAACTGATGAGATTACTATAGAAAAGTGGGGTCTACCAAATGAAGATTTATTTGTTCCACTTTGAAAATTCTTTTTACAAAACTTCCCATGCAAAAACTTTAGTGATGATGTAATATTGGAGCTTATGATTACGACACTCAAAAGAAAATTATGTCAATCGAGGGTTAAACTAAAATTAAGAAACAAATCCGCTATTTAAGGATTGGTGTCCCCCATCCAGTTTATATCTACATTCTCGCGTTCTCCGCAATTGTAAAATATTAAAATAGAATTCTCTTAATCATCAACCACCGTCCATTTTGGCGCGAGAGGAAACACTACACATAATCATAATTTGAAATGGAACAATACCACGTGTTTGTCAACAATAATTCCAATTGTCAACTAGAGAAACGACGTGGTGCATGCTTGTGGGTTAACGGGACAAAAGAAACCCCCTACCAACTATGATTCTTTGTTCATTTAAGAAATTGCAACATATTCTGACTTGAAAACCCATAGATCATTAATAAAAATATACTTAACTATTTGCAAGTGGCATATTTAATATTTAAATAAGACTTTCATAAAATTATTTCCGAACAAAATATTGACTATACAAAATTGGAATATAAATAGTCAACTATAATAGTCAACTATTAAAAAATTGGACCAAAATGGTAGTTTTCGTATATAACGGTTGACCATATCAGATATATTCACAGTTCAATCTTCTCCTTCATTATCAGTTAATCTCCCCGTATCACCGTAGCCTGTCAAGGTAAGATTTTTTTCTTTCCGGCCGCTTATTTATTTGTGTTTCCTTTTCCGTTATAGCTCAAAAAGTTTTTGATTATGGCATTTTTATAACTTCGATACGTTTAACACGTTGATCCTTGTTCTTGTCTGAAGAGAAACTCTTGATCAATTAATTGGTCTGCGAAATGGAGGCTGATCGGATAGAAGAGATGGACATCGAATTCTTGTCTTCCATGTGGCCAAAAGATGTCGGAACCCAAACAGACAACAAGTTCAACGTCGAGAAACCAGCAGGAGATTCAGACACCTTAAAAGAAGTTGACATCGCTGAGAAACGCACCATGGCGGATTTAAAACGCTTACCGGAACTAATGAACATCACTGACCAAGGCTCCTCTCAACTAAACAACCTCGTGAAAAAATGGGAGCATATGCAAGACCATGAAGTTAAGCTATTAAGAGAAGACCTCAAGATTCTCACCATGCAAAGAGAAGAAGCTAACACCAAAGAGTTAAAGATCATAGAAGAGCCTGAGAACGTTCCGGTTTTGGATGATACAAGCCATTTGTTCCGCAAGTTTAAGCACAAGAAACGTGATGAGTTGGTTGGTAGCAAAAGGGTTGAGATCGATGAGGAGTTTGACACGGTTGCGTATTGGAAACAAAAGGCGTTGAGTTTGGGGAAGATGCTTGAAGCGAGTACTGAGAGAGAGAGGAGATTGATAGAGAAGCTGAACGAGAGTTTGAAGACTATGGAGAATCACTCAGCACCGGTTGAAGAACTGACTCAGAATCTTGAAAGAGCTGAAGTGTTCTTGCATTTCATACTTCAGAATGCACCTATTGTTATGGGTCATCAAGACAAAGATCTACGTTACTTGTTCATCTACAATAAGTTTCCTAGCTTACGAGAACAAGTAAGATAAAGCTGATTCTTCTTTGTTCCGTTCAGTATTCTAAAAATCGGCCTAGGTGCCTTTGCCTAGGTGGCAAATCATTCATAACCAAATTTTTTTTCTTAAAATCCGATTTGCCTAGGCAGCAAATCATTCATTATCAATTTTTTTTCTTCTTAAAATCCGATTTATGTACTTCATATCGGTTCAAAATTATCTAAACCAATTTAAATAACTTTAAATAGGTTTTAATCGATCTAAATTGGTTTAAATCTATCAAATTAAACAATAAAGATTGTGTTACTTCACGGATTTGTTTAAATTCTTATATTTGTATATCTAATTTTTATACCATAATCTTAAAATTAAATTTTAAATATCTAACTAAATATAAAATAAATGAAAAATCTTCCAGCTTAGACCTCCAATAATAGTAGGCCTAGTTGATAGTACTATACAAAACCCTTACTTACCCCCTAATGATTTATTGGTTATGTTTGATCATTCTCATGAGAACGTGAGTTTCTTACTAATGTCTCAGGACATATTGGGGAAAACAGACGTGGAGATATTCCATGGAGGTGGAGTGAAAGAGTCTGAAGATTTCAAGAGAGAGGTTCTCGAGAAAGGCAAAGCATCAAAGAGAGAGATCACATTCGAGACAGACTTGTTTGGATCCAAGACTTTTTTGATATACGCTGAGCCTGTTTACAGCAAAGCTCGTGAGAAAATTGGTATAAACTACATGGGAATGGAAGTAACTGATCAGGTAAGGAAGAGAGAAAAGATGGCTAAACTTAGGGAAGACAACGCAGTGAGAAAAGCTATGGAGTCAGAACTGAACAAGACCATTCACATTACAATGTTAAAATTGTGCCACAGAATGAACTGTGTTCTGCTTTTCTGTTGCTATGTTTTTCATTCATATTCTTCATGAATTTACGCATTTGAAACTTGGAAGTCAAGAGTAGCTGTAAAAGGAATTATAGATTAAACTAAACTTATTTGTTTTGTTGGTCCACCATGTATTATATTTCACATTAAAATGATCCTAGTTGAAGTAGTTGTAAATATAAAAATAAAAGTAATGTTACTAGTACATATGAAATTACTGTAATGGTAAGGAATCCCGGAGTTGTGTTACCCACTTTGAATTATCTTTCGGAAAAGCATCCATGTAGAAAAAAAATTAATCCATGCAAAAACTCTAGTGATGTATTATTGGAGCTTGTGATTACGACACTCAAAAGTTCGTTCAGGAAAAAAAATGCAAAGAACTGTTACATCATGACATGGGTCCTTCTCAGGATTAAATTATCTTATTTTAGTTTGATCTTTTCAATAATGGAACCAAAAGTATTAAATTATTGCAATGGACTTGCACTTGGAGTAATACTAATCCATTGTATGAAACTATTGAAACACGAAATGTATGATACAGTTAAGGATAAAATCTATCATACACTTTGATTTACGTTTGTCATCAATTTATGCTTTATCTTATCATCCATCTTATATTTTTGGCTTTTGAGGAAGCTAAAACATAAAGATTCAAGTACAACCCTTGCACTCGGATATTATCTAAAATTTAACTAATATAATGTTATTGAAAGTAATTAATCAAGTCGTTCACAGCAAGAATCGATCTCTGTCTGCCCCCCTAACAATTGACAACCAATTCACAAGTATTGGTCATATTTAAATAATATACCATATTCTATTTTTTTTAACATGTAGCCAAGTTAAATCTTAAGTGGATTATGTCTAACGATATATAATTGTTTAAAGATGTAACTTTATACAATACATTAGTGCAATTCCACAAATGTTTACTTTTAGTGTGGTCACCTTCTTAAATCCAGGATTAAGTTTCAAAAACAAAATCCAGGATTATACATATATAAAACGTAGTAACTATTATTAGGAAGAAAGCTTGGTCCTGCTTTAACCGAGGGTTAAACTAAATTAATTAAACAATCCGCTAATTAAGGATTGGTGTCTCTATCCAGTTAATATCTCCACATTCTCGTCTTCTCCACATTCGTAAAATTCTGAAATAGCATTATCTTAATCCTCAACGACCGTCCATTTTGGCGCGAGAGAAAACAAAACCCACAAACATAATTTGGAATGGAACCTCACCACGTGTCGATCAACTATAGTTCCATTTGTCAACTTGAGAATGATGTGGTGCATGTGGCTATCACATGTTAAATAAGTAGCAACTATAGGACTGGACAAAACAAAAGCCCCCGAGCGCCGTCCAGTCCGGGGAAGATTACACCTAAAAAATGGCTTAGCTGTTTTATTTCTTAGTTTAATTTAAAAGACCATTTCATTCAATAATTTTGGTTATTTATTTCTTGTGTGACACAACTTGATAATTTTATAAGATATAGAAATGTGATTGATTTCGACAACTTAGTGCCATTACAGTTGTTGTCGTTCTATTGAACTGTGACGATTGGACCTTTTATATGTATATTGTTATTAATATTTATTTGTTCTTCGTGAGTGCACAAAGATTCAAATGATTGATCATACTTTACAACTGAAGTTGAACTGACGAATATAGTTAAGATTTGGTGATTATTATATATTTCCGATACATTATGGTACATGTGCTGCTGCTTTGATGTTCATGAAAACATGAATGTCCCAACCAAATTCGAATATTTGTGTACTTTCATTGACATTCTATAGACTATACACATGATAGTTTTACTTTTCTTTCGGAGAGTACAAAGGCCAAGAAAACAAATCATTCATTCGGTAATTATTATATCGACAACTAGGACAAAGAAGCAATTTCATACGTCATTCTCACCATCCAATCATCAGACATTGTAAAATTGAAATAAAAACCTAGTATGGTAATAAGAAACTACGGGTATGATTGGCAGATATGAGAGGAATTGAAAGTAAATTAAATGGAAGAAAAAAGAGTAGATGTAATAGAATAACTGAGAGGAAAAAAAAAAAGAATAACTGAGAGGAAAAGATAACATAAATAAAATGAAAAACAAAACAAAATTATTTTTAGCTTTAATAACAGTGTAGTTCAGAGTATAATTCACTTGGATAATAGAGATGTACACTTACCTTTATTCGAACAGTACCTGACGTTAAAATAAGAAAATTTGTTTCCACTTGACTGGTAACTTCCCCACTGAATTAAGAGTAACATTTTTTCACAAAATATTTATTGCTATTAGTGATTTGCAATCACACACGTAGTACCTACAAAAATACAAATTTATTATCATTGATACATAACCAGGGGGTGTAAGAGTATGTCCATTAGAGTATTTTAGGGGGGTTCATGACTCAATTTCCTAGAAAATTCAAATAAAATATAACAAATTTTGTGAACCCACCTCTTGCAGGTTCAAGGTTCACTGCGACGAACCAGGATCATGGCAGTTTTGTGGATTCAAAGATACATGGCAGTCCGCGATTGGTCCAATTTTTTTTCTTTTTTAAAAAAATATCAAACGAAAAAAAAAAAGTTATGAATCCCCTACCCAAATTCACTAATAGGGATGTTCTAAGAATGAATGAAAAAGTCTTAATATAACATACCGTGAATGAATATATATATTGAACTTTTCCATAAATCCAACATCAGAAAGTTTTAATTCATCAACTATACAGAGAGGATTGATCTGTAATGGACAATATAAAACTTTTTATTATATGAATATCTTTCTGGCAAAAAAAAGTGTGAATAGAAACAGAAAATAGTGACAACAGAATTCAATTAGTCCACTGTAACCATATAAAGCAAGTTGAGTTGTTGGTGGAACAAATGGTGGAGTAGTGGAAGCCCTAATCTGATTGTAGCCAAAGGCAATTCTATAATAATTTGTTCGACTAGTCTATTATTGGATTATTAACAAAATATGGCAACTAATTTAATGAAACTTGCTTAATTATTGGATTATCAATAATATTTGCCAATTAATTTATTGAAAGTTGCTATAATTATTGGATAATCAACAAAATTTGCCAATTAATTTAATGAAAGTTGCTATAATTATTGGATAATCAACAAAATTGTGCAATTAATTTATTGATTAAGTTGCTATATTAATGAACTACTAGTCATTCATTATAGCACTTTTGACGCGCCAATATAAACGGTCTAACGACTATTGTAGTCTGTTATTGAAGCCTACAGTTCTAGTTACTCATAAAATCATAATGAAACAATTACAAGGAAGTGATCATACTATACTTCCTTTCAAAATCAAGCCAGGTCCGGAGCGTGACGCCAACGCACCATTTTCTTCTCTCATTAGTTAATTTCAGTTGAGGTATAAAGACAGTAAGAAATGAAAACAGAGGAACTATAAAAAAAAACAGAGAGACAGCAGAGCAGAGGAATTGTGAGACAGATCGAAACGTGTTAATGTCTCTGTCATTCGAATACTTCGGACTCGGTCTCAGAAAGAAAACAAACGTGCACACACACACAGAAAAAAAAAAGAATAAGAGAGAGAAAGAAGAGTTGCCATTAAAAAAAAAAACAGAGAGAGAGAACAGAGGAATATAATATACATTGACCTCTCTGTCTTTGCGGGGAAGCACATGGCTCTCTCTCCTCTTCTCCGTAAAATCGATTTTTTTTTAATCTTTCACAATTCACATGCACCCTCTCTCTCTCTCTCTAATCTCTTCATAGGTTAATTAATCTTCCCAATGCTCATCATTTGAAGTTTATTTACTCTACCCACTCGACTCAGAAGACTCTCTTCAGATCTATTTACTGTTCATTCTTCTTCTTCTTCTTACTCTGTTAATTTCCCAGTGACCGGAGCCCGTGAAGGTAAGCTTTATATTCAATCATAGCTTAAAAGGTTCTTCATTTGTATGTCTTTTTCAATTATAGCTCAAAAGGTTTCATCTTTATTAAAACCCAGTTCCTTGTTTTTGATTAACAGATTTAAAAAAAAAAATTATTTAAGTTTATTACACGTTTGATGGGTGACTTTATGATCCATACTTCTGGTTGTTGTACATTTTTATAAAGATCAAAGATTCTGGTCGGAGATGGATTGTAACTGACTCTGAAACATTGATACAGGTTCTTGATCAGACCAAGATTCTCCCTTAAACAAAAAAAAAAACTGTCTGAATTAGAGTGTGTTTGTGTTCTCTAATCAAATGGTCTGCGAAATGGAGACCGATCAGACAGAAGAGATGGACATAGAAGTCTTGTCTTCAATGTGGCCAGAAGACGTTGGAACCCAAGCAGACAACCAGTTCAACGTAGAGAAACCCGCAGGAGATTCAGACACCTTAAAAGAAGTCGACATCGCTGAGAAACGCACCATGGCGGATTTAAAACGCTTACCAGAACTAATGAACAACACTGACCAAGGCTCCTCTCAACTAACCAACTTAGTGAAACAATGGGAGTACATGCAAGACCACGCGGTTAAACTACTAAGAGAAGAGCTCAAGATTCTCACTAGGCAAAGAGAAGAAGCAGAGGCTAAAGAGCTAAAGATTATAGAGGAGCATAACTTCGAGACTCAAGAGCCTGAGAACGTTCCGGTTTTGGATGATACAAGCCATTTGTTCCGCAAGTTTAAGCACAAGAAAAGGGATGCGTTGGTAGGTAGCAAAAGGGTTGAGATCGATGAGGAGTTTGATACGGTTGCGTATTGGAAACAGAAGGCGTTGAGTTTGGAGAAGATGCTTGAAGCGAGTACTGAGAGAGAGAGGAGATTGATAGAGAAGTTGAACGAGAGTTTGAAGACTATGGAGAGTCACTCAGCACCGGTTGAAGAGTTGACTCAGAATCTTAAGAGAGCTGAAGGGTTCTTGCATTTTATACTTCAGAATGCTCCTATTGTTATGGGGCATCAAGATAAAGATCTACGTTACTTGTTCATCTACAATAAGTTTCCTACCTTACGAGAACAGGTAAGTTAAAACTGTTTCTTCTTTGCTATATTCAGTGTTCTAAAAATCGGAATAGGTAGCAATTCTTTGATAGCCAAAACCATTTTCTTAAAATCCGATTTATATGGTTGATGTCGGTTTAAAATAGAACAGATTAAATTAGTTTACATAAATTTAATTTGATCAAAATAATTTTAAATCTATCAATTTAAGCAATAATGTTAGTGTAAACCCACAAATTTGTCTAGTCTCTTATTTTGTATGTCCAATTTTTATAGTTCATCCAAATAATTTTATAATAAAATAAAAAAATAAAAATATCTACTAGAAGTATAAATATGTAAAAATTTAAAATAGATCAATAATCTGTTAACACCTGTAGTTACCACCTAACAATTTATTGAACATTGGTTATGTTAGATCATTGATCATTTTCATGAAAGAGTGTGTTTCTTACTAATATCTCAGGACATTTTGGGGAAAACAGACGTTGAAATATTCCATGGAGGTGGAGTGAAAGAGTCTGAAGATTTCAAGAGAGAGGTTCTTGAAAAGGGAAAAGCTTCAAAGAGAGAAATCACATTTGAGACAGACTTGTTTGGATCCAAGACTTTCTTGATATACGTTGAGCCTGTTTACAACAAAGCTCGTGAGAAAATTGGTATAAACTACATGGGAATGGAAGTAACTGATCAGGTAAGGAAGAGAGAAAAAATGGCTAAACTTAGAGAAGACAACGCAGTGAGAAAAGCCATGGAGTCAGAACTAAACAAGACTATTCACATTACAGAGGAGACAATGAGAGCTAAGCAGATGTTAGCTACAATGTCTCATGAGATAAGATCACCATTGTCAGGAGTAGTGGGAATGGCTGAGATACTTTCTACTACAAAGTTGGATAAAGAGCAAAGACAGTTGTTGAATGTTATGATCTCTTCTGGAGATTTGGTGCTTCAGCTTATTAATGATATTCTTGATCTCTCCAAGGTTGAATCAGGTAAGATAATATTCTCTCCGTTCCATTAAGATATATATGTTTTAGAAAAAAAAAAAACATTTTACAAGAATAATGTTTTATGCAGAAACTGTAAACTTCAATAATAATAATTATTGAATTAGTATTGATTAAAAATTATTAACAAGTGATATTGCAGAAAATGATACATTTATAATATTTATTTAATTTGTTTTCTTAATGTGTAAAAACACTAGATTAATATATTTTTAAGGAGATAGTAGTTGTTATGGTGTTCTTCATTTTTTCAGATTCTTGAGGACATGTTTTTGTGTTGTTTTTAGGTGTGATGAGACTAGAAGCTACCAAGTTTAGACCAAGAGAAGTGGTGAAGCATGTGCTTCAGACAGCTGCTGCATCACTGAAGAAAGACTTAACATTAGAAGGAAACATTACAGATGAAGTTCCAATAGAGGTTATCACACAAACAACACATTGTCTGAAAGAGTTCATGTCACAAAGTCTTTGTAATCTAATTTTTTTTCATGTTTAGGTTGTTGGAGATGTATTAAGGATTCGGCAGATTCTCACCAACTTAATCAGCAATGCTATAAAATTTACACATCAAGGAAAGGTTGGGATCAAACTCAAAGTCATATCAGAACCATCCTTTGCTAGTGCAGGCGCTGAAGAACAGAACAGTTTGACTGAGACAGAGACTTCTGTTTGGATTCGCTGTGATGTTTATGACACTGGAATTGGAATCCCAGGCAAGTTCAAACAACATCAAAAGTAACAAAACTCAAGCTAGGCTATTAGTTACTAACCATGTCCATGTCTGTGCAGAAAACGCACTTCCTTGTTTGTTCAAGAAGTACATGCAAGCAAGCGCTGATCACGCTCGCAAATACGGTGGAACTGGTCTCGGTCTCGCCATTTGTAAACAACTAGTTGAGCTAATGGGAGGTCAACTTACAGTGACAAGCCAAGTCAATGCTGGTTCAACGTTCACATTCATATTGCCATACAAAGTTGCAACATCAGATGATCATTCAGATGATCAAGACTTCTCTGATATGGTTGATCATCATCAACCAGAACCAGATGACACAACCGAAGGATACTTCCAATTTAAACCGCTCCTAGGCTCTATATATTCTAATGGTGGACCGGTCATAGGCAATAACTTCTTACCTCATAAAGTTATGCTCACTAGCCCTCTTAAGCTCATCAACAGCTTTGTCACCGATTCTTCTAACAACACTGCACAAAGCGAGATGGTTCAGGTTGAAAACGGTGGCTACATGGATGAAACCTGTTCTGGTCCATGTCCATCTAAGGAAACAGAATCTTGTAGTAGCTCACAAGCTAGTTCAGAAGGTGGAGTGTTAGAAATGGAGTCAGAGCTTACAGTTTCGTCTCGTGTGGAAGAGGACAAGACAGAGACATCAAAGCAGCCAAAGATTTTGCTTGTGGAAGATAATAAAATAAACATCGTGGTTGCAAAGTCTATGATGAAACAATTAGGATATACCTTTGATATTGCTAATAATGGAGTTGAAGCCATAACAGCTATTAAAGACACTAGCTATGACTTGGTACTAATGGTAAGTCAGTTCTTTTCAACTTCATTTAACTTGAAGAGACTTATAAAACAATTTGGGTTCACAGGATGTGTGCATGCCAGTTCTGGATGGTTTAAAAGCTACAAGACTGATACGTTCATATGAAGAATCTGGGAACTGGGATGCTGCAAGAGAAGCTGGAGTAGATATAAAGACATCAGAGAGTGAGCAAGTTTGTGTGCATTCCATAAACCGGCTACCTATAATAGCGGTTAGTACTTATTTCATCACATATAGCTCTAACTTGAAAAAACTGAAGAGTAAAAAGATTGGGGTTTGAAATTTTGCAGATGACGGCAAATACATTAGCAGAGAGCTCAGAAGAATGTTATGCAAATGGTATGGACTCTTTTATATCAAAACCTGTAACGTTGCAAAAACTAAAAGAGTGTCTACGACAGTATCTACATTAGAGTTTGGTATTAGATTGTATTTGTGTATAAAAGGTGTAGGGAAAAGAAGTTTTGGAGAGGTACAAAGTAGCTTGCTCTCTTATAGATGTACAGTTATCAATAAAAAGATTGTCTTCTCTTCTTTATTTATCCAACTAGAGTAAAACGCAGCCAAGCTCTACAAACGTTAACCAAAACCTCAAAATTTGAAAACCGATCAAGACGAGTCAGAAAGGTTTTTTAGTTGTAACATCAAAAGAGTTACCTCCATAAGCAAATCTTGTGAGCAGCTCAGTTTCAGCAGCTTTCTGTAAGAATTAAAAGAAAAAAAAGTTTAAGACAACGTAGAATGAAGGTTGGGGAAAAACTAATTGATTCTAGTGGACCTATTGTGTTTAGTGGGTCTAGCTGAAGAATGAAGGTTTCTTACCCCATGGAAAAATCTGTTGGGGACATACTCAACCAGGTCAGATCGCGAATTAGAATATATATTTGTTGTGACGGATGTGAGAAGATACAGATCAACATATTGAATAAACAATGAAGAACGACACTGAGATTTAACGTGGTTTAATCCATGGGGCAAAAGAATACTTTATTAGTGGATGCTGGTTTTTCAGAGTACAATTCGTGTTATAGAATAGAGTAAAACTCTAAAGACATATAAGAAAACGTTTAATGAAATTTTACATATTTCGCAGAGTAGACACAACCGACCGATTCAAAAGCTCCTGAATCGACAGAATTAGAATATATATTACTTATGATTTTACACTTTATAGTCATGCTTGATGCTTATGTGATATAGTAGTTGGGTAGATGATGCCTTAATCCCCACGGAAAAGCCTTTTCCCTAGGCCACGCAAATATGACAATCTTTTATTCACTTGCTTTCTCTATTTCGTCCATGTTTGACAACTAACCCTTACATTTTACAGATATAAATAAACGAAAGCATCTTCTTTTGTTTTATATGCAGCTTCGTCGTCTTTACCATAAAAGTGCACACGTTATGGTTACAACATAATATTCTTAGTAATTTATTCGGGTTTACAAAGCTCACTTTATATGTTCACATGTGATTTATTTGTATAAACTGAATTGAGAATATCAAAAGTAGCATCTCCTTGATAAAAGAGTAGAAGAGAACTTTCGATAGTGATATACCTTTAGAACTTTTGCTATGTATCCGTATGGTGTTCTATCGTAGTTTATTAAACTAGTAACCGCGTGGTAGTGGTGCCTTAAATATTATTAACATTATGGATCATACCTTACTGAAACTATATTTTATGCATTTATTGAAATCCTTTTGTAATAAAAAAATTCCAAAATGAAATATTTTCGGTTTAGCTTTTCATAAAGACAACATCTATATAATAAAAGAAACATAATGAAAATCGACCATGTTGACTCTTATGGAGTCATGCATCTCTACACATTACTTTTTGCATAGTGTCTATAAATAAGACCATCACATGCTAATCCAAGACTAGTACACACATCAAACACAACACAAGTCATTGGACAAGAAAAAGTGTTAAGTAACAAAATTAATATGATGGGAGATACAATGGGAACATTTGGTTCAAGCATGGCAAGTTTGTTCTTCTTATGGGCAACTTTTCAACAGATGTTCCCTGAACACCTCAAGATCGCAATCAAAGAGTTCCTTTTGTCTACAATCCAACAACTCTCATTTGTCCAAAGATTCTCCGACCAAATCATCAACTTCTTCTCTCCTTACGTTGTCATAACTTTCCCCGAGTACGAAGAGTACCGTTTCAACCACGCTTTCGCAGCCATCGATACCTACCTTGGCGCCAAAGCAATCGATAAGTCCCATAAACTCAGAGCAAGTCAGGTTAAAGAGAGCAAAGACCTAGTATTACAACGTGACGAGGCTAAAGTCAGAGACGTGTACAAAGGAGTTAATGTCTGGTGGGAGCTTGTGATTAGTACTGATGGAGACAGAACTCACAAGCTCACTTTCCATAGACGTGGGTTTGAGATTATAACCGTTTCTTACATCAAGTATGTAATGGAACAAGGGAGAAAGATTCAGGCAAAAAACAAGAAGAGGAAGCTGTTCACTAACAACCCTAGCTCCAACTGGGACAATACTAGCAAGAAGAGCTTGTGGAGACACATTGATTTCGAACACCCAGCGAGTTTTAACACATTAGCTATGGATCCTAAGAGGAAAGAAGAGATTTTAAACGATCTTGAAGCGTTTCGTAATGGGAAAGATTATTACAAGAAGATTGGGAAAGCTTGGAAAAGGGGTTACCTATTGTACGGACCACCAGGGACTGGTAAGTCAACGATGATCGCGTCTATAGCGAATCATTTGAACTATAGTATATACGATCTCGAACTCACGGCTATTCAGAACAACTCCGAGTTAAGGAAGCTTCTTACCGCAACATCAAGCAAGTCTATTATAGTGATTGAAGACATTGATTGTTCTTTAGACCTAACGGGCGAAAGAAGGAAGATAGATGATGACTTGAGCGACAAGAAAGATGGCGAAAAGGAACAGAACCAAAGCAGAGTCACACTCTCTGGGATTTTGAACTTTATAGATGGGTTATGGTCGGCTTGTGGACAAGAGAGGATTGTTATATTCACGACGAATCATATGGAGAAATTAGACCCGGCTTTGATCAGGAGAGGAAGGATGGATATGCATATTGAGTTGTCTTATTGTGGTTTTGAGGCGTTTAAGGTTCTTGCCAAGAACTATTTGGATGTTGATTCTCATCCTCTGTTTGGTGATATCGAGTCTTTGCTGAAGGAAATAGAGGTCACTCCAGCTGATGTAGCGGAGAGATTGATGGCGAAGAATCATAAAGTGGATGTTGATGGATCACTTAAAGACTTGGTTCAGAGTTTGGAGAGGAAGAAGAAGGAACAGAGAGGTGACGGTGAGAATGATAACAGGAAGAAATCTGGTAAACTTAGAATATTTCGTGGATTGGTTTAGGCTAATGTCTGGTTTAGCTTTTTTTTAAAAAAAAAAATCTTCTTACCTGAGTTACAACCTGTTTGAATTTGATATATGACCATATGAGCTGTAAGAATTATGTTTGATCATCTTTACTCTATTAAAAGGGCTTAATGCTCAACTCTCAGCCTATCCACGTTGGAATAAAAAATCAGCCATTAGGAAAGAGCCAGCTGTCCATCTAACCTACGACATTATTCTTTCTTCAGTTTTCCTAGCTGCCGTATTGCTTACAATCTCCGGCCTTTTCCACTTCCTCCTTCTTCTTCGTTAGCTTTTTAACTTATCCTCCTCTCACTAAATACATCTATATTTGCATTCAATCAAAGAAAACAACCCCATGAATTACTTTTTAACTTCCCCTCACACCCTATATATATATACGCCAAGTCATGTCGTCATACAACTCGCTAATACTGCTAGAAGTTGTAGTAAAAAATGGTGGGGAATGAAAATCTATGTCCATGGCTAGGTAATACTTATGCTGCAGCTATATTATGTTTTATGTCAAAGAAATTTTTTTAAGAGCCATAACAGACTTTCTTAGTGTCTGAATCCTCTTAAGTTATTTGCTCAGATCATGAGCCCAGGAGGAAAGAAAGAGAGCTGCAGAATCTGACACTCAGCCTTGAAAGTCAGGTTTCCATGTCAGTTCTGACTCTGTTAGCTTTTCACATCGGATAGAGGAACACAAGGTAAAATTTAGTTTTAGGAGCCCTTCATTTGATTGGAATCTATTCTCCAGCTTATTCAGTGTTTTCCAGTTTAGTTATATCACAGTGCTGCAATTTTAATTAACAACTCAAGCAGTAAAATATTTCTCAATCAAAGGACAGATGGGAAGTTTGGAGGTCATCAAAGGAGACATGCACCAGCTGAAACAACAAGACTGACGAGAGTAGAGGAAGAAGACAATTAAGGTGATCCAAGTTTTGGTGAATAAAAGAAAAACTATTACTGTGCATCAGCATAATAAAAACGTCCGATATGAATCAACAAATCTGCCAAAACCCGTGATTCAAGGTATAGTGAAGTGACATCATGGTTTTAATTTAGTAGTTGTGTCTCTGAATGCTGTTAACCATATGGTCTAATATATTCATAATTAATAATAGAAGAACCAGGAGGCTCGGCTGCAGCTCTCCCAAAGAATCTCTGTTACAGCACCAGTAATAAGGAAGTTACGCAAAGACTTATTATCCTGTTGCACTATTTTCACTATCCATATTTCACATTTATGCTGAGAGCGATTTGTTTGGTGGCGGTTTCAATGCAGTGATGCCGAACTTTGCTGAAGTCTACAGATTTATTGGAAGTGTCTTTGATCCCAACACATCAGGTCACCTCCACAGATTGAAGCAGATGGATCCAATAAATATGGAGACGTATGTGAAACATGTTTAATCAGACATAGTCTTTACGCAGAACCTTTGTTCTAACACTGCAATCCTGAGTTTGTATTTTTCTTTTGTGTATATATCACGTTCTTTTACTGATGTGAAACCTACTGTAAATCTGACAAGTCCAGAGTTTGGAGAACAAGTAAGTTGTGCCAAACTTATATTCCACTCTTCTCTATATACAGAAAGAGTTAAAATACTTTCTTGGTGGGTACTCAAGTGGTTTTTTCTTTTACTTATATGGTGCTTGTGATATGCAGAGGAAGTTGATATCATCATCCAGCAGTAAAGCTTTGAAATAGATATTGGAAAAAGCAACAAAGGACCTTGAAAGAGCCAGAGATACTCATTCACTGGAAATAGAGGTTGAGTTTTCATTGGATGAGCAAACGCACTGGTTTGTCCAAGCACGACCCAATATTGTGGAGAGCACCAACGGTAGTCATGATCTTCAGATGGTGCGTTTCTGTGCTTTTGTTGTGTTTGCAATATTTTGCATGTACTGTTCTGAATATCAAGCAATGGGTCATGCTAGACATTCCTTCTTTCTGGCTTATGCTTAGATTCATAGATGCAACATGAGGACAATGTTTTTATGTTTAGATATATGGTTTATGGCAATGGAGCTTTAGGATATATTTCATTTGCTCTGTTGGCATATTGTGTGATTAGTGTATATCCCTTATATGATCTGTGTGGGTGTATGGATAATGGTTTGAAAGGAAAAGGGGTAGAATCTGATTATATATCTTTTCGCTCTCTCCCTTCGTTTCTCTATGAGCAACAAATCATATCATACTTTCTTTTGGAAGAGATTACATTAAATCTGGAATAGAAAATAACATAGTGTCACTGGGGTGTTTGCTGTGTGTCTGATATTTTTCTTTGTTTTTGCACAGGTGAAAATTGGACTTAAGGTTCTCACACGTCCCATGGGTGACCGCTTGCCTCATATTTTCCAAACCCTAGGCGATAATTACAGTGAAAGGCTTCTTCCTTCCATCATCCATGAAACTCTAAAAGCTATAGTGGCTCAGTACATTGCAAGCGAGCTCATCACTCAGAGAGAAGTATGTATCTCAACACCTCTTCTTCTACAATCTTTTCTATTCCTTGTTCGTAATGGTTGACTGTTTATATACTTTTCCCTAGACTGTGAGCAGAGAGATACGCAAGATTTTGACAGAGAGAGCTTCCAACTTCGACATGATGTCTCCATCACTACGCTCACATTTGGCAAAGAAGTTCACCGCTGCAATCGAAGCTAAACAAGTGGCTGCACAGGAAGCTGAACGTGCTAAGTTCATTGTGGAGAAAGCAGAGCAAGACAAGAGAAGTGTTGTTATCCGTGCACAGGTAATAGATTGTTGATCTTATATAATCACAAAGATAGGTTTTGGGGGTTCTCTGCACTAAAGGATTAGGTTTGTGTGTTGATTATTTGTGCAGGGAGAAGCTAAAAGTGCTCAACTTTGCGCTAAATTTTTTTTTACAAAACAATGTGTACATTATTATATCACGCAAGAGATCAACAAAAGTTAAAGGACTTAGAGCATCCACATCAATGAACCCCCTCTTGCGGTAAATTGATTCAATTGTTTATTATTAAAAAATTTTGATTTCTTTTTTTTTTAAAAAAAAGAAAAAAAAAATTGACCAACCGCGGGTCGCCACGTGTCAAAAAAGATGAAAATAAACCACTTCCTTAACTTTAGTGTTTTATCAGTTTTGTGTAATTATCAAAGAAATATGTGATATAAAATAAGATAAAGAACTTACTACAAATTTATTAGAAATAATAAAGCAAAAAAAAATAATTATTTAACTGATAAATACTTATCAAAATAAAAATCTAAACAAAAGAAATGACCTAATAGTGAAGGGAATTTTTTTAAAATACTATATTTATGATTTTAAATTTGCAAATACGTTTCTTTATTTTTTTTTTTTTTAAATTATATTTCTTATATCCGAAAAGATATTCTTAGAGAAATTTTCTTGGATAACTCTTTTTATTTTATTTTCACAAAAATAGCTCTTAAGGAGAAAAATGACCAAAATAAGTTTTTATTAAAGGGTAAATATGCACTTATATCATTGGGTTAACTAATATAGACTTAGGCTTTAGAGTTAAGAGATGGAGTTTTGAGTTTAAGATTGCAAATTTTAAAAACTCAAAAATAAATATTACAAATTTCGAAATAAAATAGGTTATTTTGGTCATTTATTTTTTTGATTGCTATTTTGTGACAAAAACTTAAAAATATTATTTGAGAGTATTGCCCATATTTTTATCATGATTTGATTTCAAACAAACAAATTAAAATCTAAATTCAAATTTAAGTTAATTATGTTTTGAGATAAAATATATTTAAGATAGATACATGTTAGTTATTTCAAATGTTAAATAGATAAATTTTATAAAATGTTTTAAAGTCCATAGTTGTAAGAAATAGAAATTTATATAAACAGAGAACTTGCACACTTGCAAGCATAATTTATACCCTCATACATGCATACGATCTATCTAACCTTCTATTTTAAGTCAATATCTTATAACTAAATTTATGTTATATTCTAATTTATAATATGAATAGTCTCAATTTTGAGTTTATTTATGCGAAGAAATTTTTTATTGTTTTTTCTTTGCCTTTCATACTAATTATTTTTTTGTTGGGTTAGTTTAAAGCTTAGAGTTGGTGAAATCTGAAAAATGTGTGGTATAAAATAAGATAATGAACAAGTTTATTCCAGGTTTATTAGAAAAAAAAGCAAAAATATTGAAAATTATTTAACCAATAAAACTTATCAAAATTCAAACAAAACAGCCCACCTAATAGTAAAGGGAAAATTTTAAAATACTATATTTATGATTTTAAATTTGAAAATACTAAAAATATTTTTAGCCTGATTTGATTTCAAAGTAATAAATTAAAAATTAAACTAAAATTTAAGTTAGTTATGTTTCTAGATAGACATATGTTTAAGATTGATATATGTTAATCATTTCAAACGCAAAATAGATAAATTTTTATAAAATGTTTTTTCGAAACTAAGGAGAAATTTAATAAAATACTTTAAAATCCATATTCTTAATAAAATATAAATTTATATTAAAAAGGGCTTACACACTTTGCAAGAACAATCAATATCCTCATACATAGCATACGATCTATCTAGCCTTCGATCTAAAGTCAATATCTCATAACTAAATTTTTGTTATTCTTTAATTTAGATTACGAAGAGTCTCGATCCTCAGTTTTTCTTAAGATTTATTTGATTTTATTAAAATAATATAACTAGAAAAAAAATTATAGGAAAAGGACGATTTGAGAAAATGAAGAACCTATAGTAAGATATTGTGTATATTATTAGTGTTGTTTAAAAAAGAAAAAAAAAAAAATCCTATTGTATAGTTATTCAGCTTACATAAATGACAAAAAAATTCAAAATAAATAAATAAATAAAGGAATAATTTTTAAGTAAATCTCATACAAAAGTACTTTCAAAGTTTTTACAATTTATCATATATAACCGCGCGTAGCGCGGTGAGAGACTCTAGTAAATATAACTATTTTATTTCTTTTTGAAGATCAATATTTAAGTTTCTTTAGCAAGTGTAACTTAATTATGACCATTATGTTCTTTTATACATAAACAACACACAAAATAGATGTGTGCATTTATATACACACTGACACAAAATATAAATATTTGATGTTAAATAGTATCCCCTCTATTTCAGATTCATATTCTAGAAAAAATATTTGTTTCAAAAAATATGTTTTTTACATTTTCAATGTTTTCAATGTATTACTTAATGATAGATTTTTAATTTCAAAAAATTATTTATTAAAATATTTTTAGTTAAAAATTATGAAACATTGTTAGCTAAAAAATGATACATTGATAATCAAAATTTTATATTTTATTAATACGTGTGAAAACAACAAAAACATCATACAATCCTATGCATAAACACAATGGCCCATGGTTTAGAACTGAATCTGGGCTTCTATAGGCCCATGGATACTCATGTTAAGTGAAATAAGGATAAATGTACTCCTACTGCCAAACAGCAGCTTAAAACTTTTCATTGAGAGAAAGAGTGAGATTTGGGATCAGTAAAAATCAGTCGACAGTAGCTGCTTGCTTCCTCAACCGATCCGTTTTGAGATCAAAAAGGAGGTTTCCTAATATTCGTCTTTAATGGCGAAAGAGAAAATCCTAAGACCTTGGTTTCTGGATCTCGTACCGGCTTTAGTTATCTTACTCGCGGCAGCTCATGTCATCGCCTTGGTATGATCTTATTAATCTCCTTTTGTGTATTCTCTATTCTCTAATCGTTGATTCTGTTTTGTGTTCATAGGGTTATTGGATTTACAGATTGGTAACTGATCGTCGCGCTCAGAGTCAGAGAGGGAAGTTTCACTGAGGAAAGGAGTAGGTTTCCGTAAACTGCATAGTTTCATAATCTGACGGAGTTTTGCTTCCGATCTGATGTTTTGTGATCATTGATTTTTGTAGCTTATGGTGTCGTTAGGTGGATCTCATATATGATTTACTAGTTTGTTTTCACTCTATGTTTGTAGCTTGTATCGACTTTTATGCAATTTTCTAAATAGATTTTGTAACGCTTCTCATCATTGTTTTCACTAAACCATTGTGGTTTTTTTTTTTGTCTGCAACTAGTAAATTTGAAACGAATTCTCTGTTCTTATGGTTGAATTTTTGAGTTCTTGAGCTCCACGCTTTGTTTTTTTGAGTATGATTGAGCGTCAAAGACTGTTGAGGCAATTCTTGGCAAAGAAGATGGAAAGAGATTAAGTAAAACTGAGTCTCTGTCTGTGTGTGAACATGTTTTAAGTATATGATTCAACTTAGTGAAATGAGTCTTTAGTATTGGGTTGTTTGGGGGGGAGCCTTTGGCCTTGTAGGACTCTTGAGTTCATTCTTAGGTTCTGGTTTGTTCTTTTGGATTTATTACTCTGTTTTGGATCCTACCTTGCTCATCTACTAATATTGTCTCGAACAAATCATTGAATAGATGGTTTTCATATGTCAGGTATTCTTCAGTGGTGTTTCCACAAATAGACTATAGTCTGATGGTAAGACCAAATATGTGTTCGTTAAGACAGAGTTGTAGTGTCTCTGTATAGTTACTGAAATTGTAAGAACCTGCTGCAAGTTGTAACCAAAAGTGGAACACTGTCTTGGAAAACTTTTTTTTTTTTATATTAGCTGGAAGTGATATTGAGTAGTCATCATATCAAAATGGTGAAATAAGTTGTTTCCATGACATATTTAGGAGAGCTAATAATAACTTAACACAAAAACCAAGCCTTTTCCTTTGTCTACTTATAAAATTCATGTTAATATTTTGCCAAACATTTGCTGGCAGAGATTCATTGATTCATCCCTTGATTTGCTAAATTGATTATCTTCGTTCCATATATTACTTCATGTTGCCTGCCTCCAATGCGTGTATGTGCTTAATGGTCGGTGGAGATCCCGATTTGTTCTCCAACTCCAAGTTTTCCACTTGCTTGTTACAGTAGCGAGCTACAAATATTTATCCATTAACGCTTTCTTTACGCGTAACTTTGTTGGTGCCTTTGGAGGCAACTTTTGTGATGTAAAAGCAACAAAACGTAAACAGATCACAGAGTATATAATAACAAATACTCCAACTATTCAGCTTTCTATTTTCCTCCATTTTCGTGTATAATATTAAAAAAGTTAATGATAATAACTCGACAAAAAGTTGTTCGTGCTCTGCTGCCAAGTGCAATAATTATGAACTAGTTGGTTTATCATGTGGTTGTACCATTAATTCCAAATGAATGCAATTATTTATTGTGTTTCAAAAAAAAAAGAATGCAATTATTTACCAATTAAAAACATGAAACTGAATTAAAAAAAACATAATGAATAAAAACAAATATCTATTTTTGTTGATAAATGTAAAAATAATACATTCCCACCGCGTTGATTATTCAAGTAATTTTATCATATGATTAGTCCATTAACTGAAAAAAGAAAAAACACATGAAATACAGATAAGCCAAGGACACTATAGGAATTTTCTTATAAAACTCCAAAGCCATTTCAACCCCTTTTTATTTTGTCACACCACCACACAACTCACCTAGAGAGAGAGAGAGAGAAACAAAAAAAGGCCAACGACCATACAACACCATGAGCCCTTCCAAGCAGCAACGACATCGCAGCTCCACCGCCGATACCAACTCAAAACCGTTACGATCCTCCTCCTTCTCCTCCTCCTTCTCCTCCTCCGCAACACCCGAATGGATCACCGAATCAATCAACGGCGGCTCCCTCCGCCGCGTAGATCCCGAAACCGGCACCGACGGCTGGGCCTCACCACCAGGAGACGTCTTCTCCCTCCGCTCCGACTCCTACCTAACCAAAAAACAAAAATCCCCCGGCGGAGACTACCTCCTCACCCCCGCCGGCATGGACTGGCTCAAATCAACCTCGAAGCTCGAGAACGTCCTCTCCCGCCCCGATAACCGCGTGGCTCACGCCCTCAGAAAAGCTCAATCCCGAAACCAATCCCTAAAATCCTTCATCTTCGCCGTGAACCTCCAGATCCCGGGGAAAGACCACCACTCCGCCGTCTTCTACTTCGCCGCGGAGGAACCGATCCCCTCCTCCTCCCTCCTCCACCGCTTCATCAACGGCGACGACTCCTTCCGTAACCAGAGGTTCAAGATCGTTAACCGCATCGTCAAAGGACCCTGGGTTGTTAAAGCGGCCGTTGGGAATTACGGCGCGTGTCTTCTAGGGAAGGCGTTGACGTGTAACTACCATAGAGGTCACAACTACTTCGAGATCGATGTTGATATTTGCAGCTCCGCGATCGCGACTGCGATTTTGAGGCTTGCGTTGGGGTATGTGACGAGCGTGACGATTGATATGGGGTTCTTGGCGGAAGCGCAGACGGAGGAGGAGTTGCCTGAGAGGTTGATTGGAGCTGTTAGGGTTTGTCAGATGGAAATGTCGTCTGCGTTTGTGGTTGACGCGCCGACGACGCAACAGACGTTGCAGCCGTGTAGGACGTTGAGTTTGGCGAAGGTTAATCATGACGAGGATGAGGATTGAGATTTTGAAAATCGGGTAGAGACAATTATGTTTATGCGTTTACTGATGAATGTATTAATCTAATAACAATTTTTCAGCAATCTCTCAATCATTTTTATGTTACATCGGATATTTTGAAGGATGTTGTAAATATTTTTTATTTATTTTACTGAGAATTTTTTATGATACATTAATGGAAATAAATTGAAATTCGAGGGTTCTTTTTGATATTTTTGTTAAAAGTGAACCTAGAATATAGGGGGGTAAATAATAGTCCACTTTCGACGGAAGAAAAAACGTGTGAGGATTTTTTTTTTTTAGTCGTGGAGGCAGATTCGTCGTATGTGAAAAGGGAAAGCGTTGAAAACTTGGAGAGATCTTTTCACCTCGAAATCCGAAAAGAGAAAGAAAGATGTAAAGTAATCGTGTAGCGCATTCTGGTTTTGGTTGTGGATGATTGTTTGGGCTTATTTGCTAAGGGTCATTTCTTTTGATCGTGGGCTTTGACGGCTGAGGGCTAAAAATCATGTATGGGTGTTGGACTGTATAATAATCTTCTCCCTGATGATTTTCTCAGTGCATGATAGTGATTAGTACTGAAAAAAAAAGCCAGAACTGAAAGATTTTCTGAGTGCATGATAGTGATTAGTACTGAAAAAAAAAAGCCAGAACTGAAAGATCGAATCGAAACTGAACCAGAACCAAATATATTTTGTATATATATTTGATTCATATATTAAAATGGGTATTTGAATTAAATCAGAATCTCATAAATATTTATTAAATATAAAAATAAATTATCTAATATGTTCGAACCAAATAGTCTGGATGGTTCCTACTCGAATCCAAACCGAATATCTGAATACTCATGACTAATGGTATAAAACCGAATCCACACTGATTTGGAAATCAAATACTTGCATGGATTTTTTACAATGTTCTAATTTTTTTTTAATTTGATTTATGCAACTTAAATTAGTGTAAACCGTTTTCAACTAGTTAAAACTGGTATAAAATAATCTAAATTACTTTCAATTAGTTAAATTAATAACCAATATTAGTATAAGTCCATAAATTTATCTAGTTTGTTTTCTGTATGTAATTTCATAATTCATCAAAATGATTATATTAATGAAATAAAAAAACTAAAGTGTCTAATGTAAATATAAAATATATCTTAATGATTTGTTGAGGCATAGATCTTTGTATAAACTCTAAATAAACCTCACCAAATAATAGGGCAAATAACACTTCCTAATAATGGAATAAACGAATCCAAGATCCGGATAATAGTTGAATCCGGGTCAAAAGGCTCCAACTCCGAACCCAATTTCTTTTCCTTTTAGCTTTCCATTAGTAGGAAAAACATCTGATAGGGATCGGATCTAAGGTCTCTTCTTCTTCTTTCTCCAAATCCCTCTATAGCTCGCTGATCGTAGAGCTAACGTAAATGGACAAAGGCAAAGCAGTGATGGGAACTGGTCGGAGATGGGCCGTCGATTTCTCCGACCAATCCACTGTTCCATCTTCCCGCGACATCCTCGATCCCCCTGGCTTCTCTCGTGCTTCTCCCGAACAGGTATTTGAATTTGAAAATTAGATTTGGAATTTTTTTTAAACCGGGAATTTGACTTTGGTTATCGATTGATTTTTGATTGAAGGATGATTCAGCAACGAGCCGTCAAAAGAAAGACGCTGAAGCTACTTGGAAACTTCAGGTATCTTAAAAGTCGTCTTCTTTCGATCTGAAAAGACATTGACTTAGTGTTTGTAGACCTTTACATGAGACTAGACTATCTTTTTTCTGTTAGCTCACTGTTTATATAAAAGAGGACACTTTAGGTTTCTGCTGATTGAGATTGGGTTTGATGTGGATAGAGTTTTTTTTTTTTAACTAAAGTTTTGTTTTTTTTTGGTTTTGGGTTTGATGAATGAGTAGAAAGCATGGGAAGTAGCGCAGTCTCCATTTAAGAATTTGATGATGATGGGATTCATGATGTGGATGGCTGGAAACACTGTTCATCTCTTTAGCATTGGTATTACTTTCTCGGCTCTTTGGCAGCCTCTCAGTGCTCTTCAAAGCGTGGGAAAGAGTAAGCCACAAGTTTGATCATTTGAGTTATATAACTTTTGTTTGTGAATATAAGTTCAGGGTCTTGCATCCTTATATTATATACCCTTTGTTTGCAGTTTTTGAGCCATTCAAGGATAATAAGGTGGAACTACTTATGCCTAAACTAGTGTTTCTTGCCCTTAACCTTGGAGGCTTAGCTTTGGGTATCTGGAAGGTTAGAAATATTCCCTCAATATTTTGACTCTTTCATCACTGTCTTAAGGCGTATGAAGTTCTATTTTCTCATTTATACAAGTTTTTTTTTTCTCTTAGCTCAACACTTTGGGCCTTCTTCCAACACATGCATCAGATTGGGTTTCATCTCTACCTCCTCCTCAGGTTAGTAGTTTCTGACTGCAGCCAAATCTTGTTGTATCCATGTGTTTTTAATTCATCATCTCTAAGCTGGACACCTCATGTTTCCTTTTTTGTTTGTAGGAGGTTGAACACTCTGGCGGAGGATTTGCTTTCCACTGATGAGCGTATGTCTCTTTGAGATAATTACGAAAGATATTTAAGTGATTTGTTCAATTCTGGCATGATGGGAAGATTCATGTTGACTCTCTCTTCTCATCTTGTGATCTTCTTGTAGCATTTTCATAAACTCAGAGAAAACCATAGCTTTTTCACTTATTAGTATGATGTTCATTGCTCATCATAACTATGGATTGTATTATTTGGCACTGAAGGTACCTGCTTCCTAGCTTTTTAGACACAATAGATAACGTTCCAGACAAAGGTTGGCTCCTAATTTGTTTTAACAATGATTCTGAAACAACCAATGAAACAAAGTATGAGCCTGATATTTGTGTTACATTACATTATGTTATCATTGTTATAAACACATCCAAGGACCAAAAAACCATACTGTTTAGATGGATATTATCTCGTTACATTAGCAAAATATTATATATATAACGGGGTGATGATAATGTTATGAGCCAGAGGTTCTAAACATTCGATCTAATGTCCAACAAAATGACTAGATCTGATGCTACGCTACATTAATTGGGATGTAACACACCCCGTTAATGTCTCCGGTTCGGTTCATTATTGTTCGATCATTATCAACTATGATTAGTTAATTAAATGTCCAGCAAAATGACTAGATCTGATGCTACGTTACATTAACCGGGATGTAACACACCCCGGTTAATGTTTCCAGTTCGATCTAATGTCCAACAAAATGACTAGATCTGATGTTACACTACATTAATCGGGTAGTAACACACCCCGGTTAATGTCTCCGGTTCGGTTATTGTTCGATCATTATCAACCATGATTAGTTAATTAATCGTTTGACAAAAAAAAAAAGTTAATTAATCAAGTGGCGAATAAGAAGCTTAAGCTAAACCGGGATGTATATTACATAACAAATCGGGTCTTATTCGTCTCCAACCAATCGTAGTAAGAGAGAAATAACTGTAGCGTAGCCATGGCTATGGAAGCTTCTGGATCGGCGATCGTCTTGATCCTTATACTATTCGTTCATGTAGCTCACTCTTTCTACCTCCCAGGTGTCGCTCCTCAGGATTTCGAGAAGGTAAACGCTCGAATTTTCTGCTCCTATCTAGATCTGAATTGGATCTGATTTCTAGGTCTTTGGTATGATGTTGATTTCGCTTTAGGATTAATCAGTACTTGATCCGCGAGATAGCTACTGAAAACCGAGAGTCGGTGTTCTGATCCACCGACTTTTGCTTAAGAGATAGGACTGATTTGATTCTTTGATTTCACTTCATTTTCGGATTCACGAATCTCTCGATCTGATCAATGTCGGCATTGTAGACGAGCTGAATCGCATTCGTTTAGTTTTTGATTGTTTTTTCTTAGGTTCTTAAAACCATGATTAACCCGGAGTTCTTATGATGAGGTTCTTAGAAACTGTTTCTTAACTTTTAACTAAAAAAATAAGAATCGAAAAATCTTTATTTAAAAACCGGTTCTTAGCATTTTTAGTTAAAAGTTAAGAAACAGTTTCTTAACTTTTGCTAAGAACCTCATCTTAAGAATTTTGGGTTAACCATGCTCTTAATCTCTAACTGGCTTAAACAAATGCAATGTCGGTCCTGCATGCTGTGTTACAAATCTCATTAGAAGTATAATTGAGTATGTTCACTCGAATCATATATTAAAACGTGGGGGGTTTTTTATCGAATGTTTGCAGGGTGATGAGCTGAAGGTTAAAGTGAATAAGCTATCCTCCATCAAGACTCAACTTCCGTACTCGTACTACTCCCTTCCTTTCTGCCAACCTAAGAAGATTGTTGATAGTACTGAGAATCTTGGAGAAGTTCTTCGTGGTGACCGGATTGAAAATGCCCCTTACTCGGTTTGTTTCTTGCGTTTTTTTTTTATTCTTAAAGTGATCAGTCTGTATTTTATCTCTAAACCTATGTGGAGTTGAATCGACTGCAGTTTAAAATGCGGGAGGCACAGATGTGTAATGTTCTCTGCCGCATCACTCTTGATGACAAGACAGCGAAAGCGTTTAAAGAAAAGATTGATGATGAGTACCGTGTCAACATGTAAGTCCAATAAGATGGAAACTTTTGTTAGATTCCTTGTATGGAGATAGAACTTGGTTTCCTTGTGTCAGTTTTTTTTTTTTACAAGTGTTTCTTTTGTGTGCTAGGATCCTCGACAATCTGCCGCTTGTGGTTCCAATCGAAAGAGGGGATCCGGGTTCTCCTGCCGTTGTTTATCAGCTTGGCTATCATGTTGGTCTTAAAGGCCAGTATGAGGGGGTAAGTAATTTTAAATTTATCAACAACAGTTCAAATAGCTTGATTTTCTAAACTGCCTTTTGTATACACAGAGCAAAGAGAAAAAGTTCTTTATCCACAATCACTTGGCGTTTACTGTCCGATATCACAGAGACGTGCAAACTGATTCTGCAAGGATTGTGGGATTCGAAGTTAAACCTTACAGGTTCATTTCTTGTCCATTATTTCAATTGTCTCTTTTGCACCCCTGTTTATTCTGTACTGATTGTTTTTCTCTTTATTTGTAGTGTTAAGCATGAATACGATGGAAAGTGGAGTGAGAAGACTCGTCTGACGACCTGTGATCCTCACACAAAGCGCCTGGTCGTTAGCTCCTCTACCCCTCAAGAAGTTGAACCAAAGAAGGAGATTATCTTCACATATGATGTTGATTTCCAGGCAAGTTTTTTTTTTTTTGTAATAAATACTATTTGTTTCTTAAATGAAGGCTATGGTTCCTTTTCTCAATAATTTTCTGATTTCCTCTACTGTTTCTGTTCAGGAAAGTGAAGTGAAGTGGGCATCTAGATGGGATGCTTATCTTTTGATGAATGATAACCAAATTCACTGGTTCTCTATCGTCAATTCTCTCATGATCGTCCTGTTCCTGTCTGGTATGGTGGCGATGATAATGCTGAGGACCCTTTACCGTGACATTTCACGATACAACGAGCTTGAGACTCAAGAAGAAGCTCAAGAAGAGACAGGATGGAAGCTTGTCCATGGTGATGTTTTCAGGCTTCCAGCCAATTCTGATCTGCTCTGTGTCTACGTTGGTACAGGGGTCCAATGTTTAGGCATGGTTTTTGTCACAATGATCTTTGCCATGCTAGGGTTTCTCTCCCCTTCGAACCGGGGTGGTCTGATGACGGCCATGCTTCTGCTCTGGGTATTCATGGGACTCTTTGCTGGTTACGCTTCTTCACGTCTGTACAAAATGTTCAAAGGAACAGAGTGGAAGAGAATCGCCTTCAGAACAGCCTTCTTGTTCCCTGCAGTTGTCTCAGCCATCTTCTTTGTCCTAAACGCTCTCATCTGGGGACAAAAGTCATCTGGAGCTGTCCCCTTCGGAACAATGTTCGCCTTGATCTTCCTCTGGTTTGGCATCTCGGTTCCTCTTGTCTTTGTTGGAGCTTACCTCGGTTTCAAGAAACCAGCGGTTGATGACCCGGTGAAAACCAACAAAATCCCAAGGCAAATCCCAGAGCAAGCTTGGTACATGAACCCTGTTTTCTCAATCCTCATTGGAGGAATCCTACCGTTTGGTGCTGTCTTCATCGAGCTATTCTTCATCCTCACATCCATCTGGCTCAACCAGTTCTACTACATCTTCGGATTCCTCTTCCTCGTATTTGTAATCCTCATTGTGACTTGCGCTGAGATAACAGTAGTACTCTGCTACTTCCAGCTTTGCAGTGAGGACTACCTGTGGTGGTGGAGATCTTACCTAACATCAGGATCATCAGCTCTGTATCTATTCCTCTACGCGACGTTCTACTTCTTCACAAAGCTTCAGATCACCAAAATGGTGTCGGCGATGCTTTACTTTGGGTACATGCTCATTGCGTCTTACGCATTTTTTGTGCTCACAGGGACAATAGGGTTCTATGCTTGTCTCTGGTTCACAAGACTCATCTATTCCTCGGTTAAGATCGATTAGAGAAGGACGAAGATGATGATGATGAAGACGGTGATAATGATTAAGGAACAAAGAAGTAAAGGTGATTATAGTTTATCTTCGTTTTCTTTCTTTTTCTTAAATTGATTTTGTTGCAGAACAAGATGTCTTTTAATATATGTGAACGTCATATTAGTGTATTTCGATTGATTGTCTAAAAACAATTTTTTTATAATCTTTCCATTTGAGTATGTGTTATATAATGGAAGCAAATCAAATTAAAATGTTTGATGATCATCAGGCAAATAGTTGCAGTGGTTTGAGGAAGATGAATAACAAACATTGTGTTAACAAAAACCTGATTCATATGATTAGATGACGCCACTGAAACTGTGCTTAGAGTCCAAACGCTGCTCCTCTAGCCACATGCCTTCCTATCAATCCCAACAAACCTTTTTAGCGTTTGCACTCTTTCTCCATGTATCTGGTATTATTTCTTTTTTGCTTCAAACACATCCATACGACGAAGGCCCAAAACTTAAATAATTTAAAGCCCATTTATAATGGTCAAGGCCTCTCAACTCCACAAGAGAGAAAGCTCGTTCCTCTCAAGAAGATCTTTACCCCCGCGTACGATAGATAATAATACCTTTGTTCCTTCCTTCTTGAGATCGAGAGCCGACGACGACCCACACCTCTTCCTCCTGGTCATCGCCGCGTCACAGAGACTCGCTTGACCACCTAATTCTTGACTCGACCTTCCTGTAATCGCGATCTATTTTCCACGGTAACCTTTTTCCATCTAGATCCGTTGATTGAGAGCTATTTATCCTCAGCTATATTTAATTATCTAATTGATTAGAGACTTTAACCTGTTTTATACGTTCATCATCTTCAGATGCTTGACTCCAACAACGTTTGAGAGAAAAGCCATCACCTATAATTTCCAACACAAGCTAATTCGATTTAAAAACTCATTTCAGGTATTGCTTAATTTCAGTTTTACCTGCACACACTTGTTTTCTTTATCTGTAATTAATCTTCGATTTTAATTTTTTTTTAGGGTTTTATACAATGGAAACGTCGTCAAACTCTTCTCCACGGAGAAACTCATCAATCCTCTCAGCTTCTAACCTAATCCAAGCTCCAATATCTACCTTGTTAGAGTATTCCGGTCTATTTCGACCACGAACTAATCCTAGCCCCGAGGCGGAAACTCTCGTTTCTAATGATGATTCTCCAGTGATTAATTCCAATGGAGGAGAGGTTGCGATTAGGATAATCGGGAACGCGGAGCAGGACGCTGCTGCTGCTGCTGCTGCTGAAAGTGATATCACTGGTGCTGCTCAGAGTGAAGTTCCGGGCTCTTCTTCTTCTGGTTCTGGTCAAGAAGGGGCTTCTCAGGGTGAATCTGGTGGTGGAGATGGTGCGAGTAGAGATTCGCCGTATCAAAGATATGATATTCAGCAGGCTGCTAGGTGGATTGAGCAGATTCTTCCCTTTTCTTTGCTTCTTTTGGTCGTCTTTATTCGCCAGCATTTGCAGGGTACTATATTCTGTTCTCTCTCTCTCTCTCTCGTTATAATGTGACTGTTGCTGATGTGTATCGTTTTAGGTTTCTTTGTTGCAATTTGGATTGCTGCTGTTATGTTCAAGTCGAATGATATTATGAAGAAGCAAACTGCATTGAAGGTTTTAATTTTTTTTTAGCATTTTATGTATTTCTTAGTTTAAATAAATGGCTAGTTTTTTTTTTGAAGTTTCTCAAGTATGTCTTTTTATATTGTGTTTCTAGGGTGAGAGGCAGATCTCGGCTTTAATCGGGATCGCTGTAGCGTTTACGGCTCATGTGGTTGGTGTTTATTGGTGGTTTCGTAAGGATGATCTATTGTATCCCTTGATCATGTTCCCTCCCAAGTCCATACCTCCTTTCTGGCATGCCATTTTTATCATTGTGGTCAATGGTATGTGTATCTTCTCTGCCAAACTTCACTTTCAGCTAATAGTTAATTTCTTGTTTATCTTATGCATTTTGAATCATATTTTATAATCTAGTGCTTACATGACTTGCAATTTTCTTCAGATACACTTGTGAGGCAGGCCTCGATGATATTCAAGTGTTTTCTCTTGATGTACTACAAGAACAGTAGGGGTCGAAATTATCGTAAACAGGTCAGGGCTCTTCTATGTTCCTTTGAGCTTTAGTCACTTTAAGCTGACCGTGTGATATACATTTAATTATCGATCATAATTTTTGGTTATTAAAATTTTTATGCAGGGTCAATTGCTAACTTTGGTTGAGTATTTGATGCTTCTGTATCGCTCTTTGCTGCCTACCCCTGTATGGTACCGTTTCTTCTTGAACAAGGATTATGGAAGCCTCTTCTCCTCTCTTATGACAGGGCTGTATCTGACTTTCAAGCTCACTTCTGTAGTTGAGAAAGTAAGTGTTTCTCCCAGAATATCACCCACTTTTTTATTTCTGGAAGTAGAAGCTGATGAGGGGAAATTGGCGATAAATTTTGTCAGGTTCAATCTTTCTTTACGGCATTAAAATCTTTGTCACGCAAAGAGGTGCATTATGGATCGTATGCAACTACAGAGCAGGTATAGTGTTTAGAAAGATTCAAATATGTAACTAATGCCTCCTTAAGATTCAAGCCTGATCAAGGAAAGAAATGGCTTCTTTTTCTTTAATATGTGGCAGGTGAATGCTGCGGGAGACCTGTGTGCCATCTGCCAGGAGAAGATGCACACCCCAATTCTACTTCGCTGCAAGCACATGTTCTGCGAAGATTGCGTTTCAGAGTGGTGAGGTGTCTTGTGCATATATATAGCAGTTGTTGTTCTTTGTGTGTGGATGTTTTGAATTGAATGTTGATTTACGACTTGGGCAGGTTTGAGAGAGAGAGGACTTGTCCTCTGTGCAGGGCCTTGGTGAAACCAGCAGATCTGAAATCATTTGGTGATGGATCAACCAGCCTTTTCTTCCAGATATTCTGATTAACATATGCATACAAGGACACTACAAAAAGTACAAATAGTGAACCACAAGCCCCTTGGTAGAGAGTATTATTACCCGTTTAAGTTGTGCACGAAAGACACCACTGATGATGCCCTTGAAGATGTTTATACAATCTCATTTGTTAATATGAATGAAAATCGCCTTTTATACATTGCTTAGCCCAGAAAAAAAAAAGAATTCAGTAATCAAAAAATCGTATTTATTCAATATGAAAAAATTCTTATTACAATTATCAAACAGTTTTTATTTTCATAATGGTAAGAAAATTTAACTCAACCGACTTACAAGACCTATAAACCAGCCTGTGTAACACTTATGGATAAGCTTAAGCTTTCTTTTTATCTACACAGTCTCTCCTCTTGCTTTAGCTCTGAGGTTTATGTAATGGAACAAGAACCTGCTTCATCGCCAACAAACACTTTCACAAGTCTCCCCATCTGTTTCTCCCATATAAACCACCTACCATCATCGCTTCCACTCGCCATATATTCACCTGAAATGTTCACAGTAAGTCAATAATGGAGTTGCATTGAGACACCAACAAGTATTTTGCAACAAGAATAGACTTACTAACCTCTCTGTCCAAGAAAACTGGCTTGTTTAATATCAGTTCCAACGTTACAGTGGCCAACATATCTACGCTTCATATCAATAGCTCCCACCGGCTTTTCTCACTAATAAACCAGTAGACACTATACATCAAATTAACACATTCAATAAGCTAAGATTGTTTTTGTTTTGAAATACAACCAAACAAGATCATAATCTGAAAACTAACCTGATAAGAGATTCTGTCATTTTGAGATGACAATACAGTTCCTGAGGAGGCATTTCACCAGTATTCTCCATGGGTGGGCTTATCATCACTCACTCTATAAACTCTTAGATTTAGACTTTCACTTTAGAGCATTTGAGTCTGGATCTTGCCCTTCATCCATTTCCTCATCATAATCAGATTCTTGGCTTTCGGAATGTGAACTGTCAATGTTGGCCTCTGATCTATAAATTATGTTGCTTCAGACATGTAGGTAATGGAACTTTAAAAGATGAAGCATCGATTCTCCGAGCATTTTGGCAAATCTCTTACGGCCATATAAGCATCATCCTTCCACTCCACTTCCTCTGCAAAAAGGATTATACACACCAGCTTTAAAGGACCTTGAGCAAAAAAGGCATTCATGCCTTAGCGCAGACTCAATATCATTAGAACTTCATTAGCTGCCTCGATTGCATAAAAAATCTGAAGAACCTTTTTTTTTTTTTTGATAATCCTGAAGAACCCTCTTCTAAAGACACCTTAGCAACTTCTACTAACTCAATTGCATAGAAAACATCTGTACCCTCTGCATATATCATCAATCTTTGATCAACGTCCTACACATACAACAATCCATAGTGTTAGCAGTGTAGTAACTAAGACCTTAGCAATAAGAAAAGATGAAAGAAAAAATCTGAAATGGAAAGCAGAGGAAAAGACAAAGTGTGAAGTTACGAACATGACTTGGGTCCTTGGACCTTGTGTAAAGGATATTAAAGAATGTTACCATCGTGAAAGCTTAGATTTTCCATTAGAGAAAGCGAGGGCCACCGATCAAACGGACAAGGAACGAAACTGAAGGAACAATGAAAAGAGAAGGGAAGAGAAAAAAGGGGATAATCCTCTGTTTGCTTGTGTTGGGTATCCATGTACTCTAGACGCATCCTAGCCGTTCATTTTTAAGATTTATTTACAAAGCTGTTTTGACAAAAAAATCAAGTAATCATGACATGGTTTTGCGTTAATTAGACCCATTCTCTTTTTCGTAGTTTAGTTACTTCAGCAAAACAAAGAAATTTAGATTTTAATCTCTCTAATGATGGAGTTCACTTCTTCCAGAAAGTCCATCCATGTCTGCGCAGGAATGAAGCATAGCTTGTTTCACTGTTTGAACAGAAGAAGTTGGAAAAATAACAATTATACAAATAAATCTTATTGATCCAAGAACCAAATACTCAAAAAAATTGCAAGTTATAGTTGAAAGACTTTGAAAGTATAGTCTGGCAACTAGCTGATTCAGAAAGAGGTTGTGAAATATTGAAATAATATCCCAACAGAGAAGCTAATTGATCACGAGATAAAGAAAATGCATGGAGAAAAAAATGAAAGGGCTTATATATGGCTGTCTAGTGTATGCAAGCTTATGTTGTGTTACTTGTATACACAATGTTCACAAATGTAATTCGAGTCAAATTCCAAAATCCACAATGTTCTGTCAATCTCACTATTTACACTATATACACTATATCCACTCATTTGACTAATCTAATATTTTCATTTAACAACCCAGTCAAAACCCACAATGTTCTGTGACTCTCACTATTCTGTGACTATCACTATTCGACTTATCTAATATTTTCATAATAACAACCCAGCAACTAACAGTAGATTAGTTAAATGTTCCTACTAAACTTCCTTTGCTAGATGATAATCATTTTTCTTCACCACGGCAAATGGCAGATAGGCTCTCACACTAAGCCTTATCAGTTAACCACATGAGTGTCAACCGCTTCTACTAATTGTGGCTGAGAATACATTCCACACAGCTAAATAAGAGACCTTATATCAAAAGTACCTAACTAGCACAGAAACTACAAGTCTTCTGATTCCGAGCTCATCAACTCTAAGCTTTTGTTGATTTTCGCCACTAAATCATCAGTAAACCAATCTTATTTCATAGATTCAAGTGTAATCTACATACCTTTGACAAACCTTTAATAGTCGAGGGCCAGTCAGTGTAACCATGAGCTAGACTCAACAAGAAAAAACAAGAAGTAATTAATTTATTCAAGTGACAATAGATACTTAGAATACTAACACCATAGTCCGATAAGTGTAAGAACCATATAATGGATCAACGATGTCTAACCCAAATAGAAAAGTACATAGATTCTATGAATATCTAACAAATAGTGTAGTACATATACCCAAATAGAAATATACGTGTAAATATATTATAAGACAAAAGCTATGACTCATCATGATGAATGTTCAAAGTTTTGATACATCATATGCCAAACAATTTAAGTTAATACAATATATATAAATAGATGCACCATATGTAATATATATACATAATTTGTTATGTATATGACATATATGAACACACATAATCACCAAGATTCAGTGAAGATGATCATGAAGGAGAAGCTATGACATGAAGAGAGTGAGCACGCAAAAGCAACCATATACACGTTTTATAAAAAAATCCCCTTTGTGTGCCCACTCTCTTCTGTCAACTTCTTTTTCCTCCATCAACATATAAAATTTGTCCTTGACCATATTGAAACGATGTAATAAAATATTGTATATATATCTAGGAAATTAAAGTCCAGAAACCGATGATAAAAGAAAGTTAAAACAGAAAAAAAGGAAATCACAAGTACAGATCAAAGGTACTTGAGATCAAATCTGGGAATAATAACAACTAACAAGTCCTCGATCTGTGGATCCATAAAAGGAAAGTAAAAAATCTAAGTACGGACACTATAAATAATGCAAACTAGGGTTTCTTCTCTAATACACAGCTCTATATTTTCTTTTTAAAAAAGAACTGAAAGTAGAAATAGAGGTGATGGAGATGCGCTCAGAAATGAAAATGGGGATATGGAGAAGTCTTATATAAATATTCATTCTCCTTCATGCAAAGTATGTATATATGTGTGTGCTCTTTCTCTCTATCAAGAGAGAAAAAAATAATTTTAAAACCCTAAAAAATAATAAGATCTGAAAACGTTTTCCAGCAATGGAAACTGAAGAAAAAAAATGAGAAACAGAGAGGAAGAAGTACGGATGAGGAAACGCTTGGTTATGGTTTGTCGGAGAAACGTGTCGCAATCTAGAGGCCAGGTCTTTTGTCTTTGGTCGTTGATTTGACTTGAGAGTTGGTATGAGCCGTTGGATGTGTCTCTTTTTAATCAGTTCCGTCTCTTTGCCGTCTTATCTGTTTAATGTCCTTGTAATAACAGATTGCGCCATTAGCGAGGGACACATGCGTGACGCTAATCATTATGTTAAATCTCTGGATTAATGCTGATTTAATTTTATTTTAGTTTGTGTCACGGTTTCCAGAAGACTTGGAAGTTAAAGAGCTTGCTAAGTGAGTAGAATAGTTAAATGATTCTGTAGTGTTGATGTAGCCAATGCGGTACAAACATGATTAGTGTGGTTCCTTTAAATGGATAAACTAGATCTAGACTCGCACGATCGTGCGGGTATTTTAATATTAAAATATTTAAATTATATAATAAGTTTATCAATAGATATAATTTGATGTTATATACTATTTTTTTAAACCAATTTTATATACTATTTAAATGTATAATTGTATTTTATGATAATAATTTCAAAAATATATCCTAAAAATATTCTAAAAGATTTTGTCAGATTTTCCTAAAAATAATATTTCTTTGTATTTCAAATAAAAATTAAAGATATGAAAAGATATTATAATGATGTTATGTAAGATTTTATAATTTTTTTAAAGATGGTCCAAACTACGAAATCACACATAAAATAAGTATCACTTCTGTTTTAATATAATAGATGAAGCCGCAGGATTTTAGTGTGTACTAATTCACAAACACTGTTCTGTGTATATTAATCCCTCCTTTTCAAATACATACCATATTTTAAAATTTTCACACATATTTATAAAACATATTAAATTTTTTATTATAAATATTTTTTATGTTTTCTATAACTTTTAACTAACAAAAATTCAAAAAAATAAACACAATTAATTTTACTGTATTACTATTACTTAATAGAAAGTGCTTTGAAAAAGTGAACAATGTATTTTTTTTTAAAACAATATTTGTTTATATCATAAATGTTTTTGTAACCGAGGGAGTAAAGTCCTATATCTCCTCCTAACAAAACAAAGAATGTAAATAGTTGAATTCACAGTGAATAGTTCATATATATAAAGTATTATTAATATTCAATATATGTTTTATAAAATATGATATGAGAAATCTTAATAGAGGATGAGATTTTGATACTTATTCACAGTGAATTTAAACAAATCAGTCAACAACAAAAAAAATTAACACTATTTACCCTTCTGGATCACTTGAACTTACAGTGAATCTAGGCTTGATTGTTCTGATATCTCTTGTTTATATCAGAACAAGAAACACATTATCTTTTGTTGACATCTCTGTGTTCAGCATTTGAAACTGCTTTGAAAGTGAAAACACGATTACTATCAGAGAGAGGACGTGATTAAATGGGTAAACATTGATTCACAATCAAAGTTCAACAGATTAGCTTTACCTCAACCCCTATGGCTGCACATTTTCGAATCAACATAGCCTAAAATCCCTACAAGTCCCTAAATTTTTAACCAAATAAGACTTGACTGTATAAATTAAAAACTCCTCAACGGTCCTTGCACATAGACACAGACCGCGAAACTGTCTTGTCTATGCCTACTCTCCCTCTTCAGCTTCTTCTTTGGGTTCACCGTCTTCCACTTCTTCCTTGGAGTCACCCTCTTCAGTTTCTTCTTTGGGTTCACCGTCTTCCACTTCATCCTTAGGTGCACCCTCTTCAGCTTCTTCTTTGGGTTCACCCTCTCCCGCTTCTTCCTTAGGTTCACCCTCTTCCACTTCTTCCTTTGGTTCACCCTCTTCCACTTCTTCCTTGGGAGCTTCCTTCTCCTGCTTCTTCTTCTTCTTGCCCTTCAACTTATCCACCAAAATCTGCAGAGGCTTGGATTCATCATCAGATGCATGTTCATCATCAGTCCTGCTCCTCTTGCTCTTCTTAGAGGCAGGCACTGGTTTTTTCACATTCTCAGAGACAGCCTCTGATGAAGATGAAGAAGCCCTTTTCTTCTTCCCGTTGGTTATTGCTTCAGGAATCTTCTTGCATGACCTCAGACGAGACGCCGCTGCCACAATCTTCCCACCAATATCACCCATGACACCATTTGTCCTAGCAGACTTCCTGTTAGTCCTGTAAAAGGTTTTGCCAAGATGTAGCAAAGACCACAAGAAAACTCACTTGTATAAGAAACCCACATTAACCTCTTGAAGATTATCTATACTACCCAACACAACACAGGATCTAAAATCAAGACCTAATCAAGACTAAGAAGAGCTTCTACTTACGGTTCTGGAGCAGCATCAACCTTCTCCTTGCGAGTCTCCTTCTCTAGTGAGATCTAAAAACAAGAATACTAAACCATTACAAAGGCAACCCACAACAGCAAAATCGACAATAAAAATAATAGCAACGCTCACTACCTCATCAGCATTATCATCATCATCATCCTCATCTTCATCAACTAACTCCCACCTCTCCTTCTTCATATCCAAGATCTCTTTCTCACCATCATCATAAAAAACCTATTATATCACACAATCACAGCAAAAGCAAAGTAAGGTAACAAACATTAAATTAACACACAAATCTTTTAAGACACTAAAAAATTAAATGCAACTAAAACTGTATAATCAAATCACATCCTGAAAATTAACCTAACTTAATGTAAGATGCAATCAAATCTATATCCAATCAGATCTACAACAACAAAGGACATGATGTGAAATCCAATTACCCGATGCTTCTTAGTGCGAGAGTTAAACGAATCAACCACTCCATTGTAGAATCTACAAAACCAAAAAGAGATCTATAAGATTCAATCATCACAAGTACTTAAAAACCCTAACTTTTATTCGAATTTAGATCCGAGTTAACTCACTTCCGATCTATCGGCCACCAAATCTTAACCTTTAAACCAACCAACTCATCACCATTGCTAACCTGTTACAGTAAATTCGAATCAATTTTACTTAAAAATTGAATTGTTTGATTTGATTGCAAAAAAAAAAAAAAAAAAAAACCTTATCTTTCGCAGAGACACTTGAAGGTTTTTTAGTCTTGTCTGCTGCTGCTGATGAAAGCTTCTTCTTAGTAGCAGCAACCATTTTTTTGTGACAATTGAGAGGGAATCTAGGGTTCCGAAAGATGAGGGATTTTGGGATGAACTGTGAGAGAGAAATGAATCAATTTAAATTGAGATTTTTTAGGGTTCGAAAGGGTGCGAGTGACCTTCCCCTGAATATGTTCGAACCAAAGAGCCAGCGTAACAACTGGCACGTGACTTTTTACTACACTATAAACCATCGCTCACGTGAATGCTGACCACGTGTTTTAACCGTCTACTACTCCTGTAATGACTCCACTAAAGAGTTTTTACAGGCTGGCTGGGACAGTAAAATACGTTAATTTTTTTTTGTTTTGTTTTAGATATTTATAAATTAAATATTTTTAATTAAAAATCTTAAATCTTAAAGTTGGAAAACTGTAAATAATGAGTGTAATTTGAAGTTATAAAAACTATTTTAAATAATGACTGCAACTTTAAATAAAGATGTAATTTGATTGTTGACAAAAAAAAATGATGTAATTTGATTTTTTTTTTTTAAACTGATAAAAACAGAAACACACATATTGTTAGAGTGAATAGGTAATTTAACTGCCATATCAAAAATATAGGCAAATTAAATCTAATATTTTTTGGGTCGGAAAATAAATCTAATATATAATTAATGTTGAGCTCCACTTAATATAAAATTTGTAGAGCACATACTTTCAAAAATGACTTGATTGGTAAGTGATGTAACTTTAAACATTCTGGTGTAGTTGTAATTTTTTTGTTATAACTATAGATTTTATTACCGTAGAATTTTGCCTATAAAATTTTCATTGTAGTTTTTTTAAGAATGATTGGTATACATCAATTATAGATTAATATTACGTACATGTATTCAACACCATGTTAATGGATACAAAAATGAATTTTAAATTTGTTTATTATATTGAATAAATAAAATTATAATTTTAAAAAATTATAAAATAATTTTTTAAAATTGTAACAAAAATTATTTATTTCATAATAATAAATTAATAATTGTATTTGTCCACGAGCATTACATAAGTCCATTGTAATATTAGCTTGTAATTCTTCTATATATTGTTTCGAACCAATTATTTTTTTCAACAACTGATTTAATGCATCATTTAGTGAAAGTTGTTGATCATTATCATCATATATACTCCCTCTGTTTCATTATAAGTGTCACTCTACAGCTGTGCACACGGATTAAGGAAACAATTAATTTTACATATTTCCTATATAAAAACACAGTTACCTATACACCTAACCATATTTTAACCAATAGAAAAATTAGTTACATAATAAAATTAATAAATTTTGCATTGAAAACTGAAAACGACACTTATTTTGTAACGC